ACAAAACAGCCGTCACTCAAAAGAAAGAAAAAGTCTCTACATGATAAACTGAAACACCAGATTATCTATGGGAACATATCTGTAGTCCATGGGAACAAATCTGAGAGAAAGCAGAGTTTATTTTTTAATGAACAAAATATAGTCCTAATCCAAAAAAAGAAACTGATGGTAAGATAAATATACCACACAACATGATAAATATTAACATTAGCAAGGCATCCAAGAAAAATTGATGTCAAAGTAGCTCACCAAACAATGCTCTGATCAGGCAATGAGCTGCTGAACAGGAATGATGGCTAGCTATTTGGAAAATCCATTTTATATACATTTCTGGACACAGAGAACTGTCTGACTTTGCTTGCATGTATGGCTTTTAATAAAAACATGAAAGATAAACATTATATTTCCAATGGCAGATATCCTGTACAGGTGATACCAAAAGCCATAGGATTTTATGACAGCACACAGAGAAAGTGCATAAAGAAAGAACAGGTCCCTGAGGGATGCTAACTGAGACAGGGAAGGCAGAGGAAGTCTCTCTCCCTATGGTTATATTGAAGAATCAACTAGGTAGCTCTTTTTTACCTAGCCAAGGTAAATACCAGGATTCTATGTGTTTTCTGTTGCAGAATATCTAATGCCTCTACATATTTTTCTTTGCCCTTCTGAGTAATAAAATATAACTTTCTAGAGGGGAGTGGACAGCTGCCTATCTATTTTGACAGGGTTAAGTGCTAAAATGGAGCATGACTTTCCTTCTCATACTACCAAGCTTGGGCAACTAATAGACTTGTACTAATAGACTTTGCCCTATTGATTGACTTCATATCAGATCCATTAACCAGTGATACCCTTAGTTCTTCTAAGTGTTTTGCTTCTTGGGTGCTGTAAGGAGTCCATGAGATCATATATTCCTGATCCCCTCCCTTTTTTTTTTTTTTTTTGCTTTTAGACCCCATCTACACTATACATTTAAAGAAGTATTATGCCACTTTAAACAATCATGGTTTCCTGCAAATAACCCTGGGAACTGTAGTTTGTTACTAGGAGAACCCCTTCTCCTCAAAGATCTAGAGTTTCCAAAGTCCCCTGGGAAGAAGGATTGCTTATTAAACAATTGGAAATATTACTCTCACACACACTGATTTATAGTGCAAGGCTTTCAGTGCCAAATCAGGAAATCCAGTAATGGATAGCCAATAGAGCATGTAGTTTGGCCCTAAGAGTATTTATTAATTTTGAGTGATTTATATAATCACTTCTCTCTAATTGTTGAGGAGACCTAATATAACCCTACCGTTTATTATGTGAGTGGTAAATATTAACTTACATGCCCTTATAAAATGTGTTAGCTCAGGTCAAGTTCCACTGGGTTAGAAGGTAGCAATCAAACATCGGCCTCAAAAGAATTTCACCAATACCAGGTAAGAACACACATTTTAAGTTTAGCTTTTGGGAGGAAAAAAAAGATAATGTGCTGAGCAGTGTGGGTGGGAAAGAGAAAAAACATTTGACTGTTACACAGTACCATATGTCATTATGTGGATCTGATGTCTGGTTTGTATCACCAAGTATATAATTTTCAGTTTAAGTGTGTTTGATAGAGCTCTGAGGCAAATAAAATAAAATAAATTCATGAAGGTAATGGAACAGTAATAGTAATAATACAACCACAATGAACTGTGGAGTATATCATTTTTGGGCTTTATAAGCTCCCAGATTAATATTACATCCTAAAATATAGAGGTATTGTAATACTACTGTCAGCTATTAATAGGTCATGTTCTCCCTAAACAAAGAACTGTAATAGTGAAAGTAGTGAATGAACCAAGATATACGGTAATTTTGTGTGTGCTGCAGAATCGGCTTTGAAGGTGGGTTATTTATTTATCTAGGAAATCTCATTACACATACATTTAACACAAGAAAATGAGTAATACAGGAAACTTAGATGGCTTTGGAATTCACTTTGTCAGCTATACCATCAAGACAAATGCTAGGGCAGATTTCAGATGTGTTTATTTAAATATTTTATTATACTACCTTTCATAAAAATATCCCAAGGCAATTCACAATAAAACAAAAAAAATAGCGTAAATACAACAGCAACAAAAATAGGATAAACTCAATACGCGGGTATTAATAGCAAAGGTCTAGAATAAAAAGTATTTAGCAAGTGCTAAACACCCAAAACATGAGGTGTCTGCCTTATCTCTGAGAGGAAATCATTCCATAGGCCACCACAACAAGAGGGACCTCTGCAGGTTGAAATGCAACCAGGAAGACCTCACTGGAAGATCTGAATGACCGGATATACTGTTATTTACATTGGGATCTTAAAGGCACTTGAGGACAGTTTCTGTCACCAGCCTATTTTAGCAGTTGCTTTTACCTTCAGGCCAAATTCCCTACACCTCCATCCCAGCCAAATACACCCACAGCCCTGGAGAACCAATGGGTATAAGCTGCCTCTGAAACTCAAAGCTCCTCTGGTTGTACTTCTGATTCCTTGGACAGTTTAGCCAATTTAAAAAACCCACTTCTATCATGCTCTTCTGGTAAGATTTTTATATAGGGCAGCTTCTCAGACCAATTCATCCTCCGGCTCCCTTCTCCTTATCTTCACCAGATGTGTATTAATAACAGAGTATTAATATTCAGGCCTTAGCTTTTCTCCTCACACTACCTTCCTCAACTCGATCAAAGTTCAACTGTCCTTAACCAACAGTTAATGTCCAACCATAAAACTGCTGGACAATTGGAGTCTGCTGCCACCCAGACCAATCAGAAATAAGTTACCTGACCAAGGAGCCGCCCAATAAATTCTCCCAGAGATCATCTCTCCCCCCAGAACCTATCACCAAGCAGCTACTGTTTAATTTATATTATATTATTATTATTATTATTATTATATCTGTATATAGTCTGTGTATACACACACACCTGTAGATCTCAATGTGGTTCACAACATCAAAATACAAGATAAAAACACAATAAAAACAACACAAACCACAAACCAGTAACACCCCTCCCCCACAAACATTTGAAAGGGTACAGGATGTTAATCAGCCCAAGGCCTGGTTGAAGAGGAACATTTTTGCCTGGTGCCTAAAGGCGTATAATAGGCTTGCAACACACACAATAATGACACAAACATCAAACTTCGACAATCACAGAGGTCACATAATATTTTTTGCTTTCAGCGCAAGCATGTCATTTTGCGAAGGGGCAGGGTAACCATGGGGCTAATAATGACTCGTAAGCTACTTTGCAGTATTTCAGCACAAAAAGGGGAGTGTGGCAAAAGGAGGGATGCACTGAACAAACAAAGGTGCCCAGGTATTACTCACCTGCAGGAGTCTGGTGGCTGCTGCTACTTCTAGTAGCATTCTGGGGTGCCAGTGGTGAGTCAAAGATAGAGTATGTTCTCTACAGCATCTGATTAAAAAGAAAGAAAGAATTATTTAAGGAGTCTAGAGTCTTTTCTATGAACATAGCCCTAGAATTCGGAAATATGCCACCCATCTTCCAGCAATTTAAAAAAAGGCACACACCTTCATGATAAGGCATGGCTGATACTTCCTTTCCATAGTGCATGCTTTCTGCGATCCCCTGTATGGGACAGCTGTATATATTCCTGCATTGCAGGGCGGCTGGACTAGATGACCCTCGGGGTCCCTTCCAACTCTCTCTAATTCTAACTTCGGGTTGGCACGCCCTGAAGAGGAGTGTGCTGCAGCAGCAACTCTGGAAAGGTGATGTGGAGGATTCAACATGGGCTGTGGTGGGGACAGGAGGATCAGGAATAAAAAAAAATGGAGAGAGTTCCTCACAATTCACAAGGTATTGCTTCTGGCTGAACAAGCTGCTCATTATTACTCATGAAGCTACAGGTGCTGCTTCCATTATTACATTTGCAACCTACCGCCCCCCAGCCCCCGTGATAGGAATTTTATGGTCGTAGATATATGGTAATGTTCATAAGTGTACCAACCAAGCACGTACATAGATCAACGGAAGACCGACCTGGAACCATTTTGATTCCTAAACTGAGCAAATGTTTTCTCTGCTAGGTCAAAGTGGGAAACCTCCCCATTGTCTCTTTCCTCACAAATCCTGTCTTAAGGGCACATTTAAGATATGAATAGGGTGTGAGCCTGTGACCTGGCCCAGGAACTAAGTATTTATCATTACAAAAGACTAGCCAGGCTCCCCAGGAAATCCAATCAAGTAACCTGCCAGACAGGAGAAAAACAACATTCAAATTTCTGTTTAGACCGCCTTTTCTGTGATGTAGGTGTGATGTATCTGAGGGGTGGTCTTAGGTTACACCCCTTCTGTGATGTATGTATGATGTTTCTGGGGTGGTCTTGATCTACAGGGTGGCAATTTCAAAAGTCTTTATAAGGTTTTGCGCGCCATTTTTCTGGGTTCCTCCTCTCCTGCGGGTGAGGGGAGCACCCTGTTGCAACAGATCAATAAAGATCAAGCTTACTAGCTGCTTTGCTTCTCAATATTCTCTGGTTGGCCTCTGTTATCTTCTCCTACCAATAGGGAACCTATGTAAGGACTCTATATGGGCTCTTGGATACCCCATAATGGAAAAGGGCATTTTTTGTTTACAACACCGCGCCCCCTGCCCCCGCTCCAGCGCAAGGGGACAAAGATAAACACCTGCACCTTATTGGCATTCTGCTTCAGGCCACACCGTCGTCCCAACTGAGACCACCCCCACCCCGGCTGCCGCCAGCAACACACACAGGCAGACCTCGACGGTCCCCCCCCTCCCCTCCCCCCCAGGCTATGCGTTTTCAGCCCCTATCCCTCCTCCCCACGGCGAAAAAGCCGTTACACGTGGAGGCGAGCGCTTGCCTTCTGCAGCTTAGGCCGCGGCTGCCATAGCAACGGCGCCGACCAGCCTCCCTCCCCTGTCCCTCTCACCTCGCGCGAACTCGTGGACGAAGCGACTCGTGATTGGCCAGTTTGCCTCTCTGTGAGCAGCGGGAGGCCTTTCCGCGCGCGACAACGAGAGTGAACCGCGGCCGCTCTCTCTCATTGCAGGTAGGAGGCGGGGGGGGGCGTGAAAGAGAGGAGCCCGCTATTCATTGGAGGGTCGGGGGCGAAAGAGCCCGCCCCCGACGTTGCTCCCTGCGGCCGGGTTGGAAGGAAGGTGGTCCTGGCCACGTGTTCGCTCCCTCGCTCGCACCTGCAGGCTGTTTAATTTATTGGCATGCGGGCGGCCACGTTTTCCCCCTCTGGGACGTTTTGTCCAAATGTTTGTCCTGGCTTTTGCTTTCTAACCCACTCAGGTCTGCCCCCACCCCCAAAATAAAACCCCCATCTTTTTACAGAAAAACAGTCCCCCCCCCGTAAAACAATATTTTTAACCGAGTTTGCTAAAGCAAATCTTGTCAGAAATGAACGACGGATTTTTAAAAACCAGCTAAACGCAAAATACCGTATCTTTAAAGACCTTAGCCAACTTGTCTTAATTATATATTGCTTTATACATACTACATCGTGGTCAATTTCCACGTTATCTCTGCCGTTGTTGCATTTTGCCCTGATGCCGTGCAACAGCTGAATAAGAGGCAGAAAATCCATTAAGTACAGTTACTCCCTGTAATCTTCGTCCTCCTCATCATTGTTACTACGGTACTTTACGCTGTATGCTGCTTTCTCAAGGAGATGTGCCCAAAGCACAGCAGTGCAACAACAGGAATGTGTATTAACCCAGCGTCGTTATTACAATAACTGCAAAATATTGTTGCAGCTTAGATAATGAAACAAATTGTTCATGACGTACATTTTGCAGACTAGAGACCACCTCTTCAGTTGCATGGAAGGTTTTCTCTAGTTGACAGGTGCACAAAGTTGGAGAGAATCTCAGTGAGCTCTGGTCCTCATCTCCATTATGTCTTGGGGTTATTTTTGTGTTCTTTCCTTTGTCTGTTGTATATATTGCTTCTCTCTTTATTGCATAACTGAAAATCTAATTTGAAAAACTAAAAAAGATCCAGTAATAGTTACCTATTCATTCATTCAGTTCAATTCAAAACAGAGCACAGTTATGGAGGTCAGTGATGGGGGAAAGCTGCACTCCTGGAATTCTACTGATGATGCATCTTCTAAAGCATAGAATCCTATTGGACAAAGTGTAAAACCTAAACACCTCTCGTGGTGACAGTGAATCAAGTCCAAGCATTTTTGCACTTGTTATTAGCTGACAACCACCATACATTTAGAGACAGTTGTCCAGTATTTAGCTTTTTGCCAAGTGGGCTAGTGTTGGTCGTGATCTTGTTGCTGCCCTGGTTTAAGTGTGAAGGTGAAAGAGGCATTTGTTTTCCCCATGCCCTTGAGCTTAATACACCCCAGAGGAGGGGTAGTAGATCTTCCTAAATATGTTTTGTGTGTATGAGCATCCCTCTGTTACCACAGTTCCACTGGTCTGGTGGTCAATATGATACAAAGCTTGTCTATTTAAATTATTTGTTTTACTTTTTCATAGGCATTTCTAAAATGAAGAAACTTCTGCTGGTTGATGTTGATTGTGGTGTTGATGATGCTCAAGCTATTATGATGGCCCTGGCATCTCCCAATGTCGAAGTCCTGGGGATTACTTGCTGTTATGGAAACAGCATCTTGGAAAATATATGTAAAAATGTACTTCGTGTGTTACATATTTGTAACAAGCTTGAGGTAATCTGTTCCTGCTGAATAATCTTTCAAACAAATTTTGCATTATGGTGTCATGATGTGGTATTCATAAATGAGACACAGGTAACTTGATCTTATGCATACTGTACTTGCTTCCAAGTAATGTCTATTTTTACACATAATGGCAATCACTGAGAACATTTGGTTGAGCCAACTGGCTTCAACCAGAAGCCAACACTGAATTTTCCTGGTCCCATGGTGTAGAATACTCTTCCACCAGAGATTCAGTAAACATCTGCTGCTAATTTTCAGGTATCTCTTGAAAACCTTTTTATGCTGGCAGGCCTCTTCTGGCGATTAAACTTTTTCAAGATGAATCAGTCAATTTATGATTCTTCTGCATTGTTTTATTATAGTATCTTGTGTGTTTTTTTGTGTTGCCATATAAATTGTTGCACACTGCCTTGATATTTTATATGAGCTGGTGGTTTATCAGTATTATTATTCATAAATAAATAAATAAATAAATGTGGCTGCATCTGTGATCTTAAAGATTGCAGCTGCTTCTCTTAATGGTTTACTGCCTTCTATTAATAGTGATCCATGTGGCTATTACAAAAACATGCATGACTACCTGGATGTGGGTAGGTCTGTATTTCATTGTTTGCAGTGGACGTTATTACCAAGTAAATGTGATCAGGGTTTCAGTTTAAGGAGGCATCCTTAATGTACTTACTTTGTTCCATCCCATTAAAATTAATGGAGCTTGTTTGCAATAGAATTTTAAGATTTTAAACGTGATTAGGATTGTGGTACAGAAAGTAAACAGAAGTGGCCATCATGAGCAGGGGAGTTCTGTGCGTCAGTTCCCTAAACATAAGACAGGAGACATATGTTCCTTTCCACGGATTACACTTGGATTCAAGATTAGCTCTTGTCATTCCTTCTGTTCTGATGTAAAGTGGGCTTCCAATATGAGAAGGATTAAAAAACAACAACCCCTTAGATACTTATTTCCCTAGTCTGATATAAAGATAGATCTCAGTTGCATAAAAAAAAAAGAAAAAGTGCTTGTCAAATGCATGTGGGTAAAGGCAAAGAATGAATGCTAATAATTGTGCATGACAGTAAGATCTAATTAAGCCTTGTCAAAGAAAATGCAAAAGGGTCTTATCATCATTTAGTTACTATTGATTTGTTTTAAAAAGCTATGGATGCTTGCATGAGATCTCGTAGGAGATCAGACAGCCCCACAATATCCCAGAACTGGCATGTCAAGAGGGCCTTCCCACCCCGCAGCAAGGCAGAGAACTTAAAAGCTCTTTTTGCATATGGTCCACTTGGGTTACAGGTGTGACCTCTGCCTTGAGCTCTCTGCCTTGCTTGGGGGGCAAGGCCTGCTCAGCTTGTCAGCTCTGGAAGGCTAGGGATGCTCTCACAGGAGCAGTTCTAAGATGACAGTTTAAGTATACGTGTTTTTGCTTATATGGAACCCCTCACATAATATGTAATCGTATTGTGTGTGTGTGTGTGTGTGTGTGTGTGTGTGTAAAATTGACACCTGTAACTGTATAATTTGTAGTACAGCATTCACAGGCAAGACTGAAGCAGATTTGGATAAGAACAGATAAAAGTTTATTAATCCATAAGAAATGATGGGATAGATGCAGGATAGATATGGATTGTGGCTGATGTCGTGTGTACACCACTTTCCAAACCCACAGTGGAGCACACTGGATGCAGAGTAAATGGGAGTATGTACACAGCCTTAGTCACACTTTGGCCTAAGCCCAACTCCTGCAGATTAACTAGTTGGCAATAAAAGCTATTTGACATCTGTATTTCATTTTGACGGCATCAATGGTTTTTGTCTTAAAATTAAAATCACATGGTTGTCATATCTTGCATAGATTCCAGTTTATCCTGGTGCCTCATCTCCGATACTTGGTGGACCTGTGGAAGGGGCAGATTATCATGGAAAAGATGGACTGGGTGATGTTCCAGATCCCAACGCTCCAGGATTAGAGCTTCTGCAGAAAGAACATGCTGTGCTTGCAATGTTAAGAATAGTCAATGAACGACCGGGTCAGGTGAAATGATATAAAATTCATTCAGCTCCTCCCTAGTGTATTTTACTATTCAAAGTAGACATGGATCCAAAAGCATGTGGATACATAAAAAAGTTAGCAGGATCCTTTCCAGAGGGCAGTTGGCAGTAGATCACTCTGTGTGAGAGGTGATCATCTAGACAGAGCACACTCTGATATCTTTTAAATATTTTTTCTCTCTCATATATCAGTGCTTTGGGGGTTTAGCTTCTCTAAAGTTCCCTGGTCTTCATAACTCTTTCAAAAATAAAAATAAAATTGCCCCTTACAGACTAAGTGAACTGCACTGTTTCCCATCACATTTCATTTCTACACAACACACTGGTTTCCTTAAATTCAATTAACTATGTTTTAAATGCTGTACTCTTATCCACTTCCCTTCTTTAATAGTTCCTGTATTTTGTAGGTGAATAATGAAAGTTTCTCTCCTGGTACAAATAGCAATGGGGTGATCTTGGTCAGAATTGCAGTGGGAGGGAAATGATTAAACACTCCCTTCCCACCTTCCTGCTGTCCTTCTCAGGTCCCCTTGCCCCTTCCGTGGCTGATATTTAGTTTTAGAATATATATACCGGTATATGTGTGTGTGTGTTAGTGACAGATCTAGTTTGGTTCTAAGAATCATCCCGGTGGGTGAAGATGGGCCAAGAGGAAATGGATTTTATTCGGTAAGGAGAGGAAAGTAGTACAGGGGTGCAGGTATTGGTGCTGTGGGTGGGTAAGAAATGGCTGGAGGAAAGAGACTACTGCATATGGCTCTGCAGGGAAAAGCATACATAATAAATTTAGCACCGGGGCTGTAAAGTGGTGGACATGTGGACTTACTAAAAGGAGTTTCGATAGTATTTTGCTCCTTCTGTCACCAATGCTTCTGCAATGATGACGATTGTTTGTATAATTTGTGTACAGCTTAAAGGTAAAGGTAAAGGGACCCCTGACCATTAGGGCCAGTCGTGGCCGACTCTGAGGTTGCGGCGCTCATCTCGCTTTACTGGCCGAGGGAGCCGATGTACAGCTTCCGGGTCATGTGGCCAGCATGACTAAGCAGCTTCTGGCGAACCAGAGCAGCGCACGGAAACGCCGTTTACCTTCCTGCCAGAGCGGTACCTATTTATCTACTTGCACTTGGACGTGCTTTTGAACTGCTAGGTTGGCAGGAGCAGGGACCGAGCAACGGGAGCTCACCCCGTCGTGGGGATTTGAACCACCAACCTTCTGATCGGCAAGCCCTAGGCTCTGTGGTTTAATCCACAGCATCACCCACATCCCATTTGTGTACAGCTTAGTATTTCCTTATAAATACAACCCTAACCCCTCCCTTGGAGCCCCAGCTGTCTTGTTATTGCTAGTGAAAATAATGCTGCTAATAATATTTAACATACTGGGCTTTTCGAGCGTTCAGTGCATTTAGCAGGCATGAACACATCTCCGGCTTCTGTGGCAGAAGAGGGTGGTGGCACCATCCTCATGTTGTGGAAGAGCAAGATTTCCCGTCCACACCATTGCAATGACACTTCATGGGAACTGTAGCTCCATACAGAGACCTGATCATGCAGACTCCCTTCAAAACGGGGAAGAATTATGCAAACAAGGTGCTCTGTGTCATCGGGCATTGACATGGGGTGCCTGGTTCTCCTTAAAATTTAGCACTGGTCATAACAGCTTCCTATGTGCATTTGAGATCATGGGTGTGCGCTGTTTGAACTGGGATTTCTCAACTCATAGTTCCTTATTTGGTGTTATTATTATACGGTTGTCAGCTGCCGAGAAAAAGATATAGCCCTGACCAGGTCCTTTTCCTGGAGCTCAGCGGGGACTATTTAACTACAGAGGGGTTGTCAACACAAGACAGCACAACTATTAAATAAGTCACTTCAATGAATTGTTGTGTATGTTTTATAGGTTTCTCTAGTTGCTACTGGTCCCTTGACCAATTTAGCGCTGGCGGTGAAAATGGACCCAACATTTCCTAAGAAACTTAAAAATGTGTTCATCATGGGAGGAAATACAGAAGGTAAATCAAGAGGGCTTGTTAGGCATGTTTGTATGTAATTGTTTTCTCTCTTAATATTTCACAAGTGAGCTGCTTTTTAAAGAATATTCTTGCCTGCAGAACACTTGTGTTTCAGTGTTTTGCAGCAACAAGTTATGTTGAGTCATCATTCAAGTACTTATTTTGTCTTAGTTGATTGTTACCTTGATTGTTCAGCAACTGAATTTGCAAGAAATCCTCCTGATTATTCTTGAAGACAGCATACTTTTCTTTTGCGTGGGAATTTTGTTGCCTACTTTGGAGACATTTGAAACAACTATGCATTAGTCCATACTTCCAGTTGTTCCATGCCTAGAAAGCATGGGTCCAAGCTGTTTCCCACTTGTCCCTTGTTTTTCCACGTGGGGTCTCAGTGGTTTTGCATTTGCCTTGCAGCTTCCCCATGGAAAACATGCTCCTTTTTTTTTTAATTGGGCATTAGAGACTCCTCCAAGTGTGAATTTGCTCCTTCTGGTATCTGAACACAGGAAATGTAGCTCCAAAGGAAATCGCTGGGTCTCCCTGCCTTGGAGTGTCAGTTTGTTTCCTGCCTTTGCTTGAAGCAGACCATTCCACCACATGATTTCCACATTCTTCCGGCCTCTTCTGTCTCTCTGACTGCGCCTTTTTAAGATTGGCGCAGTTTATGTGTTTGTATGGGATTTTTGTTCACATATGACAATGTGCATGTTTGGCGACGGGGGTGGAATTGTCCTGCACCTGTGGCAAATAACAAAGAGCTGTTGTGTAGGAAGCAGCTGTTAGAAACTGAACGAATTGTCCCACAGAAAACTAAAGTAGCTCTTTTTTGTTTCTATTAGCCAGAGGAAATACTACAGTCTGTGGAGAATTCAATTTTGCAACAGACCCAGAAGCTGCTTACATTGTCTTAAATGAGTACACCTGCCCAACTTACATTGCATCATGGGAGTTCACATGTTCCTGCCCACTATCCTGGGTAAGGTATTAATGATCTGTTAATATCTAGGCAAGTGTTTCAGCTTGATCACGTGGCAGCAATCCTATATGTAGTTACCTGGAAGTAAGCCCCATTGAACTCAATAGTTCTCATTTCTGAGTAGACATGTATAGGATTGCATCTGGGTTGTATCCAGCATTAGTCCTGTTTAGAATAGACCCACTGAAATGAGTGACCATGAATAACTTAGGTCCATCAATTTCAATGGGTCTGCCCTGAACATGACTTAGTTGGTAACTGATTTTTAAAAAACTAAATTGAATATGACAAGTCTATTTTATATAAAGAAATCTATCATTCTCATGACTATATATCCATCGGGAGCTAAAATGATTAATTCTTGCCACTGTGAATTCCCTGTGGAACATTACTGATGTCAAGGTCAATAATGTTTATTCTGGAGTTTTTACTTAACTTTTTATGCAGTTGAATAGTTCTCTTTTTTAAAAAAAGCCCAAACTGTTATTTACTTTGCAGGAATTCTACCATGAATGGGTTAACCAGAAAACTGAGAAAGCTATGTTCATGAAGAAAATATTTTCTCATTCTTTTGAATTCTCAAAAATCTTGGGGGAAAATCCAGGTGAAAAAGAATGGCGGTCAGGGTTTGTTCCATGTGATTCCTACGCTATGGCAGCTGCCATCGAAGAGAATTTTGTAACAGAATACACAGCAATTGGTGTAACTGTTGAGCTCAAAGGTTCACTAACAAGAGGAATGATGGTAGTGGACTGGAGTAACAAACTGAACAAGGAGAACAAAGCTTTCATAATGAAAAATTGTGATTTAGGGAAGTTCCAGTCACTTCTGCTAGCTGCTTTAAAATAATAATAATATTTTGTATTGTTATAAGGACTTACTGAAGTTCCTTCCTCAAGCATACATATAATGGGCATCCTGATCTCTGGTATTGCTATCCAATCAGGTTTGTGTTGCAATACCTAAATTTACATTGCGGTTGTTGATTTTTTATTTTTTTAAAAAACACACCAATCAAGTGGTATATTAATTATATGAAAACAAAAAACAAAAACAAAAAAAACAGAAGCCACATCACAAAGGGGTTTTCAGCCTCCTTTACTAGCACAGAACATATAGCTGGAAGAGGGTGAAAGATACCCATCCTCTGGGAGTCCCAAGATTTGGCTCTAAAATAGCTCATTTCATAACACTGGCCTCCATTTGAAGAGTGAGCTGATGGCATAATGCAGGGAGCTAAGCCAGTTGCATAGCCAGAGCAATATTAGGTTGGTAGGCATCAACACTGCTGCCATTTGTATTGCCTCAATTGCTGAAAAAAATCTTGTGAAAGGTCCAAATTGAACTTGCACCACTGAGAGAGAATCCATAGGACTTAAGGCATCTCACGAGTTACCTCAGAACGTTAAAAACCCATGTTGTCTGGTAGACTGAAATAGATGCTTAGTTATTTAATATTGATTTATCTGCAAATAACACGCAAAAATTCTATTAGGGAGTAGTGAAATTAGTATACACACGTTGAGCACAATCTAGAGAAAAACAAGCATGGTTTTAGAATTACTTTCACGGAATAAATTTGCCATTAGATCCAATAATGTTTACGTTAACTTTCAGAAAGTACACACCAATTATTTTACACGAGTTTTTTTGTGTAATAGCCACATAGAATAAACTACGTGAAATGCTGGAAAGTTTTGTTAATTTAGAAGCACAAGGGGGAAATAAATTACATGAATATGCTACATCAGCATTGACAGAAGGAAAGTACAGTCATACCTTGGGTTACAGATGCTTCAGGTTGCGTTTTTTCGGTTTGCGGACCACCGAAACCCGGAAGTACCGGAATTGCTCTTTGCGCATGCACAGATGCACTGCTGCAGGTTGCACACACTGCGGGTTGTAAGCGTGCATCCCGCACGGATCACGTTCGCCACCCGAGCGTCCACTGTAATGCTGTAATCATTATGTTCATATGTACAGAATTCTTTGAATCAGTTAAATTAATAAACCACATCTACAGATCTGATTAATAGAGTCAATTTATTGTAGAAAATATTGAACTAAGTCTGTATATGCATGTGTGTTCATGCACATATACACACACACATTTTAAAACATTTAATAAAATACTATTTAAAAAATTGAAAAGTGCACTCCACTTTCTCTAGATTGTACCTGTGAATCATAATAACTCTGCTAGCTTTTGTGCCATTTGCTCGGGGCAAGACGCAAGAACGACGAGATAGAGGCGTGTGTACCAAGTATTTTGATAACTTGCTGTAGGTTCTTAGAAGTTCTGTTGGGTCAGACTGGAGTGGAAACAATGTGCACTAAGTTCTAGGAGGAATAGGATCCTGGAGCAGATGGTGTCTTTTCTAGTCATTCCTCAAAGGGAACTCTGCCTTTGGCCTAAACCCAATAGTTACTGTATTTTTCGCTCTATAACACGCACCCGACCATAACACGCACATAGTTTTTAGAGGAGGAAAATCCGTAGGCATGCCACCCGTAGGCATTCCCTCCATAACACACACAGACATTTCCCCTTACTTTTTAGGAGGGAAAAAGTGAGTGTTATGGTGCAAAAAATACGGTATCTACTGTACATGAGATTCATAGGAAAGTGATGGCACCCTTGCTGCCCCATCATCCCACTGATATGGCCAGAATCTTTAATATCAATTCATTTCTACACCCATGTAGTCTTATACATATTTCTTTTGAGTACTGAAGGATGCTGTTTACCATTCTGCAAACTTTTAAAGATATAATTATATAAATTAACATCATTACACTCCATTACTCCGTGTATGGCAAAGCAGCCAGTTTTAAAAACCACCATGGGGGAATTGGGGGAAAGGAGTAATGCTTTGCAGAAAACCCTTCCCTTCCACCCTCCAAAATAGTCGCCTATTAGTACAGTGTAAGTGATTTTCTTACTAAATTTATATTTTCCCCAAAACCTTGTTTTAAAGACTTGCTATTTCAAAGAAATTGGTTACAGACTACCTTGTATCTAACAATGAATACAATTTGGCCAGAAGGTGGTGCTGTCGATCTACAACTGTAGCTTTGGAAAATGAACTGTAGCTTAGCAGCAAAGCGTTCCACGTTCAATACCTGGTATCTCCAAGTAAATCTGGAAAAAGATTCTGGTCTGAAACAATGGAGAGTCACTGCCAGTCAGTGTAGAGAACACTCTGCTAGATTGACGGATGACCCGACTCTCAACAAGGCAGCTTCCTTAGTTCCCCAAAACCAGTCCCTTATGGCACAGAAAATTGAGTCTTATTTCTAAATCAGGAAAAAGGAGGGAAGAATGTTACATTGCAGCATTTATTGTAAAACCTGCTGATCTTGCAATATTGTTTCCATTGCCAGCTCATTTTTTGTTGTTTTCCCTGCACAGAAAGGACACTGCAGGGGAGTTTATATGGTTCATTACGAAGTAGTTTCAAGATAGCACTTCAGCAGCAAAATATTGTCATTGTACGCTTTAGTCTCACTGTTTCGCCACACTTCCCTAGGCAGTGAAAAGCTCCAGGGCCAGCACTATCCAGGGGCTGGCTTTACTTGGAGATCACTACGTTTTGTAATATTTGGTGTATAAATGAAGAAGCAGAGCATTCATACAAGCAGCAAATCCACTGTCCCATTTCAGACTTCCAGAGTGAGGCACCCCAAGATGCTTCAGCAATTTGCCTTTTGTCACTTGCATTTATGTTTCTTTCCTTCCTTTTTCTCTCTCTTCCTCTCAGCCCTACCCATCAGAGCCACTCCCAGCAGGGAAAGGGAGAGAAAAAACGATGTTACCTCTCTAGTCCCATTCGTCCCTCCCATTCAGAGCACTCAAGGAAGATCTTCAGCTACTTTCTAGCCTGTTAGCTGAGGAAGGAATCATTAACCACCCACCTCAAATCATTAGCCTTCCTTCAACTTGTCTCAGGACTGTTAGGACAAACCAAAATACGAAAGTAGTGGGCAAGCTTTCAAGTTTTTCTGAAAGCTGGATGGAGAGAGAAGAGAGGGAAAACAACAGCACCAACCAGGCTGGACATATTATTATTATTATTATTATTATTATTATTATTATTATTATGCCGGGATAGCTCAGTCAATAGAGCATGACACTCTTAATCTCAGGGCTCATGGGTTCAAGTCCCAAGTTGGACAAAAGATTCCTGTGTTGCAGGGGGTCAGACTAGATGATCCTCAGGGTCCCTTTCAACTACAGTTCTATGAGTCTATACCACCCTTCATCCAAAGATCATGGAGATATATAGATATATATACACACACACACACACACACACACACACATACACACACCCAAAAAACATGTAACATTATAGCAAACAAAAACAATACCCCCCCCCGGTTAGAAAACTATAGATTATTTAATTAGCCAAAGGCCCGGGAGGTGAAGAATGTTTTTGCCTGGCGCCTAAAGATATGTAACAAAGGCGCCAGGCGAGTCTCCTTGCGAATTACAGGTAACAAAAGGAGAGAAAGAACAAAACCAAAACAAATTGTCATGCTTTACCATCAGAACCACAGCATGCCAGGTAATCTTTCTAACTGTGTAAAGCTTGACTTGCAGCAACCTGGACTAAGCAAGAAGCATGACAAAATACCTCCCTGGACCAATCTGCTAAATGAAATAATAGAGATAAATTCAGAAACATATTGCACATTTACGTGTGCTTTACTTGCCATTCCCAGCTGCAGTCTTGTCTTGAGCCCCAAGTTGCTTTTCTCATACTTTTACCATCAGCTACATACATGTCTCAAGAGCACAGCGTAACTGTAGGAACAACCTTAGAATTATTGTGCTTCCAAAGAGTTGACGCCAGCATGCCAAGTAATGGCCTTTCTGCAGCCTGACAAATTGCTTGCTTGTAACTAAGTGCCTCTGTCACTGGAATCCACTTTGGAGTCTGCATTTGGCTGCGCCGCCTTCTTCCAGGCATAAAGGCACTGTCATCATACTTGCTAATGCACTAATACTAAACTTATTAACACCTGCTGTTTTACTGCTGGCTGTATTAACACACCACCAGTTCTAAAATGTCTAACTGAGATGACTAAGTGCAGACACATACAGAAAGTAGGAAGGAGCAGCCCCTGCTTCTAGTGAGACAAGACGCATTGCATGCATATGGAGTCATGTTTTGCTAATGCAATTCCACAAGCAGAACAGTAGAATGAAAAATGGTGGTTGTATTCATTACTCGATGCCTGCTTTAAATGTACATGCTCTATACTGCAATGAACTAATGTTGCCATAGTGAGTACAGTTAATTCTCAGGCAGCAATTGGCTGAGTTCAAAGGGATGAGACAGGCAGGTGGCGGGGTAAAATAACAGACCAATGAACACAGAAGATTCTAGGAAAAGGACATGACCCAGAAGAATGGCATGAAGAGAGAAAGTCAGGAGGAGAAGGTATAACAATGAGCAGAAATGAGATGTGAAGAAGCGAGGGAGCCTTAAATCGGCACGTTGATATGCTGTCAGCCAAAATGAAGGCCTCTGATTTGCTTATTTTGCTTAGTAAGTATTATCCTTACATTCTTCAAGGCAGAAAAACTAGACAGCCCTAACCTTTAAAACCAGTGTTTAAAGGTTGGATCTCCATGTGTGTGCCATCAATGCAGGTGCTTGCACCTGTACCACTTCATCCTTCCTAAAGAGTAAGTTAATGAAAATTAGATACAATATGGCTAATGAGAGATAGTCTTTCTTAATTATCAGGTCTCATATACATTATTCTATATGCCAGATTCATTGTAAATAACTTAAGTTCAATTACAAGGGTTCAACCCTGGAGCATTCCACACGCTTGTATTTGTAGCAAAAAGGTATTCCAGTTCAGTTTTATCAGAAGATTACCTTAAAATGCTTCCAGCTAGGCAAGGCTCCTCGGGAAAATATTAAATTTGTACAGTGGACTCTCCAGATATGAACTTAATTCGTTCTGGGGGTACTTACGTACCCCGAAAAGTATGCAACACGAGACGCTGCTTCTGTGTACGCATGTGGCGTGATAGAGCACTTCTGCACATGCATGCGTGGAGAAACCCAGAAGTATACACTTCTAGGTTTGCCGACTTCGCAACCCGAAAGTTACGTTACCCGAAGGTAATGTAACCCGAGGGTCCACTGTACTCCAAATAGCATAAAGAATGCTCCCAGATACTTCATGTGTGAAAGTTTATTCTAGAAGATAAACTCTCTTCTCTTCTTCACTTAAATCAGTTCTTTAACCATCTATCGATATCTATACTGTCTCAGTTAGGAGAGGATATCCAGATTTTGGCATAATTAAACCTGTGATCTTGCATGTGATTTTGATTGTGCGATAGCTCAGTCAACAAAACATGGGACTCTCAATCTTCATGGTCATGGGTTCGAGCGCCACGTTGGTCAAAAAAATTCCTGCACTGCAGAGGGTTAGACTAGATGACTCTCGTGGTTCCTTACAATTCTACAATTCTATGATTCTACTCTGTGCAGAATACATCACTTTGGAAGTACAAAGGATTGGACTGTGTGGTGTGTGTAAAAAGAGGATACATCTACAGTTTCTCTTTGGTGACTCAGCAGCAGACTAGATGTGCTGCAACAGCTGTCACCAAGCCTACTGCCAGCAAACACACTGTAGCTGCCATTTAGTTTGCATGGCATGGCTATTTTTATACAATGTTTTCCTGTGCAGCTGACGTTCACAGGGACTAGAGTTCACCATAGTCCAACTGTTTTTGTAACAAATGTGCTTAAGGTGGACTGTTGTTCCCATGAACAAAACTTCCAAAGCCTGTCCCGAGATGCCACTAATGATTAGCACTTATATTAAAACTTTTCCAGAAAGGCTGTCAAATCTTTGAAATTCAAGCATTCCACAGAAGCACATACGGCAGAAATGAAAAAAAGCATTATTTTATTTTTCAAGTACAACTTGAAGTTGTATTGGTAAGAAAAGCACAAGGAATCTTTTTTTTTTTCATCCACAAGTATTGGCTATGCACATTTCAGTTCAACTTAAAAATGCATTCAGGTTTACAAATGTACAAACAGCACATAAAATGTATAGTTTGAACAGTATGCGCATACATTTGCTCCTAAGGTTTTTACATTCGTAGAGCCTTTAACAAAGAGAGCCTTATTTTTAAAAAAATACTCTGCATTTTTAGCACAAGGTGCTCTTAAAAATTATGTTTGAGAGCATAATACTGGGGGGGAAATTAAAAACCAAGCACGGTAGTTAAAAATCATTGCATTTTGGAAATTGCCAAGTGTTTAAAAAACAGAATGGGCAGTTGGTAAAAAAAAAAAAAAATGACTATCATCTTATAGGATTTTTTAACCCACATCCAAACTTTTCCAAGCTGATCAGTAATTTTATACTACCATAATCTCAAGACAGACTTTAAAGTGATGAATGTATGACTAGATTGTAACCATGTTGGGGTCTGAGTAGGAATGGCAGCAAACTGCAAATTATGTTCCAGGCATATTACAGAATTTACCATGATCCAATCTGGACAACAGTCCCTTTGTTCTTAATTTCCGTTTTCAGGTGGATAATGCACATTAGGCCAAGGATCTGAGCTTCTTCTCCCGATTGCAGGGCTCCAAATTAGCCAAGGGTTATATGCTTGTCCCAAGTCTTCAGGATTGCTAACTATTGGGGCAGCAGCAGCTGGTGGAGGGGTGTTTTCACTCCCAAGATCAATACCTGGCAACGTGTTAGCTGGAGTGTTGAAAGGAAGGCTACTGTTCAAATTACTTGACCAAATGGAACTGCTGAACGGAGTGGTGGTGGTAGACCACAGGCCGCTTGGGTTCCCAAGGATAGACTATATTAATAAAAAACAAAATAAGGACAAGAGCTGTGACACACAAGTATTCAATACTACCAGGAAAAAGAGAGCACCACATGGAGTAGTAGACATACATACATACATACATACATACATACATACATACATATTCATATACTTACTGAAGTGGTGTGAGTTGGGGATCCTGAACTTGTGGGCCAGGGAGGTATCAGATCTGTAGCTGAGGAGTCCCAGATGGATGAAGGAACATTACTAAGCTCAGTCCAGTTTCGTTGAACATCTGGACTATAAACAGACTGTGACAGCCCAAGCTTGCTGAAAACTTCTAAGTTGAGGGAATGGAGAATAAGACAAAACATCCATGTTACATTCTGTCTTGAAAAATCTATGCACAATATTATTTTTCATAGATGAAATCAACAGCTTTATACCAACACATACATACACAAACATGGAACCAGAAGACTGCATATCCTGCCCTAGTCAAGGCTAAGCCAATGTCTGGCTTAGTATGTTCTCTGAATGAAAGCTTATGAGCTCTTCAGACTAAGTGCAAGACTAATCGGGAGAGGGCTTAAGGATGATCTCAGCTTTGGAAAACACGCAAAGCCAAACTTTGTGTTGGCTCAGCACAGTGTGGCAGCAAAAAGGGCCAGGAAGAAGTAAGGCAGCTGCAAATTCATATTAGGGGTCCACATGTTCCTGCATTCATGCTGAGCCAGCATTTGGCTTAGCCTGATTTGCAAGCCAGAACACAAGTGCTAAACAACACAACTAAGTGAGAAAGAGCTGCCCATACAGCAATCCAGTTGAATGATCCAATGTTTGCTCTGACCTTTTATGTGAAAGACTGCCATTACTAGATCATTGTGGTGCTGTGCCTTCTCTATTTCTTGCTCTGAGCAACCATATCTGAGGAATAATTCTTCTAATAGGAGAGCTTCCTTTGAACATTTTTAAACACTAACTGCCCCAACAAAGCTTACTGATTCTATGGTGTTTTGTTTTGTTTTTGTTGTTCCATGGGACCAGACTCTATAAACTCAAATATACAATTCTTGGGACAAACACTGAACTTTGACAGCTGTTACAGAAAAGTTATTAAGTCCCCCTAACCATTTCCTAAATCTCCATGCTTTATTTGCTGAGAGGTTTTATTTCCTACAGCAATTTGGAGATTCTATATTGTGGCATAGTTTCCCATTGATCATGTTCCCCCTATTTTATCATTGCCCCACCTTTGATCTCTTTGATCATCAGACCTCCAATGCGGGTGGTGAGTAAAGCCCTGCTCTTTTCTCCCCTTGGGGAGAGGACACCTACATCTCCCTCCATCATGTTGAACTCTAAAGCAGTCTGATGCGCAGTCAACCCACTGGGAAGGTCCTCACCTGACTCTCCACTGTTTGCATGGTAACTGACAGGTAGCTCAATCAATAAAATTGAAATAAATTGGCATGCCACTAGAATCTGGCTTTTATTTATTTATCTATCTATCTCAAACATAAACACCCACACCCACACACCCCTGGTATATTGAAGTGTGTGATTATTTATGTAATTAAGAAAAATATTGTTTTTTGTTAAAAGAAAAGGTATTTTTAATATTTTATGTCATTCTTTATTTTCCAAGACATAACACTGCCAAAAACATTCTCAAAGGAAGTGAGCCTCATTACATTAGGAAAGATTGGCCAGGGTAGCCAATTGAGAAATATGGCATATTGTTCTGTTCCTTTTTTTTAACTACTGTAATATACCACTCACCTCCAGTTAAGTTAAAGGAGTTTCCAAATGCTGAGAAGGAGTTGAGGGGTGTGAAATCCGGGCTGCTAGGATTGCTTATAGGACTCCACAAACCAGAACTAAGTGTAGCCGAGGAGAAGAGGTTTTCATTAATAAGGTCACTTCAGTGTGAAGACCACCAAAACACAGCCAAATATCATATGGACAACAAATAATGATTTTAACACACTGTCAATTTTGACAAAAAATGCCAAGGGTGAATTCCCGACTGATTATTTACAGGTATGTGCCAGTGAGTTTTGTAGCTGAAAGTAGGCCTACAGTCACATCCTTAGTTAACTAAGTTAACTAAATTGTCATTTTTTAAAATGCCCACACAACTGAGAAGTGCACACTTGGTCCCCATATTTCAGTATCTTATGAGAAGAGGAAATGCTGGATTTCAGTTTTGTTGCTTTATTGTCAAATTACAAACATGCTATGCTATGCTAAGCAGCCAGCATCCAAATTTTAAAACATTTTTTTTTAAAATAAAAAATAACACGAAATGGAAGGGGTTTTTTTTGGATAGGCAAATTATGAAGTGAGGATTTTTCTATGTGCAAAGTATAGGAATTTTAATAGACATATTCTTCTAACTGGGGTGCAAAAGGGAAAGCAGCTTTTTACCATATCCACCATTGTTGAGCCTCTGTTTCCAAAGGATTAATTCAAGTTACCTGTCAGAGCCGTCACTGTCAACGGTTGTGTGTGAAACATTCATACAGCCAGATGCCTCGCTCTTCATCGGTGAAGGTTTTGCTAGGCCACTGCCACCTGTAACAATGGAGTTTAAATGAACATATGAAGACAGCAGAACAATCACACTCTCAAATAGCCATAGCTTTTTGATTCCTGTGTTTTACCTGGGCTCTTGTCATAACCAGCAGCTACAGCAGCAAATGTAGGGTTTCCATTCCTGCCAGGGAGAGAAGCTGTCTTTGCCACCTTATGTTTGGCACCACTGAGCACCTTGCTTTTCGGTTCACTGAAAGAAAACAAGGAGGAGGAGGGATGTGGTGTTCTTTAGAGCTTACCTGAACTGGATTTTGCCATGAAGTTAATATGCTAGGGTTTGGATATTTCAAGGCAGTGATCTAACATCACTGGTTGCCTTGTTTGAGATATTATTACTATGATGATGATGATGATGATGATGATGATGAACTAAATTCATATACCGCCCTATACCCACAGGTCTCAGGGCGGTTACAACATAAAATCACAATATAAAAATTCAAAATACATAATAAAATTAAAAACAAAAATAACCCAATAAAGCCTTCCTACCCAAAATGCATTTTTAAAAGGCATTTGATGTCAATCAGCCAAAGGTCCAGTTAAAGAGGAGCAAATTGTGAATTTAGCACCAATCTGGTGATTTGGATACAGCCAAACTAAGGGCTGACACAGATATTGTGTCCTGAAACCTATTTTTCTTTTAGTATTTGAATAGGAAAACATCCACATTTTTTATTCACCACTTCTGACACTAAGTTCTAGCCAAAACCATCCTGAGATGTGTATGCAGTGAGCTAGGATTGCTTCTACTGCTGATGAGAGTATGTATCTTTCAGCATATCAAGAGAGTCTTACCCTCATCCTAATTCATTTTGTTTATAATTTGTTGCCTTTGCTCCTGTCTGCTGTTCAGACCTAGATTTGGATCTTGGCCCCCTACAGAAGTTATACAGAAAACAGGACCCTGGGCTCATCCCAATAGATTGTGTCATAAACTAGGAAGGAAAGAAGTTAAAAACTCATCTTTGTTGACAGTTGGAACTGAAAATGGTAATGCAGCTAAATAAATAAAAAAACGACAGAAGTTTCTTGCCTTCAGATGTTGAGCTTGGTTATGCAGTGACCACCTGAACTTACCTGCAGTTGTTCACAATACTGCTATAAGTGCTTCGGGGCACAAAGGCCAATGATGCAGGGGGTGGAGATGGCGAGGCAGGAGTTGGTGAGGTCTGTCGTTGTTTCAAGAAAGCATCTGCACTAAGGGTTTGTAGGGACAGCTTATAAAGGTTGTCAGTAGCTGGGAACCAGAATAAGAGATATCTTATTTTTATTACTTCATTGTACAAAGTCAGTCTTGAAACAGTTACTTGTGGTTGTATCCAGTGCTGCGCCAGGAGTTCTGCTGGTACAATGGGACTTTCGTTTCCTCCCCCTACACACACACACCCTGCTTTGAAGGGGGTCCCCTCCTCTCCTGGAAATGATTTCGAGGGTGTGTGCAGCTGAAGGGGGCAGGAGAGGAGGATGGGGACATTGCAGCACTGGATATACCTCATGAACTTTTAAAATAAATAAATAAACCAGTCACAAATTAAACCTCCCACCAGGAGAGCAGATTTTAATAGTGTTAACTTATTCCAAGTCTGATAATGTTTCAGGCAACTACAAGTTTCAGTTTGGTGCCCAGTAAGTCAGATATTCTGCACCACCTAAAGTGGCAAAGTTGAGGTTGTCAAGTTCTGCACTTCTAACCTTAAAAAAGGAACTAACTCTAGGGTTGCCATACATGCAGAATTCCCCAGACATAGCTGAGATTCGTCCATCAAAAATGGTGTCTGGGCGGAATTTTCAAAAATTCAGAAGGTTAAAAACTTATCCTTTTTTGGAGATTTGGGGGGGGGGGGAGTTCAACAGCTTTTGTGTCCAGATGTTCACTTTTTGAAATATGGCAACCCTAACTCTCACTCATGCACGTTACTAAAACAGTGCTGAAGTGGGGACAGGAGGAGAAAATGCCTTTGACATACGTACACATTTCCCCACTCCTTGCTTGTAAGAAGAGGTGAATACCCAAATTGATTTGGATACTCTTGGGACCTCCCATTATCCTGGTAAGAGTACAAGCCAAATCCCACTGCCAGTCTCTCCCTGGCCTAACATCTCCCTGAGTTGGGAAGGGAGTAGTAATGCCTAAACAGACTCTTACAGATCACTCAGTATAACTGCTCTGCTGTAGATGCTGCAAAGGCAGAGTGGGTAAAAAGCCCCTGTACAGGGAAGGAGCACCCCACAAGGGACATTTTCTCAGTGGAGAAGCCACCCAAGTAGTATAACATAAAGTGCCTGGAAACAATCCTTTCCCCCAATCTCTCTCTTGAGGAGTTTTATTATTATTTAGTGTGCTTAATAAATCCATTTTGTTACAAATCACAAAACAAAAAGTATATTATCAGCAATGAGTTCAGGGGACAGAAGTTGGACAGCAGAGGCATCTTATCCAAACAAGCCCTCCGTTATCCCTTTGTGCCAAGAACTCTGTGACAATCATATGCTGTTCTGATGTTAAGCACAAAGAATTGCATTCAAATGGAAAAAGAAATTAAATCCTTTGTTATTGAACTGATTCACTGCCCATAAGCTTATTGCTAATGTTAAATTAATGCCCAGAGTACTTACAGCTGCCTGCCTTGTGAATTGGCACTGAGTCCCACTCTGGTGGTGGAGAATCTTTTTCTCCTTCTGAGCTGCTGGTATTGCCCAGCTCCTGACCAGAACCACTGGAGAAAAACTTTGCTAGTGAAGATGGCCTATTATCCATCAGCTTCATATTGATACCTAAGAAGAAGAAGAAACAAAAACAAAAAAATAAACTTGTAGTTTGTAGGGCATACAGCACTTCAGCCTCACAAGTACAGCCAGTGAGGAACAGCTAACACTAAAGTTTCAGAGGTTAATCTTGATCAATAGCTGAACAGCCAAAGAATACCTTTTGTTTTCTGGAGGTTTCTTGGTTTGAACCCATTTGCGAACATATGCTGAGAAGACAACTTGGATGAAAAGCTTTTGTGCTGCTTATTTTCGAGTGACGAAGGACATGACATCTCAAAGGAACTGTAATAAAAGTATTATCCAAAAAAAGTTATTATTTGTAACAGTTTGACCAACAAAGTAAGATCTTGCATACATAAAAGTGTGCAGAAGAGAAACAGCTTTCTCTAATCTTCTCCAAGCCGACTCCCTTTGTCTTAACTGTTAGGAAAAACAAATGGAGAAGTGTCTCTCCAAATCTATTTGTCTAAGTTCTTGCTTACAAAAAAAGCAGGCTTCTTATTGTGCAGAGTTTCCCATAATTACAAGGTTTCCCCTTTCTGTTCAGTTTCTATTATCTATCATTCTTCTTGTGCCCAGGCACTACCACTTCCTTTTCTTCAGCCACGTTAACAGAGAAGAAATGGTAATTATTGCAGCGTGTGACACATTTCTCTCAGCTGACTGATGCAAAGTTCTGCTGCCAGGAACTTTATTTCCTCATGCCTACTGAGGAAAGCAGATTGGATGGCATTAACATAGTTCTATGCGTACCTGGATTTCACATCTGTCGGGATTTCTTTCTTGATAAGCGATAGCTTTTTGCTTTTCTGTTTTACTTGGATTTCATTTTCCTGTTTTTCTGGTATTGCCTGTTTTCCCTTTTGCTTTTCTGGCTCCTACAAACAGCCAACCAAATCCCAATAAAAATATTAAGTAAACAATAAGACATTAAAAGGAGATTTTTTTAAAAAAAAGGAAGACAACAATTCTAGGAACAATATGCATTACAGCTAAATCTCCCCATTTCTTTCACAAAACAGCTTTGATAATTATATTTAAAAATGTAAGCAGAGAGCTTTTCCTTTAAGTTACTTAACTGAAGCTACCAGTTCATTTTGCTATGCTACAAGAAACCTAGAGCACAGTAAATTCTACGAATTACTTAGGGATATCTAAAGGCCAGTTTAGACATGATGCTACATGCATTATTACCAAGTAGATGTAGCAAGTAGAGTAAGGGGCAATATTCATCAGGACTGCACCAAGGGAGGCAAGGGGTAAACCTCCCCACATGTTATTTTGTCCCAATGAATTTTGTGCCCTCCTCACCTACCATTATTATTATATTTTTAAAAAACCACACATTTGGTATCTCATCTACTTTTGCTCCCGAATGTTCAATTTTAAAAATCAAATGGTAGATGTGTAATTTCATGAAGTAATTCTACATCAGTCACAGTACCCTTCTGGACTATGGAACAGGGATGGGCCTAGGAGCCGGGTACCACGTTGTGCTGGCTCTGGTTTTTTAATGTAGGGCAGGTCCTAGGAGGTTAGGTTGGAGGACAAATGTTCAACTTCTTGGGTTGTGCTCCCCTCAAAAACTAGTTTCATGGTTGGAGAAAGCATTTCTGGCCTTGTTCCTAGATTGCCAGAAATGCTTTGACACATTTTCAAGTTTGTGTGCGCCTTTCCTGGAGAAGGCAAATATGGCCATTGCCACATAGGCCCTGGTCAAATCCAGATTGAATTACCGAAGTATGCTCTATATGAGGATGCATTTGAAAAGTGACCAGAAAACTTAGCTGGTACAAAAATGCTGCTGTTCTAATTTTGTTTAGTCTCACTGGCTCCCAGTTTGTTTCCAAGCCCAGTCTTAAAGTTTGATTACCATCATTGCTAAATGGTTTGGAGCTAGGTGTTTTGAGAAAGGCCATCCTCTCCCACATGATTCTGACCGTTCACTGAGGTTTTCTGGGAAGGTCCTGTTCTGTATCCTACTGCCTTCAGAGATGGTAGGGATGCATTACAGGACGTTTTCAACCCAACTGTGTATCTTCCTGCTCCAGGAGGTTTGCTTGGCCTTTCTCTTGAATCAATGCTCAATAAATGCAGCATTGTTTTACTGCGCTTTTCGTTTTACAAATTAGGTGGCTATGTTTTCTAATATTCTGGAGTTTGGTTAGGTATATTGTGGGGTTTTTTTCCTGCTGCTGCTTTTGAGTTTTTCCATTACCAAGCTGTTAACAATTCTTGTGAGCAGCCTTATGGGGGACACTTTGTGGGGAAGAAGTGGAGTTTAAATCTCTTAATGAATAAATATAGTGGCAAGTTTAAAGTATGAAACCCCCAGACTCATCATCTTCTCTCATCTGACACCCCTTTTTTAAAAAAAAGTCTACCTCTTTTAGAAGTGCTTCTGTGTCGGGGTTGGAAGTTTCTGTGGTAGTTGAAGAACTGTCATCATCTGCAAGAGAATCCTTCAGTTCATCCTCTTGTTGCTTTCCCTTTCCTCTTCTCTCCTTTTCTTCCCGCTTCTTCTGGGGTTTAGATTTGCGTTGAAACGGTTTTCCTTTCCCTGGGGTATTAAAGGCAGCTTCCAATTAGCAACAGCTGTGATCTGTGACAGCTGTAGAGAACAACACCCTTTCATCACCGTGATGTACCTGGGACAAAGTCCACTAGGAACATCATACACTAGGAATTGTACCAGTACACTTCAGTGGAGGAACATTCCTGGCACACCGCACTCCAGGTCAGCTGTACTACTTCATGCGGGATGCAATTCATTTCAGAGACACTTTCTGATGTTGGTGGTATCAAATTTAAGAAGTCTAAGGGATTTTACACACCTTACTGTGTTTTACAGATACTGGCCACTGATGATATGCAGTTTCCCTTAGCTTTCTGGCTACAATGTGCTAACAAAGGAACTACTGCACAATTGGTATGTTACTGGCAATCCCTATAAAATATAACTATGAAGAAAGCAAAATGCAGAGTATGTACCCCCACCCCAAACTAATACTAATATTACTTATACCCCACATTTTCCCTGACGGGACTGAAGGCAGCTTGCAGATAAAAACAAGAACAACTAAAAATATAGCAAAAGCAACCATTAAAATACAATTAAACATTGACAAAAATGGAATTAAAGCTATATACATATATAAAATCTGTTTAAACATACTAATAATTATTTCTGCTTAACACACACCGTCATACATTTTGTACAGGTTCTAGGTTTCAGCATCATATCTATTTCCTTCAGAAATCCTGTATTTTCTATTAGTGTTAGCAAGCAGGCTTTAGTTTTAAAGCACTCAGTACAGAACAGTGGTATTGGATGAGTTGGCTGCTACACAACAATTTCTTACAAGTTTCTACAGGCAGACTTCAACCCTGTGTGAGCAAACATCCACTCTTGCAAGGCTGCACCTTCGTCTCCTCCCTTCTGCAGGCCCCCCCCCAACCCTCCGGAGAAGATTTTGAAGGTCTGGGAGGATGTTGCAGAGAGAGAAAGTGAAGCCTTGCTGTGCAGCTGGAAGTCTGCTCCTCTTCTGGATGGACAGAGTTGGATACAACCCTACATGTTTATCCATGTATTGTTACTTTTAAAAAGTCATTCAAGCACAGGAATACTTCAAAATTCTACAGCATTAGTCTGATAAGTCAAGCACAACTCAGGGTGCTTCTTCAGGGTTTGTTTTTCAAACTTTTCTTCCCATTATCTCTGGGCTACATTACCTAAAAATGGATATTAAGAGTGTAATCCTCAGGAGTCAAAGTACGTGAAAAGGGACACAAAACCACTTACTAGCTTTCTTGAACATTTCTTCCTCCTCTATCACTTCCCACACCCCGGATATATGTAGTACAAACAGCACCATGATCCCCTGTACCATATGACCTTGTTCACTCTCTGAAGTCATAGGGTCTGGTCCTTGGAGCCTAAAACACTTCCCAAATTAGGTGACTTCCGGGTTAGCGCCATCGCCGAATGGCGGACTCCCTCCGAGCTCCGGAGGGAGTCTGCTCGGCAGGGGCTGGGTCCTACCGCGCCGGCGACGCGGGGACCCTTCAAAACCACGGGCACGGAGTCCGTGGACATGGGTGACTCGGCTTGCACCATTAGCGCCCTCCCGACTCGTGAAGGAGCCTTTTTAAAGGCTTCGGATCGGAGTGCCGGGAGTGGCGTGGTGCTTGAGTCCACTGCTTTCCCTGCCGAGCGCAGCCGCATGCCATTCGACGGAGAGCGCTGACTTCTTCTATTGAAAATTTGGACTATTAACAACAACCCGTGAGTAATTGGGAAACCGGGTTCAAAATTTTGGATTTGGCACGAGCGGGGGCTATTTAAAAAGGAAGTCAAGCCCCCCCCCTATTGTAAGCATTCCAAAACAAGGACTGGGTAACCAAGGTCCAAAGGGAAGTATGTCTCTGATAAAAATCATTAATTTCACGATGGGAAATTATAAGAAATGTGCTGGAGGAGAAGAGTGGAGGGTGAGAAGAAAAATGCAACCCCCCCCCCTGGGAACCGGGGCGATTCGTGGAGCCTGGTGAAGAGAGACGGAGACTTTGACAGCTGTCAAAGTGGCTGTCAAAGCTGGAGAATATAAAGAGGACTTTGTTATGAGGACCTTGCTGGTTAATTTTGTTACAATTTGCTATAATATGGATATAAACTGTTGGAAAATAAGCAACAATTTGACTTTTGGATTAGAGGATACAAAGTTATTACAATCCCCCTAGAGGGTCTCGGGATACTACAAGAACGGTCGTAAGTGGAAAAATACCCTGGGATTCGCACAGGATTTGTTATCTTCTGGGAAAGCTGCAAAACTGAAAGAGTATTTTGTCTACAGAGGAAGACAATGGAATTTTTATTGAAGAAAGAAAGGGACTGGACGTAAGTTTTGTTCCTGAATAACAAACCTCTGCAGAGACACTAGATTTCTGAATTAGAAAGTTTTAGCAGCTGAACAGGACAAGAAACCTGAGAAAGTGAGGAATAAGAAGAATAAAGGACTGATTACGACACGGAAAGAACAACGGGAGGAGTGGTAAAGATCAAGGAAATTAAAGGCCTTTGTTAGATTGGACATTTGAAGTCAAATATTATTTAAATTAATAAACTAAAGAAAACCGGCAAGATGGAATCGGGAGAAATCTGGTCATGAAATGAGACTTCCAAGCTGATAATGCATAGACTGATGGACATGGGGAATTCAACCCGGGGAAGGGGGGGGGAGATGTGAAATCCAAAGGCTGTGTAACCATTTTTTGAATTTTTCTATATCTCTTATTTTCTATTTCTTTACATAACTTACGCATGTTATTTTACTTTGATCGGACGTGTTTAAAAAAAAGGGAATTTGTGGAAGGAACTGGGGTGGATCTTGGGGAAAATCTTTTTTCTTTTCTGTTAATGATGTGGGACGGTGGTAAGATTTATACAATTCAATCTGGATAGTGGGTTAAACAAATTAAGCTTTAAATTGGGAGTGAGAGCTTGTAGAACCAAATTAAGGAAAGGGGAATACAATTGGGGGGGGGGGAGTCCCAGAAAGTAGGGAATGAAAGTAAGGTTTTTAAATATCTTCTTTCTTTTGTCTTTTTTCTTTGTATTTTTATACTTTTGGAAACTTTAATAAATATGATTTAAAAAAAAAAAAATAAAACACTTCCCAAATTAATCTTTTAACTTAGCCTTAACAAACAATAGGAGCATTAGCATGAGGAAAGCAAGTTCACCGCCACTCTGCATATGAGCGCAGCCTAGTAGAAATTCTCTGACACTTCTCCTCGCTTCTTTAAGTTGCTGGAACTCCTATTCAAATAACCACTGCTATCGGGGAACAGGGAAAGTGTGTGGTCGTTTCAAAAGCCTTTACTGAATCCTTTTTTTAAAAGAGAATTATTTCACATAAGAAGTGCACAAAGGACAAGTTTCGATCAGAGAGGTGCATAAATGTCATAGAGGGGGAAACAGATGACAGAGACTCTTGTCTTGCCTCCCATAGAGAGTTGTCTCACCCAGCACATACAACTTTTTATGTACACACTTCGTAAGATAAGAGTTAATTGAGTGAAGTAGGAGTTTATTACCTTTGTTTTTTGCTACTGGAGATGGGGGCTGCTCTGTAAACACATCTGGGGAAGGGGATTCTGGATGATCAAAGTCTTTGTCCATGGTTTCTATAAGAGCAGCAATGTCGGAATCCTCTGAGCTGTGCCTCGTGTTGCTGGCACATTCTGAATGTGAAGGAGTAGGAAGCTGCGACTGCGGCAGGGAGTTTTCAGTCTGCTGCTCTTGTTGGTGAGGCACTGCTGGTGGCTGTGACAAATGTTGCTCTAGTAAGACTGGAGCGTGTTGCTGGTTTGAGTGCAGATTTTGTTTTCCACCCCTGGACTTCCTGCCTGCTGTGTGATTCTGAGTTGCAGAACTGGAGTCCAGGAAGAGGGAACCTGCTCTGTTTGTTGACTGTGCAGAACCTGCCTGCATAGAAGTCCTACTAGCAACATTTGAACAGTTTTTATACTTCATGTTTTCAACTTCGACTGAATTTCTATTGCTGTGCAGGTGTGCGGATGAATTGCATTGCTTATTACTTCCTGCGTTGGATCGTGATGAGGAACTTCCTGGTCCATAGATTCCTCTGGAAGAGCTGTGGTTCGAATCTGATCCAAGTGCATTCAAGCTGGAAGCAGATCAAATTTGTTTTTACTTCTCATAAATATTTAGTAAAATGTAGCTGCACAGTTCCCAACCTATTTAGCAAAGCATAATAGTAGTTCTTAATGTTTCTAGGTAGCATCTAAATGGCTGGTTCAACATAGCTTCAGGAAATATAAGTGTATAGTGCTAAACTGGGCCTCAAAACTTGATCAAGAGACAAGTAAGTTATTTCTAAAGCAGCATGTTAACATGCCCTGCTATCAAAGAATAGTTCCTTGCTACAGAGACCAACAAAATTGATATATAATCCCTGTTTTTGAAAAACAGTAATTTATACATCATTCCACACAGGCATCTTCCTGACTCCCATTTTCCTCCTCCTTTATCACAATTTCTTCACTCTTTTCTATTTATGTATTTTCTACGTAATTCTTACATTTAGGTAGTATTGCATAGCAGCTTCCATAGAAGTATGCAATTATCCAAGACTGCTTTGATGCATTGCTTACTGTGTTATACTCAAGTGCACAATAGATGTGCACGATATCAAGCAGAACCACATACTAGTGTTACATTAAGTAGTTAAGTTACCACTTGAACTGCTCCTGAATACAAAAACATAAGACGCAATCCCTATATAGTATCAAGATATATCTACCAGCTTCTGAGAATGTTTGCAACTGATGTCCTAGTTTTAAGATAACAACTATTCACTATTCAACTATCCATCATGTATTTTCCAAGCTAATAAAGTCTGAAAGACCATTCTGCATCAGTTGTTTTAAATTCCATAGATATTTTTGCTGCACCTGTGATCTGCTCAAGTTGTGAGGCTAGGAGCCTCGTTTACAAGAGTGACATATACTGGTGAGAAATGCTACTTTGCAAACATCCAATTCATAAGTAAGAGCTTACTTTCCATCAGATGAAATTCCAACTATCCTCCTGAGATCAAATGGTCTTCCCATATCAAAGGGAGGATTGGATGCCTCAAAGGACAAGCGTCGTCTGAATGGCTCCCAAATTCCTTGAGCTTCTAAATAGGCTGTTCCAATTACCAAAAGGAAGAGCACACTGCAACAGACAAGTAAGTAAAGCATCAGTGTTTCTGCCATCATAGCCTGGAAAAACTGAAGACACAAGGCGAGCCCATTTCTTGTTGACAAATTAAGAGAAACAATATTTTACTCCCACCTACACACATCACAACCCCCCACCATGCTGGTACTGAAATGCCAAGTTCCAGTAACATTTACATACTATATAATTAAGTCATCCATAAGCACCTATTATTGGAACAAGCATAGACGCTGATCCTGAAAAAGCAAGACTAAATCTGGTAGGAAAAACAAAGGCAACTTGCGAATTATTAAGCTGAATGTACTGGCAAGCTGCCCAAGAAGCTGAATTCCTAAGTGAGGGACTCCCAGCAGAGAAAGTGCTGTCGCTCAGCAAGTTATGCCCAAACTTAGGATCTGTTTCTCCCAGGAGTTTCCCAGCTTACTGTGTTTGCTGAAATGGGATATGCGGTAAGAAACTGACTCACACTCGTATCAACTGCTTCTAGCTCATTTGTAAGAAGTTATTAAAATAATAAGACATCTGTCTGCTCAATCTATCTCTCTAAGATCGACTACTATGCGACTCCATGCTTTGCAAATACCAACTCTCAACAGAACTGCTACTGGTATATCATGTGCTGTAACTGTCAACAAATTTCCATGTTCATGGGATTTGGAGAGGTTTTCCCATTAGTTATTACAATTAAATGCAGATGGTTATGCAACAGGAGCTAATGAGTTTATTCAGATAAAATGTGACTTTTGCTCTCTGCTGTCTGTGCATATTCTGGTTGTAAGCCCCACTGCAACACTGTTGACAACCAACATATATTGCTTATATATTTTTTACATATGCACATATATTTCTTACATATGCATATTCACAGCAAAATATTATGGCATTTTCTTAACATATTTGATTTATTAACATAGAAATACATGTATATTATAAAAAAACTATTAAAAAATTGTGTATAGTACCTCATTATTCCTGAGACTAATACGTACAGTGCCAGCTCCCAATTGGGCCTGGGCAGAGCTTCTGCACAAGTTGCTAACATATGATAGGGAAGGGATGCATTTAATATGAACATAAACTCAGAACCTCCTGTTGTGGTTAGTTTCAGTTCACGGATGACTCTGGAAGTTGTGAAATCTGGTGTAAACCTGTTGAGAGTAAAGGATTGTTATTGTTTATCTAGATTATATATATATACACTTGATAACAAATCCACACGTTCCAGTTACATTAGAGTCAATCTAGGATTCAACATCCCCATCTATAGCAGATCAAATAAGCCTCTAATAATAGTTACTGCTTGAATTTAGATTAAAGTCATGATGCAAAGATCTTGAAAGGAGAAGTGGGGGCTCACATGTGAATCTTTGCACTTAAACACTCCCCATTCCTAACAAAAACGGTTTGATCTAGGCCCAGACCCACTGATTTCAATGTGTTTGTTTAATTATAACTAAATCTAGATTCAAACTCTCTGCAGGTTTTAATGCTGCAATTTAATTCTTATGATTTAATAAGTTCTGCACATGCCAATATTAACTGTGCACACAGAGTGCATCTTTATGGGGGTAAGTAGAAATAAAAATCATTTATGGAGATAAATGAAAATAGAAATGTGGTGCTTAGGAATATGATAGAATTATCTCTTATTTGTTAGCACTTGGCTGACAGAGAAAATCAGAGAGAGCCGGGAGAAAACGACCTGATTCGTCAGGCAGGAGAGAAAAAAACTGAAGGGGACTGTGCCCGCCTCCCAGAGTTCTTTGCTCTCCTGTCTCTGTCATGCAATGCGAGTCCTAACCCCAACCCATTCGGCTCTTCATTAACTGTATCAAATATGATGGTGCGGTTAGTATTTCATGACAAATAAAGAAAATGTAATGGCCATTATCATAAAGGAAAAGGCTATTATCTTTAAGAGTGATGGGTAGCCTCATGCAACTTCTGCTATATACCACTTGACACATACTTCATCTGACTCTAATATAAACTTTTGTTCAAGCATAATTGTTGCTAGGAGAGGGCAGGGAGGGGCTGCTGGTTCCCCATTCCTCAGGCAGAGCCAATGTATGCATTATTAAACCAAGGTACGCATGAGTGTATCTTATATCCACATGTAGCTCTTTTGCTCTTCCCTTCACACGAGTGGGGAGACAAGTCAAGTGCATGAAACTCATTTGTATCTTAGCTTGTTGAGAGATATTTGAACATAGCACTGTTACAGCTTACATAAATTTATCTAAACTGAAGGGGTAAACGGCTTGACGGATTTCATTTACGTAGAAGAAATCTATGTAAAGAAGGTGTTCAGTGTGCTCCAGGAACCTCTGGCAAACTAAATAAAAAAAGCATTTTCTATATACAATGCTAAGTATAGAAACTCCAACCACCCGCTGCCCCATCAACTGAAAATGGTGCCAGTCTTCAGCATAAGTTAACTTACAATACGACAATCTCTTTAGAGGCATTGGAACTTAGTGCAAATTCTTTACAGTTAACTACTTTAAATCCATATCCTTCACATGAATATCCACTGATTTCTATGGATTTTATATTAACTTGAAGCTGCCCCGTATTCTCCACCTTGAACGTTCTTTTCAATGTGAAGTTTGGTTCCTTTAATTTTGTTTCTGAAATAAAGAGAAAAATGCAGTTAAAATTAGACTACTATTTAACAAGAAAATGGTGTCAGCATTTGGCTCAACTGGTTTCACAAAGCTACTTCAGTTACTTTCACTTCTTTCATTCTTGCTTTTAAAATACGAGAATGATTGTCTAGTTTCTTTCTCACACACTCTTGGATTTGATGTTTGGCTTCACCACAGAAGACTTACTTTCAGTGCAGTCTTTTAATAATGCTTCCGTGATTTTAAAGCGTAAAGAACTGCCCGGCCCAGGTGGCTTGCCTGCAATCCTCATGCTCTCCGTTGTTCCTTGTCCTTTAACCATTATAGCTTCTATTACAGTCAAATTATTTCTGTAGGGGAGAAAAGCCAAATAAAGCATTATGAAATTATGAAGAACTCTACTGTTTCTAGCTATATTGGGGTTATTTAATGAGGAAAAGCCAGTAACGAGTTTCATAAAATCAATAAAACAAACTAATACATAGACATTGTCTTTCCCTACTCCACAAATTGATTCTAACTTACTCATTTTTAAATAAAGCTACTGGTATGGATAAAATCTATAATGCTAATTTTCTCAAGTTATTAATAAATAATATCATGCATTAACTAAGGAGATGGAGGCCAGGAGCCACTGCATGGCATTTCCCCCCATTAAGTTCCCTGAACAGTAGCACCAGTGTAAGACGTTCCTGGAAATTTATCTGTGTGATGCTGCTTTGGGGTCTGCTTTTCAAAGGAATCTGTCCTACTGGGTACCACAAGTCGTTGGGCACATCTGAAGTAGCACTTTGTGTGCTATCCTAAATGCTGCTGAACATCTTTTGCCATTTGAACCTTGCTAATTTTTGTGCAAGCCTCGTTTATTTCATGCAGTTGGTGGTTCCTACACAATTGCCGCAGTGCATGGTCAGCTTACAGGATTAAATTGAGATAAAACATTAAATAAACTAATGAACTTCTAAAAGGAGTTGACACATTCATCCATTCCCATTTGTGTCATCACAGTGGCTTAAAAAGGAGCTGTGACCATGCAAGTTAGTGGGGCCATGTGGCCAGTAAAAATGTGGGTGTGCCTATCCATACACTCCTAGGTGTCCCAAGCTGTTATCCTGCTTCTGGCTCAATATGCTCATGGGGATGATTTTGCAGCTGAGCAAGCATGAGCAAAGTTTATGGTGCAGCATTAGCATCTCGTAGAGACAGCCAGGTTGTATGAGCTGACCCTTAAGACTTATGTATGTTAAATTACATTGCATTCAGTTGCATAGAACTTCTCACATATAACCAAACTGCCACTATAGTTCATCTTGAAAGCAATCAATGTGTCCCGCAGATGGCTGGGGAAATGTAGCTCTAAATTTGAACATCCCTGTTAATTAAAGCAATTCCGAAGATCTACCAATACCTGATAATGATTAGCGATGAAACTGTTTTATTAAGAACTGGAGTAAACTTCACTTTGACAGATTTTCTTTCCCCAGGCTTTAAAATTATGTTTAAAACTGACTGCCGAGACAAGCCCTCCGTAAATCCTGTGGCGCTTTGCAACGCATGACCCTTGAAAGAGGAAGACAAATCAAATTAAAAGGTTAGAAAGTTTGCATACTTTTAATCAGTGCCTAGCTTGTAGCTCTGTAAAACGCTGCATATTTTTAAACTCTCATTTTAAATATGTGAAAAGCAAATATATGAACCTAATTCTTATCTATATAGCACAACCTGTGTACCTGACAGCTTTATAGACTAACCAACAAAAGGCAGGTACCTATTACTAAAAGGAGCTTTCAAATCTAAATTTAAATAGGGAGGGAAGGGCTAAGGGAACAATCTAACAGAGAAATCGTAGCAGACTGAGAAGGCACTTAAGTGTCTGGATCACTTGATTGTGATAAGCAGAGAGAAAGGCAAGGGTAACAAGAGGATTTGCTACTGTAGCGAACTATAAAAGCAAAGGTCATTTCAGGAAGATAAAGAGACTGAACCCCTAACCAACAGCTACAGGCTGCAATCCAATGCACAGGAACCACTGGGATAAAGTGTAAACCGAGGTTGTTCACATGCAGTCAGGTGTTCAGTAAAAGCACTAGCAAAGCTATGGCTTTGTTTCAACCTAACATCCAATTATGGTTTGGCACTACAAGAACTAAGCATTGAACCCATGCCCTTTTTCCTGCTGTGCATGCTCCAATTAAATTAATAGCATTTGAGTGCAAACCATAATTTAGTGGTTTGAATGTAATGGCAGCCTATGGCTTGTGACTATTTTGCAAACCATGCTTATGCTCGTAATAACTGTACTAACAGCAGCTCAGTATTAAGAACTGGGTAGAACAAAACTGGGTTTTAAAGGATTACTTACACAGTTTCGAGAGACTTGAAATTCTAGCGTCTTCAAATTGAAGTTTGCAGGCTTAGTCAAGTTAAACCTGAAAGAAAAGCAGATAGTTAGGTGTGGCCGAGTACTCTGGAAAAATATTTAGATTCACTTTAAGAAGAAATAAGGGGCACAAATAATTTTTGTTTCTGTTCTGCGGCAATGGCCTGTTGGGATTATATCTGATGGGGGAGAAATGTTGGTTTATGTTATCATACAATAAAACTATTATGAATACTAGAAATAACATCTTATATGACATACAATACATAATATATCTGATAACTGAAGTTGTATGAATTTAATAGAGTAGGCTGGTATTTAAATTGCAGGTCTGCCTCAATTCATGTAGAAAGTAGCATTCAAGGGGCTCTATTTTAAGAGCAAAGAAGATAGGCAAGTACATCTACCCTAAACCCAGCCCTCAACATTATCTCCTTGCAAGCACCACTTTTTACCACCACTTACCGGTCCAATAGCTTATCTACGAAGACTGATGGATTGGAATATAGTGCTATGGGAAGAAGCTGAACAAAAACAGGAACATCTGCTGGATTTTCTAGAAGAATTTCTTCCTCCTGGCGGAACAGGTTTAGATTCAGACTTATTGTCCCAAAGTAGCAAATATAGGAAATCATTTTCAATATTAACTTTTGTGTTCTTAGTATACTACATTGACAATGCCAAGACTTACAGATGAACTGTTTGTGTTGGTAAGTGAAAAATCCAAATGGCGCAGTGAGCCAAGTAGAGATGGCCATGCCAATTCTGCTGTGATTTTGGAAGTCACAGCCTTCTGGAGATCTGTGTCCACTTCAAATACAGCACTTAATCTAGACCAGCAATGTAATTTAGCATGAAGAAAAATTAATATCAAGCTTCAAAACTAAAACCATAATATTTCATGGAATTCACATGCACATAGACATATCCAGTTTCATGATTCTACATCATAAGGATTTTTAAAAAAACGATAACTACAGTAAGCTAGCATGATTTCTTCAGTATTCTTGGAGTAGCCTTCAGTTCCATTGCAAGTTTATTAGCTGCATTTGGAAGCTAATAAAGCATTGCTTACTGTTTCATTTATATTTCCAACCCATTTATTGACTACTGCAACACTTCTCAAACAATTAAGATTCCCTGAATTTCAGTAACCCACCAGAAAGCCATTCCTTATTTTAAAACACTCACTGATTGCCTGAGTGATCTCTTATTCCAATCCATTCTCTGAACAGATTATCATGCAAATCCCAATCTGAATCCCATGCATCTTCTTGCATAGATGTACTGTGTTGTAATTTTGATTCAGCTAGAAAAGAGAAACATAAATTTCACCTTAACATCTTCAATATCTAGAATGTTAAGAGTGTTTAAAAGATATTAAAATTACTTACCTTTACTCAGAAAAGGCAACCCCACATAACAGTGATTCCCACATTGTAAACCAGGGTCAAAGTAAACATTTGCAATCTGAAAAATATAAGAAGCAGCAACCAAGAATTTAAAAAGACCCCTCTTAGGAATGCAAAACTGTGAAATATCTATATTTTTAAACATAGTTACGTAATTTTGAATAATATCCATAGTGCTCGAACCTTGGATTTTTTCCCTGGCTCCAGATCTTCTTTGTTACTTCGTAATCTCTTGTAATAAAACCGAACATCTTCTGATAGTGAACGGATCTGTTGTATTTTTACCTTCTGTGAGAAAGAGCTCATGATACTCAAACTCTGATGAACAGTCTTACCCTAAGAAAGAATGTACAATTGTGGGGTTTTTTTACACATCTTTGTGCCCATGATTGCAAAGTTTTTAGCACCCCTGGTAATATAGGCTAAGGTTGCTCTGAGAGAGTTATTCCATCTACATTATTTTCCTATAACCACCTCATTCAAACCTTTTCAGTTTAGAGATACGATACTGCACACATTAAGAAAAAGTATCGTGCAATGTTACAAGTCAACCAATTGGTTGTTGCTGGTTTTTTTTAAAAAAAACATTTTTTGCAGAAATGCCAAAGGAAGGAAACAGACTGAAATGAGGGGACATGTTCTACAGAGGAAGACCAGTCTGTGTTTCCTGTCCTGCATCACAAGTTGTCGATATAATATCATGAGCATTATCCACTTCCATTATCTGCTCCCACTGTATTCAAAGTTCAAATAAAATCTCATTACCAGTTTAATTCATAGGTCCTTCATTCAACACCCAACAATTGCCAGAAATCACCCCCGTAAATTAGGAACAGAGGGAGGTAAATTCAGTTACTTAAAATTAGCAAGAGTGGCTGCATAAAGGAAGAGCTAACATAGTAATATTTTGCATCTGGAACCTTAGACATTTCAGAGGAAATTACTTTAAACATCTCTATGAGGCTCAACTATTTCTCTCACACTTTCTATCCCAGTTCTTAATAGAAAATAAAGCAGGAAGAATTAAACGAAACTGCAGGCTTTAGTCTCAGGAAATAATAAAACGTTTTTCCAGCTCCATGAAGCTACCTTGGACTGAAAATAGTGGTGCATTTTATAGCTATATTATGTGCTCAATGTAGAAAAAAAGTCTCTTCCTCCTCTCTTTTACAATCTAATGGAGTGGTGTATTAAAAAAGAGACTATGAAAAATTTTCTTACCAGAATACAATAAAAACAGCCACCTCCATAAGGCACTTTCAAACAAAGTTCTCTTTCCTCTTTTCTCATTTTTGTGTTTAAAAGGGAATTATAAAGATACCACAAATGCAACTGCAAGATTGAAAATGCCACCGTACAAAAACCAGGAAAGGAAGGATTATAGAGGATAAATAAAAGAGAAAGGGAAAGGACCCCTGGATGGTTAAGTCCAGTCTAAGGTGACTATGTAGTGCAGTGCTCATCTCACTTCAGGCCGAGGGAGCCGGTGTTCAGGCCGACAGCTTTCCGGGTCATGTGGCCAGCATGACTAAACCGCTTCTGACACAACAGAATACCGTGACGGAAGCCAGAGCACACAGAAACACTGTTTACCTTTCCACCGCAGCAGTACCTATTTTTCTACTTGCACTGGTGTGCTTTTGAACTGGTAGGTTGGCAGAAGCTGGGACAGAGGAACGGGAGCTCACCCCATCACAGGGATCTGACCTTCTGATCAGCAAGCCCAAGAGCCTCAGTGGTTTAGACCACAGCGCCACCCGCTCCCACAGAAGATAAGTATTCAATTTTGGACTAGGCAGGAACTTGGAAATAGCACATTATTTTCAAAAAGTGACTGCCCATAATTGAATCCTGCCACACAGATTTCCAATCCTCTAATAAAGATCTGGCAAAAGATATACTCCAAGGTAACTGCTACATGGTCTCAATTATTCTGAGAGGTTGTGCAAGGAGCAACTAAGGGTTTGATTTCTATGCTTCCCTGTGTTTAGGACTGTAGTGTATCAAAACAGCAGCCAACTTCCTTTGGGAAAAAACGCGTCTCGTATTTCAGCAGCAGTTGTTCATGATTTCAGACATATGGATTGATGGAGTTAACATATGCTAGTTCTTACCACTAAGACTGATTCAATTACCCTATAGCAATAAGAAACAAAGGCTGGGGACACATCCCAGGCTCTATGAAAAACAAGAGAATCTGAGGTTAAAATGCCTTCCCAGTGATGGAGTGTGAGATAAACTCCGGTAGCATGGCTAAAATCAGTTTGTTTCCTTTTTCATAATGATGGTTAAATAGCAAGAAGAAACTGTTAGAAATTCTTCAAAATATATTATCTTACTGGAAAAGAAGGTGGAAGAAGAATGTGTTTTGGGGAGCACATCAATGAGCCTACAGCAATTACAGCCTTCACAGGAATGGTTAAAATCTGCAAAAAAGAGAAAAAGAATAGTAGCTTAAATGCAACATTTATGTTAACTCTTATCAATAAGTTTTAGACTATGGGTTTCATCCAAAAAGGTTTCCCTCCGCTGCATTAGCACAAAGCCATAACTGGACACAAGCCTACATTTCTGCTAGCATACTTGTGCAAAAATCTAAAATCTGTTTTTATAAGATGAGCACATAAGCCCAACAAAAATCTCAACTACTCTCTTCTGAAAGTATCTGCAAGCTTATATGCTGAGAATCAGAAATAGGTTGACTGCCTTCTATACATCTTTATTAATCTTAAAGTAGTTTTGCATCCTTCTATAGATATGGTATAGGAAATACCAGATGATCATCATTTAGTTTTCAGAAAGCAAGCATGATGAGCATACCAAATGAAGAACAATTAAAACAATCTTCTGAAATTCCTGAAAGGTTACACACCTAAACTGTCACATACGCTAGCCAGTGCCAAATATACTGCCAGAAAGGAAACCAACCAACTGCAGTTGCCATCACAACAGCTAAAAGCCAGGTGTGTCCCCCCCAAAAAATCCATTTCTTTTCTATTTCCATACACATTACTTTTAGGACCAATATAAACGTAAGAGTACCTCATAATCAGTTGTGATTTGTATAGCCCCATCATGAATCCCTTCAAGTTCTTTTGGTAATAATCTTACTCTGAATACAGTGTATGAACCAGGCATCAATGTTACCTGTAGAACAGAATTATATAGTTGCTTCATTGCTTTAATCTCACATTCTTCCAACAGACAACAAAAAACCCCCGGTCACTGTAACAAAAATGCACACACACAGTTATCTGAAAGGGTTTCATGTTGAAATACAAAGAGTAATGTTTTGCCTACCACTTAAGTAAAACACTCTCCACTATTTATTTTCATCAGTTAATCTCTCACAGAGGCACCTCTCATTGTTCGCTTTTTTCCTCCAGATGTGGATATGTGTGGGGTGTTTGTCTACATATAAAAATAGCTAGCACCATGTCTATACATAGACATAAGCAGTGCTTTTTTTCTAAAAAAATGTTTAGGGATACTCTCATTTTGACTCAAGAAAACCACCATTTTATAGTTCAGATCAGGGGAAAAAAATACAGTAAATGGACAAAAGTACAAAGATTCACAAAATGTTTAGGGGCATGCGTCTCCCTGCATCACCGTCCCCTCAAAAAAGCGCTGGACATAAGCAGATGTGGTGACCCCCCCCCCCCCGCTTCTTTTTACTTAGTGATAAGATTTGCATCTTTTGTCCATATGCCACACATAACTGTAATAAGTAAAATATGTGTTACTTACCGAAGTTTGATCCAATGCATTGGCCTTTTCCAAGTCTGGAAGACTTGCAATTATTGTAGTTCTGTTGCCTTTTTCAGCAGCAAGGAGTTCCATGGTCAAGCCATCACCTATCACATGCCAGCTTTTTATAGCCAACTTTAAAAGGGCACAATAGTTTTAGTAATAAATTAAACAGATCTGCCATTTAAGTAAAACAAACAAACAACAAATAAAAGAATGTCTCTTACCTGAATTGGATTGCTGTTCATGATTGCAAGCAGAATACTACTTGTTTCTGTGGCACTCAATATACCAAAATCTATTATCTGCTCTTCAGGTCTTGGGGGCAATACAAAATACTAGAAAAACGGAAGAGCATCAACTGCATTAGGGATAGGCAGCTCATATATCTGTTACTGCAAGGGCTCAGAAGTACTACCACCAGTTCTAACATGTTGGTTCCTTCCCCCCCCCCCCCATTATTTTGGACAAGTAGCCCATAAGATCTGGGACTGAAGAATCTGTATTTGGTTTTCAGGTATACAAGCTGCCGATTACACAGAAAGTGCTACAATTGCTGGGAAACACATCTACCTCTTATTCATTCTATTGGGCAACCAGATGCTGACCTATCATGAGATAAGGCAAGGCACTATTAAAGGTGACTGAGTGAAAGACAAAACAGGTCTAACAAACTACTGAGTACAATTCACTGCTAATTCTCCTCTTCTGTAGAAATCCCTCTAAGATGGAAGAGTGATGCAAAAGGCACAACAGCATGGTTTTCTGAAGCTCCCTAGTCTTAAGGGGCCTATACAGGAGAGCATTTGAGTGGACTGTGCCCCATGTTAATTAGTGAAGGCAGCTGCCAATATGTTTTTGTTGGCAGTATGCGTAACTGAGAGCTAGAGAGTCAACACATTAAAATATGAGTTCAGTTCCAAGTTCAGTCATTTTGAACAGCCCCCCACGTACAGACATATTAACGTTTCTTTTATTTTTTAAAAAAGTAATGTAATTCCTATAAATTCAATTTCAATCAAACAGCAAACATACAAAAATAATATCTAACACATTAATATTACATCCCGCAGAACTGCCACATGGCAAAAGAGCAGAATGGGTTCCATCCATAGGTCTATTCTAGCAGGCGTTAGACTGCTGAAATATAAACCAGCTACCAAATTTGTATTCAGTTTATGGTTCAAATTCAAGACTACAGTTTGAATTTGGCTTCACTGCTGAGCACATGTTATCCAGAAACACAAAGAAACCACATCCAATGTATTTCACTTTAAAAATAGAAAATATTTTTTAAAAAACTGATATACTTACATCTAAAAATCCAGTGTATGCTCTTACAGGTAGATGAAATTTAGAAGCATTTGTAATGAGCAAAATATTGTTATCAATGTGAAGAGATGACAAGGAAGCCACAAAATAAAGCGTGAAAATATATCTGGATTCATTTGGTGGAATTAAAACTGGTTTGCTGAAGTTGTGTACCTAGTATAAGGAATAAATACGATCCAGGTTAACAGTGAATCCAATTTATGTAACATTTAATAGCAACGAAATAGTTCAGGGCATAATTGGGCTTACTTTAAATATTCCTTTGATTTCGTCTGGTAGCATTATATCATGAATGAGGACTGCAAAATTGAATGTGTTTGTTAAGTAGATTGGTCTTTCCACAGAGTCTGCTGGACTGTCACGAATATGAAATAATGTGGCTGCATGATCAAATCCTAAGTACCTATTTCAAAATATAAAAAAGCCAAAAAGTAGAGATTTGTACAATCCTCTATAAGAAAAACTCACAATAACCACCAGAAAATTGGTTAGGCACTGAGATGAGGAACCTGACTCTCCAAATGTCATTGGACTCAAATTCCATCAGCTCTAGCAAGTATGACTAAAGCTGAAGAATGATCAAAGTTGTAGTCCAATATTATCTGGAGGGCCACAGGTTTTCCATCCAACAGCAGCAGTTTAAGATCTCTTTTTGGCTTGTTCTCTCAACTTCATAAACATCATATAATGCCTGAAGGACTGCCAATTGGCAGGCCACAGACCCATTCCTGATTTTACTTATCAGCAAGTTTAAATTCACCCAAAGGACCCAGATTCATTCCCCATGCCCTATCGTCATATCCTGCCCAAGCCAGGTGTGTAATTCAAATACATAAAACTTAAAAATCAATACTGAGAAATATAATGGTCTGAAGAATTTATACACTTGTTCCATTTAGCAGCAAAGAAGTCTGAAACCAAATACCCAGCAAATAAAGAGTTATAACCAGAACTTAAAACGTAGAAGAATTAGAATATACTAGCTTATAAATGTAGACATTAGAAGCAGTAAAAAAGCAATTGCTCAAGCCTGTCCCTAACACTTGTAGCAATGGGCAAAATAAAGCTTTCTGAGTGCAAGCCAGCACTATTCGTGGCAATAGTCACATGCTTTGTTTAAACAGGGCTGTGTGATGGCCACTGCACACTGATCCTTTGGCTCCAATTCAGTTTGTAGCTCTTTATCCAGGACGGAATATGCAAAAATTCAGTGCAGTGTCCACACAATAACACTGGCTTTAAACCCAGTGTTCCTATTATAAGAAAGACTCATTTGGAAGCATATTTATTTGCTACAGGAAGCCATGCAAGTGGTTAGTTACTTGTGTACAGGAACGAGGTGTGAATTAAATGTAAGACAACAGTATCCCGTGCAATCTTACCCATCTAACACTTCTGCTTGATATGGAATTTCAAGTTTTGAGTAACTCTTCTCTTTTGCTTTAACTGTTATTTTTCCTGAAAACTGTGCAGGTCGTTTTGCTTTCGATGCTATATGGTACATACAAATAGATAAATAAAAACAAACAGTGTTACTATTATTGACGCATACACAAAATTGACACATATTTATTTTTACTCTGATAGTAAAACTGTCACTGTTGGGGCTTTGATTTACTACAAAGTATCACAAACCATTTTGATCACATTTGTAACTAAGCTACTTGTGTAATATATTAGGGTGCAGTCACTGTTCAGCTCTAAAATGTGAGTATAATGCTGCTTGCCGAGCTCAAGCGGCTTCAAGGAGGGTGGGTGATACAGCAACATCCCTTCTTCAACTTTCAGCCGAGGGGTAGGGAAACCTATGAGCCTGCAAATGTTGCTTCCTGTTAATTCTAACCAAATGCCATGCTGGCCTAGGCTACTGGGAGCTGTCGCCCGTCAACATCAGAAAGGCCACAGGTTCCCCTTTTTAGCAAAAAAGATGAAGACTTCAGTGGACAGTCATCATTAAATGCTCTCCACTCTTGGTCTCTGTGTATATACACTGAACAGCATGATTAAACACATGGGATGGGATTCAGAGGAAAGCTCACAGAAGGCAGCTGGAGGAAGCAGACTTTCCCAGCCCCTCCTCTGCCCAGCAGCATCCTGAAAAGTCTCTCCTGAGAGTTTGGGGGTGGGGGTTGCGGGAAAACAGTGGAAACCAGGAAGAAACTTCTACAACTGCAGCAATGTCCCTGGCAGTATTATGTAACTCGTTCCAAGCAGTAAGTGCGTTCAAAAGAAAAGCAAGTGTGGACCCCAAACTAAGAAATATGTTCAGATACACTGACAAAAGGCTTCCCATCCCATGAATGAGAAACATACAACTTCCAGAACAGACTTTTACTTACCGTCAAAGCTAATACTTGCAACTTTGGTATATTTACTTTCAGAAGCTCGAAGTGTAATTGGCTTGAAATGCACTGTGATAGCTTCATTCTGTGGTGTGGGTCTAACACTCTGGAAAAACATAAAAGAAGTGCTTACCAAACAACTACTGAAAAAGTCTGTATATATCTGTTATCTTTTCCTTCAAAAGTTGAGAATCTGCTGACACTTATTCTAAGTTATAAAAATGTGGATACATGTCATTAGAACAACACGAGTCAGGAATGTTTCCAAATATATATACGTAATTTATAGCAGAAACAACTGTGAAACTCCAGCAGATTTACTAGGTTTGTTTCATTTTATTTCAACACATGCCTGTTTCACTAGAAAAGGAGGCAATTAACTAGGTTGGGGGTGTTTTTTGGCTAAAATGTCTGTAGCCATCTAAAGAGAACTAGCCTTTCAGCGCAAGGTGCACCAAAAGAATATCAGAGCCATCTATATGTTTTATTAATGAGAATGCACACATCAAAAATAGCACTACACTTCCATCTTAAATTTTACAAGAGTTATACTTGAGGTTGTTCCTGTGCTCGTATACCTAGCGCAATTGTTTAGAGACCCTCAACAAGGCAGAACACTACACTCACATTATTTTAACTGTGTCTTCACTTCCAGTATCTCCACTTTAGAAAGCTAAACAGCTGAAGACACATGCTGGCAGCATTGCAGAGCAGCAGGGAATGCCAAAAACAAACCAACAAATTATTTAAGTGTCTTAAAGACAGCCCTGTTTAGGGAACTTTTTAATGTTTGCTGTTTTATTATGTTTTTAATATTCTGTTGGGAACCGCCCAGAGTTGCTGGGGAAACCCAGCCAGATGGGTGGGGTATAAATATTGTTGTTGTTTCAAATGTGGCCTAATTCTGCGAAAGACCAACTATTTTGAGAGAAATGCAAACTCCAGAGCTGCTAGAACATGAAGGCTAAAGATTAAGACTTTCAGGTCCAGAGGCTTTGAGGTGTGGAATCTATATCAAGCAGCACATCAAAAAGCTCAGAGCGCAGATTTCCATTCCAGTTACTAGGCCTTCAAGGTAACACCATGTGACACGAAGGAAAGAACTCAAATAAGGTTAAGAAAGATGAGAGAACATCAAGATAAGAATGTGTCAGAATAAAGTTGACAGATGACAACAACAACGAAGGACGCCCCCCCTTCAGAAGATAATATAGAAAGATACCAAGAAGATACCTCATTCCAAGAAAGAGAGAGGATGAGCATGCAAAATTCATAATTATGGATGAATGTACAAGCCTTACAACCACAGTAGAGGGATTCTCATGTTTCAAGCAAGTTCAAACAAGTTTTGTAATTTACTGTTAATATGAAGTACGTCATATATATACTACACAGTGCAGGGTCAGGAAGGGAGAGGGCCTTTTGGAAGGAATACTGCCTGAATGCAATCAGCTATTAAGTATAGAGTCTTTCACCACCATCTAAATGTATTTTGTTGTTGTTCTAGTTGTCTGTTCTCAATGAAAAACATTTAAAAGAAATGTTAGAACTAGTTAATATAGCAATACACACATTTTACTTAAACTTCCATATCAACTTTAATACAGAACTATCATATATTGTGTTACCAAACATAAATTTCAATTCTAATGGAAGGATAATGGCTATAGTTATGCAACTCAGCTGAATATTAAGCGCTGCTGACAAAATGGTAAATACACAGTCTTCTGGCTCAGAACCAGCAATGCTATAAATACGTACATGATATTTTTACATTAATTTAGTATTATTTTAAATATTATAAATTGCCTTTCTTCTTTTAAAATTGTTCAGTTTCACAGACTTCAATATAAAGTGTCAGTAAAGGTAAAAACTTTTCATGACTATAGTAACTGGCAACAATACTCTTAAAGTGCCTCGAAGGAATTTAGTTCTATGAGTATCTAGCTTAAATTTCTGCTAAATATAGTCTTGGCCTTTTCCCATGACATTAGCATGAAGTTTGAAACCAGTTTCTTCCTCGCTTCCAAACTGTATCAGAACAAACTCCAAGAGACATATATCCCTGTCCTCCCCCCGCCCCATGTTTACATGGAAATATGAGCAAATAGTTTAGCCTTTAAGATATGCTTGATGGTATCTGACACTTCCCCAACCCACTTAACATCTAAGATGGTAGCAGAAATCTGAGCAGCGTCAAAACACTGGGACTGTATATTACGAGGTCATACAGTCAGTATTTCTTCAGTCAAGAATGAGGGCAAAATATCAGAGAATGAGGTGTTAAAATAATATGATTCCGAAGCTTGGCTATATAATCCACTGCTCAGTAGTTTAACACTTATCACCTTTGCTATCAGACGCAAAAGAAAATTTAAGTAAAATTATGTACATTACTTCTGCTGCATCAATGACTCCTGTTTTTAACATCAGTGACTCCATATTTTTGCTCACTTACTGCAAGCAGCCTTTCTGTCACTAACCCTGTGGTGTAGTGTGCAATTTGAAAAATCTAAGCTGACCATTCTGTATTTTTCTCTGCACTCTGTAAGTCAGAGGGAGGGAAACAGGCCAGACCTATGAGTTCACAAAGGGTTCATTAAGGCCTGGAGCTCTTTGTAGAACATCCTCATGTGAGGATATACACACAGGCCTTTCACTTTTTATAAGCCATTTTAGATTATTACCAAATATGAAACTAATGATGCCCCACATTTTGTGAGATATGCTTCTGTGCCTCTGAGTTTGAGCCCAGGAAACCTATGGGCTATCTTTATAATGACAACAGCTTGTTAAACCCACTGGTGCTGCTAGCAAGTTAGAGAGGAAAAAGACTCCAGAGGAGTTAGTCTTATACAAACTAAAAAGAACAGACATAGCCTCTGGTCTAAGAGATTATCCAGTAGTCATCATTTCTCCCCTTTATACAGGAAGAGGTAAAACAAAGCTATTGCTGCAAGAGATAAATATACATTTCAAAGACATGGAAACAAGCACGGTACTCTCTCATCTCCCATGCTTGACAAACTAGAACAGTGGTTGAGAAAAGGGATTTAGACAACAACAAGAGACATTGCTTGGTGACAAAAGCATTTCAGCACTGACAGAACACACCAGCTCAAGCACCTTAGCCCGAAAGAGAATATTTGTGACTAACCAGATGTTTGAATCGTATTCTGGGTCTGGGACAGGCCTCTTTAGCTTTGAGTCTCAAAACTGCCTCCTTTACAGTGGTTAAGACAAATCTCTATTGCAAGCCAATATTAACCACTTTTATATGCTGAAGTTTGTTGTGAAATACCAGCTACAAAAGAACCTTTAATTCTTGTTTGCATTTTTATTTTGTAATTGTCATACTGGTTATCTGCATGCTTTTCAAGGCATTTGCCCTGAATGATTTAGTCAGAAATAACTGGGAATTATTAAATGCATTTCCATGTACCTGCTGGAAATCCCATTGCTTTTTAATGTAATGTGACACCATAACAGCAATTATTTAAGATAGTTGTACAATTACAAGCTGTAAGTATTAATTTATGATGACACTGAAAAGTAAAGCCTGAATAACAAGCAACTAAACAAACCTTTAAATATGCCCCTGTAGTCTTAGTCTTTAGTAGAAAGTTGAAGGGAATGCAAAGTGGGGGAGCTTTAGTTCAGTTTAACTATACAGTCACAACATGTAGCATGGGAAGGATACACTGCTGAAAGCTGTTAAGTGCATCGAAAGCGGCATTTCGTTGAGTCCATTTGGAAAAAGGGACCAAACTAACAGAACCTGAGCTTTGATATTTAGTGGATTCATGTTATCTTTTACGTCTAGAAAAATATATTGAGATAGTGAAATAAAAGAGGTAATACTTACTGTTATTGGTACATCCTTTGTTCCTGAATTTAACAAGTGTAGATTTAAGATTTTGGGCAGATCTGTTGAAAGCCAATAAAAAAGCACTAAGGCTCGTTTGCATAAAAGGGATTTTTTTAAAGTCAAGTCAGCTTTGTGACATTTATTCAAGTTATCCAATGCTGAAATTTTACTTAATTCTTGCACTTCTCCATTCCCTTCTCCCCCAGACATAAGGAGCGGATGTTTGATGCTTCTGCTTCTAATCTGCAGTAAGCAATAGTCTGCCATTTTATCCAACTGTAGCAAACTGTGGTTAGTGTGCAAATTAATTTGTTCTCCAGTCAGGATCCAGGCATGGTGGCAAACTATTGCCTAGGCAAACCATAATTTGTCACACTGGAGCAAATGGGCAAACTATGGTTTGTTGCAGGGGAAGGGAGGGGGAGATCATGGTCACCATTACTAAATCCTGATCTTCCAAACCAGCCTGGTGCCTTCCACATGCTTTAGACTACAAGTCCCACCTGCCCTTTCCCAGTATGGTCAATGGTCAGAGATTATGCAATTGATGACCGAAACAGCTGAAGGGCAACAGGTTGGGGAAGACTGTTCCAAACTATGATTTGGAGACTAGTCTGAATACAGATGCACCTGTGTACAGTCATTTGGCAGGTGTATAAATTAAGAGTGATGTTATAAAAAGTACTATTTATAATTGCGTTATTAAGTTATTTCATTTTACTTTATATAATATTTCTAAAGCTAGATATCCTAGGCATTTAAATACAAATGAGGTAGATTCAGAAAGTTTCCCTCATGCAGAGTTCTGCTAGAAGAAGAAATTATTTTCACCAATTCCTCCTTTCCCCTGTAGCCCCCAAAGATCTGCTCTGGAGGGTTTGGGGACTCCATGAAACACTATGAAAAGTAGCCGCAGAGATAATACCAAAAATCACCTTCTTGCACACCGTCTCCAGAAGAACCCTGGATTTTTATTTTTATTTATTTATGTAAATGGGTGGATCCTTTCCATTAGCAGCAGGACCTGTCTGGATGCAACCCAATACATATAAAGGCCTACATGCAAAGGCTAAGGAACAAACACATGAAACTGATATTACGCAGCTTTTGCAAAATGAGGTGTGTCTACTCACAATCTGAAATGGAGGTGTATTAAAATATAGGACTCACCTTGGGTTCTTAAAGTACCAAAATCTAGCATTTCTGTCGATGAATAAATTCCTGGGGCTTTAAGATAGGACAAAACAAAGTGAGTATCTTTCACTACTGCAGTAGGAAAATACATGAAGTTGATGAAACATTACATTTCTACAAACCTGTTGTGACTTCTACTTCTACTGGCAGAATAATAAACTCTGTGCTGTCTGAGGCATTTGTTTTTATTCGAATGAAGGCTGTGTAATTATCTGCTTCCCTTGAAGAGAAACTGGCTCTCATAACTCCTTTAGTTTCATAGGGGGGAATTTCCTATTGAAACAGACAATTGTGCAGAATATAAAAGTCAGTATAATAAAAAAGTCCACAATGCCAGGTATAATACAAGTGGAATATGGAGTATACAGTTGGCGTTTTTAGGCAATGAACTAACTAAATAGTGAGATGGAAGTGTCAAACAGTTTCAGAAACAACCATCACATAAAAGGTTCAGAATCATCACGTGTAGATTATTCATGCTGACAAGTAACAGTTTGTTAAACCTGCCTTTTCCTAAGTGCCTAAGACTAGTTCTGTTGTAAGAAACCAGTACAAGAAATACATTTGGTGATGCTACCAATGTTTTAGAGAAACACTTAAAAGCCTATTTTGCATCAGTAGCACAAAAATGTGTAGATACTTCTGTCTGTGCCATCCAAGCCCACTCATTCCCCACTCCCACAACAGGCAAGCCATAATTTTCTTTCCTCCTGTGCATTCAAAATTTCTGGAAAGCCTACATTATAGCAAAGAGAATAGGAGTTAATTTGTCTATACGCTTCAAAAGTGGGAGATTCTAATCACTGCTACTCAGAAAGTGTAAAAATAAATGTATCCAATTTAAGTTATACTCAGACTAACTTCAGTCAAAACTACAACTTTTGGAATATTCTGTGGCTAGAATATTAGATAAAAACCACACACCTGTCTAAAATCACTTGGTAAAAAGCTTATGTGCTATCAGACTTGCGATGAAATGAAATTGAAAGTGGCTAACTCACTATAGGACATAATTGTTAGGTATTTGTATACAATATTTATTTTAAAATAAGTTTTATTTGCTTTTGTGACAAAAACAAAACATGTAACATCATATACATATAAGTAATATATAATTAATAGCATTGGTTTTACTGTAGAGCATTTGTTCTTCTCTTGTTATGAATGGAATTCTCATTTTAAATTTGTTTCTGCCTTTCACCTTTTGCGTCAGCCCACCGCCCCCCCACAAAGCAGTTGTCCACATTTGCTGGTATATACAATATTAACGTTACTTTGAAAATTCATGACAAGTTCGTTCCCATTCTGCTTTGAACTTTCATACTTGTCAATGGACCCTGTTGATATTTGATGCTGCACAGTTATGGTTTACTCCCTTATCTTGAATTGCTGGGCCTCCTGGCCTCATTTCAAAACAACATCCACCCTCTTATCTGTATATGTGTGCATGAGATTTCAGGATCAGCAGAGGAGAACACCATGCATCTGAGGAAGGGTGCTCTGGCCCACAACAAAAGTTGAAGCCACAACAGATATTAGTCTTTGCCAGAACTTATTAATCCCTTAGTGTGAGTCAAGTAATATTTGTGCCACTCACCCATAATTTTCTTGTACCCCCTTGCTGACCAGTTGGAAGCTCTAGGTGGAGATCACCTCCACTTGAATACATTTCTACCACCTGTGAGAATAGCCAAAAATAATAATTGATAAAGTTAGAGCTCAAGTTTCAACTAGACACACTCTCATGGTTGCCAGCTAAGGAGAAACTATTTATATTTTATTTTCTCTGTGGTAAAGACCACACAAACAACATAGTCAATGAATTGTCTCAAGTGTTAGAATATGTCATTTATCATTCCACCAAATAAAAAAAATAATCAAGTGATTTTATGCAAATGAAGTTTCTGTATTTGCCAAGTCAAACCTTACATGCAAACCTTTAGTTCCATGAACATAGCTTCTCAAAACTACCACCAAGACAATTATTTTAACTTCAATGGTTTATACATAAAACATTCCGAACTGAAAATAAAGGCATAGAATCATAGTATACAAAGAGCACCTGAAATACATTAACATTATATTTTAACAGGTAATTGTAAATATGAACAGTGCTCCTACATACCTGCAAAGGCTCACTATGGGGGTTGTGTATATTTATAATAGGAGAAAAACTGCTGTTTACTGGAACTTTTGCTCCTATAAAAGGGCGAAGTCTGTAAGGGTTTGGTACTCCTACACCAAATACCTGTTTAAGAATAAGAAAACAAGCTTTTAGCATCCCAATGTGAGTAATTGTCTGTTTTCCACCTTTAAAACTCACACAATCATTGACAACAAAGAAACACTACCTCTTTCCCAACTTGGAAGTTTACAGTTACAGTATTTTAAAGTGGTCTCATACAGTATCTATTGCTTTAGGATACAAGAAAATATACAGTGGTGCCTCGCAAGACGAAATTAATTCGTTCCGCGAGTTTTGTCGTCTTGCGATTTTTTTCGTCTTGCGAAGCACGGTGTCGGGAAAGTTTTGGAAAAGCTTCAAAAATCACCAGTCTTTAAAAACCTCAAAAAAGGCTACCACACCGCGTTCTATGAGTTGCTCCTCGAAGTCAAGTCGCAACTGTATTAACGGTGTTAAGAAAACGGAAACAAACTTGCAAGACGTTTCCGTCTTGCGAAGCAAGCCCATAGGGAAAATCGTCTTGCGAAGCAGCTAAAAAAACAAAAAACCCTTTCGTCTAGCGAGTTTTTTGTCTTGCGAGGCATTCGTCTTGCGAGGTACCACTGTATCTTTTTCTTCCTTTCAGGAGCCACACAAGTGACAACTACAGACCAGCTTTTCTCTAAATATTTGTTTTGCAACCAGTTTTTGAACTTTTTATATGCAATGCAGATTTTTTTAAAACAACAACTTAAGATCACTGAGTAGGACTGAGTCAAATACAACCCTTTGAATTTTTTTCTAGCTCCGAACCACAGTAACTTAGAGCACTACAGGTAGTAAAACATGATTATGTTCATGAATACAAAAAATGGCATTCCCCCCATTTTTGTCATTCCTTTCAGTTTTCTAAAATATGTGATCTTATTCCTGCAAAAGCTACTTTGCCATTTAAATGTCCTTCTCTTAATTTTTTAAAAATATTGTGGTGTGCTTAAATCAATCAACTGTATTAGATCAAGTGTATTATCAACTTTCAAGTCAATCACTATTACTGTATCTCATAAATCAACAGAAGCCTGTTTTGCATTTTAATAGACAACTTGGAGGCTTTTCACCTTGCAAATAGCTTGTTCATTTCTAAGCTGTAGGAGGCGCATTAATACTGTAAGACTTTTTGTAATCTCAAGTGCATGGAATATGCATAGCACAGTGGCACTTATTGCAGGTGTCTCAAAGCATCAAATAATATGTATATATTGCAGACAAATGGCATCTTGCTCCATGAGTAATTCCCATTTGAAAGCAGGAATGTCAATCAGAAAATCTAAGTTCATGATACGTGGCTGTTGGTTTCAATTGAAAGCACTGACTTAAGAGACATATGCTCAGCTATGAAGTAGTCACACATTGCAGTACAGTGCCACCTCAGTTTAAGAACATCCCTGTTTACGAACTATTTGGTATACAAACTCCACAAAACCGGAAGTAGTGTCCCAGTTAGCAAACTTTACCTCGGTCTACAAATGGAAGCCGAACAGTGGAAGGGCACCGGCGGTGGGAGGCCTCATTAGGGAAAGTGCACCTTGGTTTAAGAATGGCTTTGGTCTAAGAATGGACTTCTGGAATGGATTAAGTTCATAAACTGAGGTACCACTGCTGAGCACCAATCTTAATAATGTGCTTTCACTTCTGTTCTCAATCATTTAAGACACGGTAACATGATGTTTTCTCTTACCTGGTAAGTAAATACCCCATGATTAGATGTATTAATAAATAAAGTATTTTCTACGTTCCCCACCATTCTTGCAAGAAAAACCACATCAAATGATGTGTTCCCCCCTGGAACGATTTTCTGAAAAATAAAACACCAGATATAACATGACATGTTGTTCATCTTAGAAGGGTAGTGCTTCAAATATGAGATCAGGCATTCAAACACAATTGATATGTAGAAGCTGTGTGTGAATACCCATGAGACAAGCAAGCCACATACTATAGCCCTTTCTTTGGAAAAATCAATTTAAGTACCTTACAAAAGTTACTTCCAATACACTCTTTTTGATTTGGTTGATACTGCATCGAAACAAGCAACTGTAAAGTACAACATGCAGGAAAAATTTCTTTTTTAAACATTATAGCAATATTACTAATGTGAAAGAACACTGAACTGCTTATTGTTTAGCTTACTAAGCACATTGCTCCAAGTGTCTCAGGTTCCACTCTAAATGCCAGATTGGAGTACATAATGTAGCTCCTACAAATTGGTGCTCTGACTCATTCTTCTCAATTGGCCTTAAAACACAGAAAAATTATCTGATGTGACTCCTCCCTGAGCAAAGTTATATAACACTTCGGGAATCTTCTATTTTCTTATAGACTGCCTTACAACACCCATAATTGCTTGAATCAATGAGCACAGAGCAATCATAAGTTTAGGAGGTACCCATAATCAAGACTTTACTATCTGAGGAAACTTTTTCAGTTTCAGAGCCACATTATAGCATTGGTAATCTTCCAGAGGTCACAAGCAAGGGTGGACATGGCTAAAACCAAAAGCAGGTAGGGTCAAAACCGCATACATACCCTATCCACACAAATCTATCCATTCACACACTCCACACCTCACACACTGTCACCTCCATTATGGAAGAGTCCTACATTGATAGATTTCATTAAATATGTTAATTGCTTTAGGGAAGATGTGTGATCAGTTAAGTCTTGTATTAGGATTAAGAAGGGAGTATGAATTTACAAGCTTTCCATAATCCCTCCCCCATTCTCCCCTCTCAAATATTAAACACTTGGATTTAAGCTCAAAAGATTATTTCAAGTGGCAGTAAAGAAACACACACCCTTGCTAATTAAACATGCTTCTGAAATACCAGGACAAAGAGAAGGACCAATGATCATTTCAGCTTTCATTTAATGCTGGTTGACACCCTGACAGTGGCGGAGAGACACGATCTTAATTGAAATACATGTTGTTGGTTATTTGCTTTCGCAAGTGCCTTGTAAAATGCAGCCTTATTTGGAGCCTTTTTCATATTTTTAAGGCACTTGGTTAGTAGGTTTTACAAAAACATGGTGAAGAAACACAATAAAAAAACTAGTTATCTTAGCAGCTCATAGAAGCATGCACAAAAATGACAGAATCACTTCCAAAGGGGTGGCAACCATTTATCGGCAACTACTTATGAGTGCATAAGCTCTAAGTAGCAACTCCTACTGAAAATTAATGCATCAGCAGTACTCTGCTCCTGGCTGTGTTATACCAAAAAAGAAGAAGTTCTGATGAACTTGAAAACTCACACGTTACTTGGGGGACTTTGGTTGGTAATAGTAAAACTACTATCCTGGTATGGATTCCCCCCTCCCCCCATGGACTAAATTCAGCTACTACTGGTTAGAAACCATTTCTGAGCTATAATTATCCATTTTCCATATTCTTGAGAACACCAAGGCTAGGGGCCAGGGGTTCTCCACCACTGCCCTAGAATGATGTAGAAACCTCCAGACATTTACTTTTTATATAACCCCTCCACAGTGAATTGTACGTGGCATAATTTTGTTGAGCTTGCATTTAAAGAGAAGCTATTTTAGTTACTGTGATGAACTCTGAAGTAAAATCAGTTTTTGCTGAAGTGAAACCAGCTTGCAGAATAACACCAACTTCAAAAAACTTCAAAACTCACCCTGTTTTGAAAAAACGATGCATGAAAATGTGAGGTTGTTGCAGATATTGATACTAATATAATAGTTTCTTCTGCACTTGGATTGTGCAAGTAAACCTTTTCCATTTTTGGCATCCCAACTGGCCTGTATTAAAAGAGAGTAGAAAAAGCATTTAAATTGTTTCCTCAATTGCCTACAACCACAAAATATTTATAGTTTTATGGTTGCAAGGAACAAACAGGTGCATTTTGTGAATGGCCACTGTCAATTATTGTTATTATTAAAATTTATATACCGCCCTTCATCTGAGGATCACAGGGCAGTTTACAATATAAACACCATATAACAAACAATAACCCCCCTCCCCACAGTTTAAAAGGCCATAGATTGTTTAATTAGCCAGGAGAAGAGGAATGGTTTTGCCTGGTGCATAAAAATATGCAACGAAGGTGCCATGCATGCCTCCCTGTGGAGAGCATTCCAAAAATAGGGAGCCACCACTGCAGAAAATGCCTGTTCTTGTGTTGTTACCCTTCAGACCTCTTGCGGAGGAGGCGTATGAAGAAGGACCTCAGATCATTATCACAGGGTCCTGGTCCTGTACTCTTTCTTTGCATTTCCTTTCCTTCTGACCTTACCACTTACAATCCTCCTCCTCTACCCCACCCAAACCTGTATGTATGATACATCAGGCCAATGCAGAGGGGATGGGAGAAGCTGGGTAAACTAATCCCAAGCCTCAGAGGGCTAAGCTGGCCAGGAAGGCCTGCCAGGGACCAGCTTCTTTGTTGTTCGAGTTTATTCTAACAAGACTCCTGCCCCAGGCGTCAGACAAGCTCTGCAAGACCTGTGATACATACACACACCCATTACTCAGGATAACACTTCATGAATTTGAGGAATTAGACTGTAATCCATGAAACCTTATGGTGCAATGCACTTGTTAGCCTTTTAAGTTGCCACAACTTCTTGTTGTATTCCCTACAAGTGTTTGTGTCATTATTGCAAGCATATAATTATTCATGATGCAAAGTTATAATTGCTCCAATAAGCTGATAGGACTCATCAGGGCCTCAGGGATTGGTGGGTGTCAGGGTCTAGTCCTTCTCGGTAGGAGACGATGTTCAGCTGTAGGTATTTTGGCGGCGAGACCCTAGTTAGGGTCTCGGGTGCCGGTTTTAGGCCTTGGTCTATATTCTATATCTGTGAGTCAAGGCAGCATATTGATGCACCCCCGTGCGGTGGCGTTTGCAGGGCCTGTTAAAGGGTTGATTGTGGGAGTCACTGGCCCTACAGCGGCAGCATATAGGTCAAACTCCTGGCTAGGTGAAGTGGGAGGGTATGCTGTGTAAGTTTACGCTTTACAGTCCCCTCCCACAACACCTGATTGCCCTGTGCATCCTCAGCCCCTGTCGGGCATGAGCAGGATACCTTCCAAGGCCTAAGCCAAGGTTCCTACACCTGAAAATAAATGAAGTTGTGGCCTAATTTAAACCCATACATTCTTGTCATGTCTCATCTCTTGGGGGTGTGGTGGGCACCGGGGACAGGGTTTAACACGTGGGCTCGCAATTACTCATGATGCAAAGTTATAATTGCTCCAATAAGCTGATAGGACTATTTTTATATTGACTGTTGTTGCTTAGTTTGGCATATATATTTTATGCTAATATTTTGTACCAAGATTATAAATAAATAAATTTTGCAAAGTTATTTTTATCCTGCCTTTCAACTGACTAATGGAGTGGGCTAAGGCTGCAACTAAACAATTCTGTCTTCTGGCCTTAATCCAGAGATGTTCAGCATGCATATGCAGCAACTGTAGCACTGCTGCATTAATAACTCCAGGGAAATGCTGCACTATGACTACTGCCATTATGGCTGTATCTCCAGGCATTGAAAGACTAATGATGAGAAGAAAAGAGTGAGCGCTGTTCTGATGTTTAATTTATCAGCAGAGTAAATTAATATTCAAAAGCCAAAGTCATTCAACCTTGCACATTTTGACTATTTTATAGTCTACTTTTCATATATCCACTGTTGACAGACAACATTCCCCCACCCCAATATGGAGTTCGACTCACCTAACCAAGCTATGTTCCTAGTAGGTCAGAAAAAAGCTTGGTTCTATCCAAGCCCCTTTCAGTTCCTGTCATACTACCAATGATGTAATCTGAAGAACAACATGGACCAACTCCCTCCACACAGTGCTCCTTATCTGGCTGCTGCGGCATGAAATAAGTTCCCTGTTGGTGCACATGAGTTGTATCTAGAGAAGGACTCACATGCCAGGGATCCTGAGAATTTAGTTTTTCCAGGGTCCCTGGAACCAGTAGATTCAAGTGGTAAATAGATGGCACCAAAACGCTGCACGTACAAACTGTAGTCTAACATGGTACAGTCCTCAAATAACTACTGTATAAACTAGTGCTACACGGAAAGCATACACAAGGATTAACAACTTCATCCTTTGGTATTACTGGAAAATCATATTAGATTTTTTCAGTCGAAGGGCCCTTTCCTCAGTAAAGCAGACAGAAGCAGCAACAACAGATACTTCAATCATTCCTCCAATTTAGACTTCATTTATTCCTCCTCTTCCATCTTCTCCCCATATGTTTCTTTTCCCTCCAAATACAAAACCATGTGGTATAGCTGAAGTACAACAGGTGCAAATTTCTGCAAGTGTGAACCATCAATACTATGCATCCACTAAGGCCTGTTATATGACTTAGCCAACACACAGAGCCCCTTATACAGAAACTATGTGATTGATGCTGGGCAGATAAGGTTCTGGGCATGTAACATAAACATATTATCAACTTTGCCTTTTTAATACATAGGTTTTTCAGACAGCTATTAACTTCCAGGTGCCTTCTATTTAGAATGCTAGGCAAAGTGTTCCCAACTTACTGCTCATGGAAATCCAGCATTGGTGGTTCAAACCGAATCGGTCTGCAATTCCCTCGATACATAGATATACTGTTGGGGAGAAATGAGAAGAGAACAAATTAAGGTGACATTCAGTTTTTAATTCATGTTCACAATCTTCCAAATTAAGTTGCCAGTTAAGTTGAATGACAATCCAGGCTTGCATCCAGCAAAGTAGTCCCATTAGCCCAAGGACTGCCACTTGCACAACTGAACTTTCCTTCATGTTGCATCCCACTCCCACCAAAAATCTATTCTAGTTTTTCTCAGCCCTCTGGAGCAGTTCAGGGCAGTTCAAAAAAGGGTACCCAAACACCTGTATATCACAATGCCTTTTTAGTATCAGCAATTGGAATGAGAATCTGCCTTAGATAGGCTGGAAAACTATTACAAATGTTCTTATTATACATGAATGACTAACTGTGCAATCCTAACCATATCTATTCAGTGGTTAGGTCCTATTAAATTCTTTAGGCTTTACTCCCAGATTAATTGGGAATAGGATTGTAAATCTTAGTTAGGTCTAAACTGAGAGAAAGCCTATGCTGAAATATAAGATAAATTAAAGCTGCCAGGTGTAGTGTATCTTACGTGGGTCCCCAGGGTGATTACTTATTTTAAAAGCAATGGGAAAAAATCACCCTCAATCCAGTGGATTTAAACTACAATCCAGTATCAATTATCTCATTCCTGGGCAAGGAGACAGAACAGGTGGTGGAATCTGAACTCCAGACAAACCTGAACAGTGATTATTTAGATCCATTTTAGTCTGGTTGCCAGCTTGGTGTTGGGGACAGAAACAGCCTTTGTTGCTCTGGTGGGTGAATGGTACTGGCAAGTAGATAAAGGAAGTGAAACTCTGTCAGTTCTTTTGGATCTCTCAAGCAACCACAGTATTACTTTGGGTCACCTTTCCAGAGATGCACTCTGTTATGTGCCTAGCATGTTTTCTGGAGGTCCCAAAAAGTAGTGCTATGGGACTCCTGTTCCATCCATTGGACTTTTGCCTATGGGATGTTACAAGGTTCCATTTTGTGTCTCATGCTGTTTAACATTTTCTTGAAAACAGTGGGAAGGGTCATCTGGGAGTTTGTGCTGAAGTGTCATCGATATGCTGATGACATTCCCTTATATCTTTCATTTTAAGTGTCTAATTCTAGAAAGGCGGTCTAAAATATTTTAAATGACCAGTATTTCGAACACCACAATATTTTTTTGGTTTCTCAAAAATCCAGGGCAGCAGCAGGCACCCCTGCTAGTATAGAATATAACCAAGTCTCCATGAATATATATTATTTATAAGCAACAATGCTGAGATGGGAGATAAAATAGTAAGTTGAAATCTTTTTTTAAAATGAAATCCTTCCTTTCAAGCACTATCTGCAATGTAAATATCTTTACACAAGCCAAAGGACATTAAGTTCTTTGAAATGTATTATTAGGTCACCAAATACCACTGAAACCACTGTGTATTAATGGACTTGATAACCTCTAGACTCTAATCTAATTAAATTTGAGATGTGTTTGGTAGAAGCTGCTATCTTCAATTTAAAAAGATTATGAATATAGACTTCAATGGCTTTGTTAGCATTATATTAAGGTATTTTAAACCAGGATGTTTTTAAGGGAATCCTAATATAACTGAAATGTTAACCTTTTAAATGAAAAATATCATACTATTTTCACATCAATTTTACAGTGTTGTAAAAAAATCCATTTATAAAAGGTATATTTTCATAAAATTGATCTAGTGATGTAATGAATGGATATGATACCAGACAAATGTGTCCATTTTAAGGTTTTAATTAACTTTTGGAGTTAACTATACCTTGAAATTTCTATACCTCTAATAAATAAATATTATATATCTAAAAATAAATTTAGGCATACCACCTAATGCACAGATTCTTGGACATGCTAAAGTTTTCAGTGCTATTCCACCGACACTCCTAAATTTTAAACAATGTAAGGGAAAGTTATAATGCTTGAATTGACTATTCATTGTAAAAAAATTATAAGTCCTCCAATAAAAAATATTTCCATGTACCTTTATTTTGTTTGAATATAACATTTAAACCACATCACATATGCTTCATGAATTCCTCCCCTTGCCTCACAAAAGTACTTCAGTTCTAACATTTTAAGTTATTCAAAAGGCTTTGGCAACATGCTAAATTAACATGCCATACTCTTCAAAGTTTGCTTACTAAATAAGTGAAACAAGCAAACAAAACCAAATCCTAATCAATTTAGGGCACTAGAAAATCTAACCAAAACCTGACAACACTCATTTTTATCTATCCTGCATTGTGCTTGAAAGTTTCATAACCAAGCAACAGATAGGGACCAACCCCAAAAGAGCTTTCAAGCAAAATATGTGAGACATGAGCAAGTTAAACTGTCTTCAGCTTTAAGTGTGAAAACTTGCTGTTGAAAACTTGGGAGCAATAAAGCGCACTAATAACTTTGAATAAAATAAAAACATACAGTATATTCCTCCCACTTTGGAAGTGGAAGATTAAGTCTTGATCAATGCTAACAGCATAACCACATTCCAACCATAATATACTTAAGAACCTACGCAACAAAAAACAGAACACAAGGTCACAAACAAGCTCAACAGAATTATGCAACCCCTGAATTGGTAGGCACAAGGACATCATGGTAGCTTTCAGATTTATTCAACTTAAGGTTAAAATTCTGAAGACAATTTCAGGCTCTGCTAGAAAACACTCAAAGTAGTTTATGCTGCAAACCCTTCTTGAAAATTTCTAGACCCTTTCCATTTCAAAACTAAAATTCATCATAGGCAACTGGAAGCAGCAACGATGTAAAAATACAAAATATATGAGAGTAATTCTTCTCATCAGAAGCAGCTGAGGTTAACTTTTTGTCCTTAAATGGCAAACTCCTGCTGGTGCCCAAGTAAATGATCACACCTTCACTGATAAAATATTCACTCTTTTCCTGTTTCTGCTCTGCACAGAGAAGGATGTAGAGGTGTGTGGGTGTGGGTGTGTATTCAAGTTTAGAAACTAAGATTACATTATTGACATTTAAGGTTTAAAATGAACACAGAGTCTTGCTTAGTTACCAAAGAACTTCTGTACTGCTTGTGTCTAGTCCTATCGGGCTGTTCATAATCATAATAAAAAATATTTACCAATATCTGAATTGCCTTTTCCATCATGATCTTAGCTATGGGGAGTTTCAAAGAAGTCTAGTACAGAAACAACAATCTTATTACACCACAGGAGAGACTGCAGGCTGACTAGCAGATGCCCTACACTATACAAATACTTTACTTTATTGTTAAATTTATTCTAGTAATTGTACTATTGTTTGGAGCTTAGTGGCTAATATGCAACTGGAACAAGTGGACCCTTTGATGTTTGTTAGAAAAAAAGAAATATGATGAGAGAATCTCACATAGCAGATAGTAGTTTTCTGCCCTACTTTCCATTTTTCAAGTTTTATGTCTACGAGTGTCTGCAACTTAGGCAAAGGCACAGTGTGTCTAGATCACGTACTTTAACTACAAACTTAAAAATCCACTCTTAACGAGCAGACATAGCACAGGTAATAACATTTGGCTCAAACAGAAAAGGCCTATAAGCAGAAGTTTATGCAAGGTGCCGTCTTGTCCCAGACCTGCATATCATATCAGTAACATGCTGTAACTACTTGCAACACACACACACACACACACTGCTTAATTACTGGACGTAGATTACTGGGAATTCTTGCCCCCAAAATCAAATTATTACCACCTCCAGTCTTTAAGAAAATTATAGACTATTACAGGACAACTGTGTGTGTGTGAGGGGGGAGGAACTGCATTCCTTGTGCTGAACAAGTCTTTTAAAGCCATGTTAAGGCATCTGTTCAGTGCAAACTTATGGAAGTCCCCACCTAGCACTGACTCAGCATGTGCCTGCAGCACTCAAAGGTGTATTCAAGCACCTTCAGTCATAACTTTTGTTTACCTGGCCTATTAACAACGAACAGATAGTTCCATGAATGAATGCTTCATTAAAGGTACAGTCAGCCTTCCCACCCTGAGCAAGGTTATCCAAGATCTGAACCTGGGAACTCTTCTACCCGAAGAGAGGATCATACTCTAGGAGTGGAGAACTTTGTTTTTTCCCCTGAGGGCCAAATCCCCTTGGACACTACATGCCTGCACTGGACAGGTTGCTGTGGAAGGGATAGGTTACTCTTACCAGAGGTCTGAACTGATTGCTTACAGAGGGTTCCCCTCTCTCCTCTCACCATTCCATGCATCTGACGATGGCTGCAGGTTGTGCATCTCTTCTCTACACTATCCAGCCAATGTAGAAACCCAGGCAATTTTATACCAGATCAGATCATTGGCCCATTTAGCTCAGTATTGCCTACTATACTGACTGGAACACCTATGCTGAGTTATGTATGTATGTATGTATGTATGTATGAAAATATATATGGGGCAAGACAAGTAAACTGATCACAAGCTGTTACGGGCTTTGAATACTGATAATAAACGTGGAACTTGGCCCTGTAACAAACTGGCAGCCAATGCAGATATTTGAGCAGAGGAATAATAGGAACTTGCTCCTGACAATAATCATACTGCAGCATTCTGTACTAACTACAGTTTCAGGACCAAGTGCAAGGAAAGTCCCACACTGCAGTAATCCAGCCTTTAAATTACCAATTTCTGGACTACTGTGATCAAGCTATCAGGTCCAGTTGTTGTACTAGCTGAAATAATAAAAAGTGCTCCCGGAAGACTTGCAGATTGCATACCTGTTCTTTAAGAGGGAGTGCAGCTCTGTCTAGGGCAAGCAGCTGGCCAGTTTTTCAGATATGAGAACCACTCGCCCATAGAGCCTCTGTCTTGCCAGGATTCAAGCTCAGCTTAATTTCCTGCATCCAGGTAATGTTCCAGAGTCTGCATGATCTCTCTTGATTCAGATGTTATGGAGAAATAGCGCTGAATCTTGTCAGCATACCAATGGCACCTTGACCCAAATATCCTAATCATGGTTCCCAATGACTACATATGAATGTTAAAAACACTGGAAATAAAACACGGCCTGTGGTATTTCATAGCATAACTGTCAGGGGGTTGAAAACCACACTCCCATTGCTGCTTCTTGGGATCTGTTATTTACTGACTGACTATACACTACAGTATATCTCACTAAAACAGGGCCCAACATACGGGGATCAACATAGGTGAACACGCATCTCCCAAATTGATTGTAGCTTTGTGATGACCAATTATAATTAGCAAATAAATTGGACTGTCTAACACAGTAGTGGAGAATCTCTGGCAGCCAGGTTTTTCCATTTGGTCTGTGAGGCAGTTTTGGCCAACCGATGCCCACCTACATACACCTGATGTATGAGGCAAGTAAAGTCACAGCTGGGCCAAAAAGTACCGGTAGTTTGAAGTCTCTGAAAAATCAGCTGGTTGTCTGTTCTTACAGGGAGCCCTGAGTGGCACTTCAAAGTACTATCTTTTTTTTAAAAAAAAATTGATTTTTTGTAATACATAAAGAAAAAAGGGGGGGGGACCCATTACATCTATACCATACAAAACCAAATAGACTTAATACAAACAGACTCAAAGACACAAATGACTTCCCGTCTACTCCTTAATTCAGATACACAAACTGTTGCCAATACAAACTATTATCATAATTTAACTTCATCTTAATTTATCTTAGGTCTCACATCATTCTTAAAGCTACTACTGAAGTTAATCAAATGCTGCAACAGAGTTTAAGCTACTGTAATTATTTTTCAGATATATTTTGAAGCCTTCCCATTTAGATACAAATACCAGTTTTGGTTTGTTCTTTATTTTTTCAGACAAACTGTCTAGTTCTGCATATTCAATCAATCTTTGAATCTATTTCAAAGTACTACCGGGTGATTGTTGGGGCTTCCAAATGCCAAAAATTGCAAGGGTCATAAATGGGTCACCCAATACCATTGTGATGTCCGATGACTGAGAGGTGATTAGCCATGCCCATCTGTCAGACATGGCCACGCAGAGTAGGGGAGATAAAGTTCTGCCTCACTGGTCACATCCATTTCCCCACCCTTGGCCTAATGAGTGACAGAAGGGATGAGGATTCCCCTCAATTAGACCTTTCATCATATCTGAGATAGTGGGTTCCTTACAACTCACAGTAGGCCTGGCCTTAGGGAAGCAGGAAGACAACAGCTGTGGTAATTGTTTATGATACTACTGATGACGCAAATTTATCTCAACTCATCCATTATATATATTTTTAGGCACTGCAACTGTAAATTTATCATGCTATTTGTTCCTGGACCTGTAATTAACTTTTCTCTTGATGTTTCCAAAGACTCTTTGGGATGCCATTCTATATATGCCCACTCAAAAGTATGCCTCATTAAGTGCAATTGGACTTATACCTAGGTGAGTATAGGTTTGTCCTCTTAGGCTCTTAAAATATTGAATACCTTTAGATCATAGTGCCATTCCTTGCATTTTTAGTAACAATTACCGGTAGCTTCACAACAATTTGCATAGATTCAATGACCTGACAGTACTTCCTCTTTTATTGTTTAGCAAATATTCAACAGAAGTAACTGAAAATTTACTATTCTTAAAATAACATTTGATGCAAATGGAGAGGTTAAGATATCAAGTTAAGTGACTGAATGCTCCTGGTTTCTGTTTGGTTTTTGGAAATTAGTGTTCATATGTCTTCTTGTAAATTTAAATCTGGCATTTCAAAAGTAGAGTAGAAAGTGAGTGTAGAAGCTAAGCTAATATTTATATACCTATGTAAAAACCAAATGAATGTTCAAATGCATTAGCTAGCTGTTTCCTCTGGTGCCTTTAAATGACCTGACAGTTTCATCATGCTACTTCAAGCTTAGACGAAACAGCTAAAATGTTTTACAAATTTCCACTTTAATTTGAAGGATTCCAGCATGCTATGCATGATCTCAGTGCCTAAAACAAAGATATCTATATACCCATAAATAAAGTAAAAAAACAACTACAATCTTGCAACTGCAATCTTCCAACTACAATAGGAACATTTTTTTTAATTCCATGCTTTGTGTCTTTGACTCTTCAACTCCTTATTGTAGTTTTTTAGACTTTTTTATATATAGCAAATGGTCCCTAAGTTAACTAAATAAATAATAAGTACAGGAAGACTACTTGAAAGTAGCTTTACAACTACTGTGGACGCACTAGTGATTAGCTAGCAAAAAATACATGTGAGATGCAGACAGGAATTTCCAGTGCTAAGGAGAGAAGCATATATGAATTTCAACCCAAAGAGAAAAGCATATATGAATTTCATCTCTGTTACTCTGCACACCTCTCCTCCTTTCAGTCATGAATTATATCACTCTCCTGGGCATTATGATGCCATAGCTAATTGTTACTATCGTCTGGAACACACCAAAACTAGTGTCCATATAGCTGCTTGTATCACTTGCAACACACCAAAGCTGAAAACCACAGGCTTTTTCTAATATGAACTGATAGGAAAGAAAGTTTGGATATTGTGAATTATGTCATTTCATTGGACTAAATACTACTGAGCTCATTACCCTCCTAACGTACAATTATAAGCCTTTACAAATGGCAAAATGGCAACACCATTGCTAAGCTAGTGTGTGATCCAGCTGCACCTACTGACAAGTGGCTCTTAATTGGGCACAGTGACATTTACATAACAAGCAGCTGTATTCAACACACATTACCCTTTTTGAAGAAAGATATGTAAATGTTTTTGCTGTAATGTAGTACTCTGTCTCTTTTTAGAACTGAACTGTCAGATAAGCAGCTTTCCTCTAACCCCTATCGAGGTCTACTGAGGGGTGCCCCCTTTTCCTATTGGCTGTTTTAGCTTTTTAAAGAAAACTGGAGACTTAGGGGAGTTAAACAAGAAAAAAAGATTTTACAGTATTTTACAACAAAATTGGTAAAACAAAAGATGTGTCAAGAGACAGTTACTGTTTCTTGAAAGAATTCTATTATCTGTCTGTCTGTCTATAAACTTTGGTGGATGTTACAGGCTTCTCAGCAAGATGGTACATGCACAGCGTATATTCAGTTCCTTAAGCTAAGCTAACCTCAGAGATGTTACAGTTTATGCTCCCAATTAAAGTGCAGAATGTTTGAGGACCGAACATTCGCAGGGAAACCAAAATGCTTGTTTACAAAGCTATTGTACTACTAACTTTGCTGTATGCTTAAACACGGACCACTTATAAATCTCCAACTCCTCAAAATATTCCATCAACAGTGTCTCTGAAAAAATTTACACATCACTTGGGAAGATAGGCGAACTAATGCCAGTGTACTGGAAGAAGCAAAGATCACTAGTGTAGAAGCAATGATTCTTCAACATCAACTTCGTTAGATTGGTCATGTTGTTTGGATGCCTGATTATTATCTTCCAAAGCAACTACTCTATTCCCAACTTAAGAATGGAAAGCCAAATACCAACAAAAGAGGTTTAAAGAGTGATCTCCAGCCCAGCACTCCAGCTACACCACTCTGGCAGAATTTCACCACACTGCACCAACAGACTCTGGTCTACCTGAGCTGTCCATTACACCCACATTTTACAGACATCCTGTCAAATAAAATGGCATCTACAAGGAGAAACACAGTTCCAAATAACACTCCACCATCAGATGAATATCCTTGTACTTTCTGTCTTGCTCATGGGAGAGATGCCACCTCTGTTTTCTTCATTTTCCATGGAGGAAAGGAGAAGTGATTTATCTCTCTTCCCTACAGGACTTTTGCAGAAGACAGAAGCAGTTAACATACTGCTTATATCTCTTACAAGAGTCCAACTCTAGCCCAATTGCAAACATCCCCCCTTTCCAAAGTTTTCAGCATGATTCTGGACTTGTAGAAGGGAGAAATACATGATAAACCCCCGCCCCCCCACACAATATGGTTATCCAGAAATTGTGGCTAACTGGGCTGGAGAGATTTTAAATGATAGAAACCTATGTAATTATTTGATATTCCCATGATTGTCAGGATACCTTCATGGCTTTCAAGATTACCAATGCCAGTTCATATGATCACATGAGGAGGTAGTTAAATGTCTTTAATATAAGACTTGACAACCTTGCCTCTACCAACAAGGCACCATGTTCAGGAGATGAGAAAAGTATCATCAATAGCTACTCTGTAAATGCCATTTCATACAAACGATCACGTATCAATGTATACATATACTGACAATTGTGATTATCCTCCGAGCACTGAATTAAAAGGTGGAATAGCAATCCTCTAAAGAAATAAAATAATTTCCTTGGATTAAGCAAACAATGTTAATAGTTTGGTTCACCGAAACAGTCAAACATTTTCAAATTATGAGATAATTTTAAGCATTGTTTGGAATTAAAGGAAACAATGGACTGTAGAAAATCTTACCTTTTCTGCTGATATGAACTGAGGCCAATCGTTGTCTCAGTCTGAAAAGAAAAGAATAGCAAATTTCAGCAACAAAGTATGTTCCTTGAAAATTTATTGATAAGCAATCAGAATACACGGTAGCTTGCGTAAATCTCAAATCCAACTCTTTAAGAGTGCAATCCTAACTGTGTTTCTCTTCAGAAATGTCCTATTGAATTCAATGGGACTTACTCTCAAGTAACTGGAGGTAGGATTGAAGCCCAAAATATCAGCTTCGAATTATTCAAAACCTCTTAGCTCTTGTCAAGGAGTCTTATAAAGAAGCACTACGGCCCAGTTTATCATATGATAATTTACAGAACAGTTCTATGCATCTTTACTCAAATGCAATGCTTTTTTCTGGGGGGGATGCAGGAATACGCATACCCCTAAACATTTTGTGATCTTTGTACTTTTTACTGTATTTATTTTCCCCAACTTGAACTATAAAATGGTGATTTTCTTGAGTCAAAATGAGAGTACCCCTAAACATTTTTTTAGAAAGAAAAAAAAAGCACTGCTCAGATGTACTATAGAAGTAAAGAAGTTCAATACAACTTACTCCCAAGTGCGTTACCACTAATGTCAGGCCATTGGCCCATTCAAATTTTCCACTTCAAATAACAAGCTGAAACACCTACTTGAGAATTATTTCCTAAGTATAGTAGCATAACTTTTAAGAGACAAGCTAATGCGTGTTTGGTTAATTTAATCTTTTATCCCTCACTGTGTCTCAGCTGCCCTGCATAGATATGTACACACAGGTCCCAGTTTCCAAACACAATGCACTTCCAGGAAATCATTTCTTAGGTGACAGACTTCCATTATTTTGTATGGGAGCATTTCTACTCCGTTATTTGTGTGATTTCCCTCCGTTTTCTGCCTGAAACTGCTGCAGCCAACTAGCAACCATGCCTTGAAGGATGGTCAGGGGTGCCGCAGGCAACACTAGCCTCTGTCCCTCTTTCCTTCCTTCCCTTCTCTGATGTCCTCTCGCATCTCTGCCTCCCAAAGGCTTGTGTGGCTGTTTGTTGCAGCAGTCCTGGCTACAAGCTCCCCAGGCGAATGGTACCTCTGGCGCTGGCCAGGGGCTGCTGGTTGCCAGGAGCTGAGGCGGCCTTGGAGTAGGCAAGCAAGTGGATGAGGGAGCCAAGCCAGACAGACAGTCCACCAGCCTTTGCTGTTGGGAATGGACAGACAAAATGGGAGGCCAGGCAGGCAGGTACCATGCTGGCCTTTTTTGTGCTTGCTGTGTGCAATGCCTGCCTGGGAGCTGAGTGCCCAACACCGAAGAGGAGCCTTTCCACCGTGCAGGCCCAGCGGCTGCCAGTGCTGCCTCCTAAGGTGAGTAATGTGTTGGCCTCATATTCACCTTTGGTCAGTCTACTAAGGCTGGGGGGGGCATCCTCTTCCTTTTTTTTTTTTAAATGATATTTATTAAGGTTTCAAAAACAATAGATTACATAGATAAAAAGAAAAGAAACAAAAGAAAAAATAAAAAAGAGAAAAAATACAAAATACAGAAAAAAGATAAAAAACACTTAAAAACAAATCAATCTTTCCAAACCTTACATTTCATTTCCTTGCTTCCCTGACCTCCTCTCACCTCCCTTTTTTGTATTCCAGTTCAATTGGTTAATTCAGCAATTCCTTTCCCTCTTTGTTTTTGTCTTAATCTTTTAACTTAATAAATTATAGCTTTAGATTCTCACCTATTAACAATCCATTTTTACATACACCTTTATAACATTGCTGCTAAAACCACTTAACTTCATTCTGACATCATTCTAGCATTCATTAATTTTGCAGTATTTCTGTAAATAGTCTTTAAATTTCTTCCAATCTTCTTCCACCGACTCTTCTCCCTGGTCTCGGATTCTGCCAGTCATTTCCGCCAATTCCATATAGTCCATCACCTTCATCTGCCATTCTTCCAGGGTGGGTAAATCTTGTGTCTTCCAATATTTTGCAATAAGTATTCTTGCTGCTGTTGTGGCATACATAAAGAAAGTTCTGTCCTTCTTTGGCACCAATTGGCCGACTATGCCCAGGAGAAAGGCCTCTGGTTTCTTCAAGAAGGTATATTTGAATACCTTTTTCATTTCATTATAAATCATCTCCCAGAAAGCCTTAATCCTTGGGCACGTCCACCAAAGGTGAAAGAATGTACCTTCAGTTTCTTTACATTTCCAACATTTATTATTGGGCAAATGATAGATTTTTGCAAGCTTGACTGGGGTCATGTACCACCTGTATATCATTTTCATAATATTCTCTCTTAGAGCATTACATGCCGTAAACTTCATACCTGTGGTCCATAACTGTTCCTAGTCAGCCATCATTATGTTATGTCCAACATCTTGTGCCCATTTAATCATAGCAGATTTCACCGTTTCATCCTGAGTATTCCATTTCAACAGCAAGTTATACATCTTTGACAAAATCTTAGTTTTGGGTTCTAACAGTTCTGTTTCTAACTTTGATTTTTCCACCTGGAAGCCAATTTTCTTGTCCAAATTATATGCCTCCATTATCTGATAATAATGAAGCCAATCTCGCACTTTGTTTTTTAGTTTCTCAAAGCTCTGCAGTTTCAATCTATCTCCCTCTTGTTCCAGAATTTCCCAATATTTCGGCCATTTGGCCTCCATATTGAGCTTTTTCTGAGCTTTCGCTTCCATCGGTGACAGCCACCTTGGGGTTTTATTTTCCAATAGATCCTTATATCTTATCCAGACATTAAACAATGCTTTCCTGACAATATGATTTTTAAATGCTTTATGTGCTTTGACCTTATCATACCACAAATATGCATGCCATCCAAATACATTATTAAAACCTTCTAAGTCCAAAATGTCTGTGTTTTCAAGAAGCAGCCATTCTTTCAGCCAGCAAAAAGCTGCTGATTCATAATAAAGTTTAAGGTCTGGCAGGGCAAATCCACCTCTTTCCTTTGCATCCGTTAGGATTTTAAATTTTATTCTGGGCTTCTTGCCCTGCCAGACAAATCTAGAGATATCTCTCTGCCACTTCTTGAAGCAATCCATTTTGTCCAAAATTTGCAATGTTTGAAACAAAAACAACATTCTAGGCAATACATTCATTTTTATCGCAGCAATACGGCCTAGCAGTGAAAGCTTCAAATTTGACCAAATTTCTAAATCTTTCTTCACTTCAGCCCAACATTTTTCATAATTGTCTTTAAATAGATTCCCATTTTTAGCTGTCATGTTAATCCCCAGGTATTTCACTTTCTTAACCACTGTTAAACCTGTCTCATTCTGAAACCTCTCTCTCTCAATCGCTGTTAAATTTTTCTCTAAGACCTTTGTTTTTAACTTATTCAGCTTGAATCCTGCAACCTGACCAAATTCTTGAATCAGTTCCAAAACCCTTTTAGTACTAGATTCTGGCTCCTGTAGTGTCAATACTAAGTCATCTGCAAATGCTCTCAATTTGTACTGTTTAGCTCCGACTTGTACACCTTTAACCAGTTGGTCCCTTCTAATCATATTCAGCAGGACCTCCAGGACCGATATAAAAAGCAATGGGGAGATTGGGCAACCTTGTCGTGTCCCTTTTTCTATCTTGAATTCCTCCGTCACCACATTATTTACAATTAATTTAGCCTTTTGTTCTGAATATATTGCACTTATACCGTTTTCAAAGCCTTGGCCTACCCCCATCCCCTGTAGGTTCTTCTTCATGAAACTCCAAGAAATGTTGTCAAAAGCTTTCTCCGCGTCCACAAATATCAAAACTGCCTTAGTATTTATATTCACTTGTAATTTTTCTAAAATATTGATTATGTTTCTCACATTATCAGATAAATGTCTACCCGGGAGAAAGCCTGCTTGATCTTTATGTATCTCTTCCACTAGCACTCTTTTTAGTCTTTTAGCCAAAATGTCTGCAAAGATTTTATAATCCACATTGAGCAGTGATATGGGGCGGTAGTTCTTAAGCTGCGTCTTTTCAGTCTCTGTTTTCGGTACAAGTGTAATATACGCTTCTTTCCACGACTCTGGTGCCCTTTTCCCACCCATTATTTCGTTACAGACTTCTTTTAAAGGTTGTACTAACCATTCTTTTAAAGATCTGTAGTATCTAGAAGTCAGTCCATCCGGTCCTGGAGATTTACCTAGTTGCATATTCTGAATGGCACCTTCTACCTCCTGTTCAGTTATTTTATAGTTCAACATTAATTTATTTTCTTGAGAGATTTTTTGTAATCCATTTGTTTTCAAAAATCCGTCTACGTCAATTTCTTTCTGTGGCCCTTGTGTATATAGTTGTTTAAAGTACCTCTGGAAACAATTTCTAATCTCAGCTGGGTTCTGTATGTTCCTTCCTTCCACTTCTAAATTTGTAACAGTATTTAATTTTTGTCTTTTTTTCATTTGCCAAGCCAACAATTTCCCACATTTATTAGCTGACTCAAATGTCTTTTGTCTCATTTGTTTAATTTTCCATTCTATCTCCTGATTCATCATTTTCATGTATTGTACTTGATGTAACTTTATTTCTCTCAAAATCTCTTGCGACTTTGGTTTTGCTCTCAATTTCTTTTCACTTTCCTTTATTTTCTCCAATATTTTATCCTTCTTCTCATTTTGGATTCTCTTCTTTAATGCATTCTGTTGTATCAAGAACCCTCTCATAACAGCTTTGCTTGCGTCCCAGATTACCCGTTTTTCAACATTGGTGTTCATATTTATCTCAAAATAGTCTCTCAAGGTTTTTTGGGCCTTCTTAATCACTTCTTCATCTCTAAATAAGGTATCATTCATCCTCCATCTGAAGGAACCGGTTGGTGTTAGTTTCATTTCCATCTTAACAGCATTATGGTCGGAGCAGGTTTTTAGGCAGATTTCCGCTTTTCTTATCTTTGGTGCCATTCCTCTAGTTACCCATATTTGGTCAATTCTTGTCCATGTCAGTTTGGCTTCAGAGAAGAAGGTTCCCTCTCTGGCCAAGGAATTCTTTGTTCTCCAAATATCAACTAAGTCCAAGTTGTCTGTCATCTCAAAGAAGGTTTTCGGTAGTCTACCATCTTTAGTGACTACCCGTCTTTGTGCCTTGTCCATATGTGTAGATACCACTCCGTTCATATCTCCCATCAAAATCACATTATAATCCAAATAGTCCATCAAGGTCTCATGCAACTTTTTAAAGAATTCAGATTTCCCCTCGTTTGGTGCATAAACTCCTACTATTAAGAATTTTTCTCCTTGTATTTGAATTTCAATTGCCACAAATCTTCCTTGGTCATCTTTGAAGATAAATTTCGGTAATAGTCTCTCCTTTGCATAAATCACTACTCCTCTTTTTTTAACTTTATCCGAAGAAATAAATTCCTGGCCCAGTCTTTTATTGATCAATACTTTCCTGTGTAGCCTTGTTACATGTGTTTCCTGTAAACAAATCAAGTCCAATTGTTCCTTTTTTAATAAATGAAACACAGATTTCCTTTTCTGAGGGGAGTTCAGACCATTACAATTCCAGCTTAATAGTTGCAGAGCCATGATGTAGTTACTTTACTTCTCCTCCAACTGCTCCAAGTGCTTGTTCCTGTTCTGTCGGTGGTATCACCTTCTCCAGGTGGTCTCTTAATTCAAAAGGTAGTCTTGGTATGTCTATGGGGGGGCATCCTCTTCCCAGGCCCCTGCAGGGCGGTGTGAGGAAGCACCTCTCTTTGGGGCAGGGGGGGACAGCTCAGAGACCAGGGACGGTGGCAGTGGCTGCTCAGAGGGCTCCCAAGGTGAGGGGAGGTGAATGGATTGAGGGAACACTCCACAAGGGGGGTGGTTGAAAAGGGGTGATGGGTTGGCGGCTCTGCAGGCAAGGGGTGGCATAACTGAGCTTCTGAGGCTTGAAGCCCATTTCCCCACAGGGGAGCCGGAGAAAGAGTGTAGCTGGTCAAGGAAGCTGTGGGCTCAAAAAGGTTGAAAACCTCTGCATTAAGGTATAGAAGGGTTTAAATTTAATCGCAGAACAGGGAACCATTTCTGTGAACAGTGCGCAAACTGTAAGCTGTGCTATGGGTCACACCAATGCTTTTGTTCTTCTCACAATCATATACACAAAGCCCCTCCCAACCTATATAAAATCACCCTGAGACCTCTGGGTATAGGACGGTATATAAGTTCAACAAATAAATAAGAAATATATAAACACCAGTTTATGCTGCTATCTGTAGGGCAACTCTAATGAGGTGCTAATGAGAATTTGAAGGTACTGGAATCATAAAGATGATGCTATATGCTATACTATTTCACCAGGATCATCCACTCAAGTTCATATAAAAGATACTGAACTCATGTTTGTATGTATGTCTATGTATATCTATCTATCTATCTATCCTCCACCAAACTCATAGGATTGAATGTGCATAAGATTGCAGTCTCAGCTTTCAAGTAAATAATCTTGTTTAGCAACATTACACAATTGGATTCAGCCCAAAATAATTGAACACTGGAAATATGCAAGGGGCCAGATGGAAAAGATGAGTGAGTCAAGTTAGACTTGAAGTTCCGGCCATCAATTTTATTTCTTCATTAAGAGGCTTCAAGAGAACACAGCAGACTAAAGAAATTTTACTACACACAACAGCAATACAGGACAGACCCATTTATTTTAATAAAAAATATTTACCTGTAATAAGCCTCCTTCATCAAAGCGTAGAACTTCTATTATGCTATCTGACTGGATGAAAGCTGTAAAGCAAGAGAAATACAAATTAAAACTTCATTCTGATCAAGTAATGCTGTCCATCTGGAGATAGCTGTGATGTGGTCCTCCAGTTACCCACCCCCTAAACATTTAAAATAAAAACAACTTAAAGTTTGTCAATAGCATAAAGGCCCTGCCAAGCCAAGGTTTCCATCTAGTCTTGCATCTTATTTCCAACAGTTGCTAGTCAGATGCTACCATAAAGCCTGCTAAGCAGGATTCTCCTTGCTGTGAGTCCCTACATTTGCTATTTAGATGGTGCCCAAAACATAGGTGCTTTATTTAGTTATCATGGCTAATATTGCTGTTCATGTGCAGTTTCATGCAAGACTGTGCTAACATTTTAAAAAAGGCATCTATACAGTGAGCATTCTTTGGGTTTGGTCAGTCAACCAGCTACAAATCCACCTAACAGTTATCTCATCCAGTCCACATTCTACAACCTTATCCACAATAATACCATTGGGGAATTTTCTTGAAAGTCTTACTAAAATCAAGATACATTACATCCACAATATTCCCCTGATCCACATCTGGCATGACTTGTTTTTGAGAAGCCCCTGCTAATCACAGTGTCCTATCCTAAGTGCTCACAGACCGACTGTTTAACTTAGCTGTTCTAGGAACTTTCCTAGCATCACTGTCAAGCTCACTTGTTGGTAGTTATCTGGATGTTCTGCCTCCCCTGTTTTGAAGATGGGGACAACATGTGCACACCTGCAATCTGCAGGGACCTCACCTGTTCTCCAAGAATTATCAGATATTTTAGACAGAGGCTCTGAGATTACACTTGCAAGTTCCTTTAGTATGCTAGTAAACCCTTCTCTGAGTATTTCTTACAATGGAAATTCACCCAGTAGTTCCTTAAGCTTTTTGAAATCAGCCTTCTTAAAGTCCAGATTGCATGTCCAACTACACTCAGCCTCCCCTTGCTTGTGCATAATGAAACCAAAGAGGACATTATCACTTCCTACCAAGGTTTCCTGTACTTTCACTTTGTCAATCAGTTCCTCAATGTTGATGAGGACCAAGTTGAGATGACCCCCTTGTTGCTTCCTCGGCCTTCTGGAAATGTGGGAAAGTGAAGCAATTGAGGAATTTGTTGAACCTTACATTCTTAGCAGAGTATGAGTTCCAAAAGATATTGGGGTAGTTGAAGTATTCCGTGATTACTATTATCTCTCTTTTTGAATGTTTGGTGATCTGCTCTATGAAGGCATCATCCAAGTCCTCAGTCTGGCTTGGAGGTCTATAGAAGACACAGTAAGACCACTGTTGTTTACCTTTCCTACAATTTTTACCCATATACTCTGATTATAAATCCAAATCCTTTGGCTTCATTATACATCCAAACCTAACTTGGCTCACTAACTTTGGGGCCAACAAACCAGGATTTCAAAGCATGCCTGAAGTTGTTTTGTGAATCTTGGCTTGCATTAAATGTGATTTGACATTATGTCCAAGCTCAGTATTCTACTTTAATTCTATTTCTGTATCACTATACCTTGTCTTACTACAGTAATGAGAGGGAAAAGCAGCTAAAAAACAAAAATGCTTACATGGCTGAAGGACACTCACTGGCACTTTCACAGACCTTTTCCTCCTTCCTCATTCTGTTTAGCAATAGACTACTTTCCCCAACCACTTCCTTGCTGGTAAGCTCTGCACCCCAAAATTTAAATTTGCACAGGGATCTATTATGAGAGCTATATGTTAGACACAATGAGAACTATATGTTAGACACAAACCTTTGCTCTTAGCACATTACATCAAAGTCCAACCAACATAAATGCAGTTTGGCCTGAAAGCCTCTCCTGACCACCATCACACATTTAATTCCTACTATACTGTTTCTGCAACAATCCACCCACCCTTTTTATATCTAAAAATCAAAGTTACTGCTAACACCGTTGCTTCTTCTTGCTCAGAAGTAAAGTTTTTGTGGACTTCCGGGGTGGCGCCATCGCCCTCTGATCCGGAGGGACTGGCTCTACGGAAAACGGGTCTGTTCCGCTACGGCGAAGTGGGGACCCTTTAAAAAATCACAGGCGGGTGAAGCCTGTGACCGTGAGACTCAGCGGGCACCTTTCGCGCGCCCCCAATTCGTAAAGGAACCCAATTACGGGCTCCGGAGTGAAGTGGGGCAAGCGGCGCGGTGCTGAGAGTCAACTGCTTCTTCCGTGGAGCGAAGCCGCACAGCTGTTACCGGAGAGCGCTACCTTTTTCCTGTGACAATCTGGCTACAAAAACAACTACCCGTGAGTAGGTTAAATTTGGACAATTGGACTCTAAACAACGACCCGTGAGTAGAACGGAAAATTGGATTAAGAAATTTCTTTTAATTTGGCACTGAAGCGGGAAGGTCTAAACAGGAAGTCAGCCTTCCGTTTCTTGTAGATAGATTAAAGCAAAGACATGGCAAACTAGAGTTTAGAAAATCGTCTGTAAAGGATCAACTTTCATCATCTAAAATTACTGAACCCCCCCTTTGGAAGCAGGAGAAGAGGGGGGATTTTTTCTGGACTGTTTAAACCTGCAGAAGAGAGTGTAAAGAAAAGTAATTTTCCACCGTCTTGAACCTGGGAGCGGGGTGTCAGGACAGACGTTTTCGTGAAGTTCATTGACTATAGACAAACGTTTTTGACAGACAGTTAAAAGAAGAGAAACAAAGTGATTCCATTGTTCTCCTTCGCATCTAAAAGGAACAAAATACTGACAAAATATCTGAAAAAGGAAACTTTGTTGTTAGATCTGCTTTTTAAAAAAAAGAGAGAGATGGATACAAATAGAAGTTCTTCCCCTAGAGGGAGCTTGTGAAACTGTTATTAAATCTGAACTGGGGAGCTTTGCAGCTGCAATAGATTAAGATCGTGGGATCAGACTTTGACCTTGCACAACAATGTACTCGGAGGCTCTGGTGAGTGCTTTCTGCAAAACAAGTGCTTTATTGGAACAGTTACATGAGAAGACGGATTTGATGACTGTTGCGATCAGAAATTTTGGACAGGTAGTGGGTATCTATATAGAACCCACTCAGGAATTAATCCAGGAGTGTGCTCTGACAGATCAGATGAGGGAGGAGGTTGTTGCTGGACCTCGGGAGGCAGAGATGGAGGGAACTGTGGCCCAGCAGGAACATGAGTTGTTGGATCTGACGAATGAACCTGGAAAAGCCAGATTTGGAGAGATAGAGTCTTGTTTGGCTTGGAGATGGGGGGCTGGATAGACCTCCTATGCAGGGATGTTTTGAATTTTCAAGTCTGGCTTTGGGGCGGGAGGAGTTTGGAGTTGTGGGGTCCTCAACTTTGGAGGGACCTTGAAACATGCTTTTAAATACCACATGGAGTTCAGTGTGGACTATGGAAAAGGGGCTGATCTGTCGAGAAGGGACAAAAATATTGTCAAGCTGGAGTCTCCACGAGTGAAAGGAGCAGAAGACAAAGTAAAGTACAGGTATAAATATGAAGAAGATCTGCAGAAGGGACATGGAAGAGACTTAAGGGCCTCGGACATAAGATTACCAGGTTAATGAACTAGATGGATGGGATAGAGAGGACTGACAAAACCCGAGACCAGGAGGAAGAGACGTTGGATGAAGATTGGAAGAAAGTTTTAAAAATTCTACTTAGGAATGTTTTGTAAAATTAATGAGTATTAGAAAAATGTTGGAACGAAATTATTTGGCTTTAGCAGAAATGTTAAAAAGAACTATGTAAGAATATGCTATGGTTATGAGAAATTGGTATAAATAAGATTTAAGTTTTAAGTTTTAGGGTTTTTATGGTAAGATAAGGTTAAAATAGATTAAGGTAATTTAATGACAGAATATTATGAAAAATGGAAAGGATTTGCTGTGATAATCAACAACTAGAATACAAAAAAGGGAGGTGTGAGGAGGTCGATGAAATAAGGTAATGACAGTTAAGGATTTGGGAATATTGGATCTGTTTTTAAATTTTTGTGGTTTATTTTTGCTTTTTGATTTTGATGTGCTATGTGTTTTGTTTTTTGATTTTGACTTTTATCGATTTGTATTGTTTAATTGCTATTTGTTTTTTCCTTGTTTTTTCCTTCTTTTTTTCTTTGTTTTTTTTGGTAATTTTAAAATTCTCAATAAATATTATTTTTTAAAAAAAAAAGAAGTAAAGTTTTTGTATTAATAGAAAGTCTCTCTCTCGTGACTGCAGAAGAAATGATTTTTTTTGATAGGGTTACGAGTTCACAAAAAAAGGCTAACAACACTTCTCATGGAATGTGCCTAGAAATGGAGGAAGAAAGGGATGCTTTAGGACTGTTTTTTGCTCGTATGTCTTGGGAAGAGAAGAATGTTTTGAAGCCAGACAAATGTAGAAGAATTGACATTTCAGGGGTGTCTTGCTGGTCTTTGGGCAATGAAAAAGACTTTGGTATGTATACTAGCTGGGTGTTCAGAGGCACAACAAATCAACATAAGGCAAAACAGATTACATGCTATACAAATATATGAGAGTTGAATCCTTGCTTGTTAAACAAACCATGGTTAAAAGAAGTATACAGTGCCTACTGGCCCATCCCTATATATGTATATGCGCCTTGACATTAAAAATGTCAACAAATCAGGACTTGCCTTTATAGATGTCATGCTGCTTGCTTATTCTTCTATAATTTTAACTTTAATAATACCTTCTACCAATTGAGACATAAACTAGGAGGAAAGGCCTGTGATTTTTTGGCTCTCCATCCCTCATATTATTTTTATTTTATTTTAATGATGTTACATTGCCTACCTTCTAATCTTCCAAGAAAGATGACAATTTTAATGGCAGCAAACATTATTAAAGGCAGCAAATTCACATCTGAGTCAAAAATATTTAGGTAACTGACTGGTATGAGTTAATTCTAGGATGTTATACTCTCGTATCTATTTGACTTGACTCTGCAGATGCATCAAAAAGTGGTTCAGAATGCAAATAATTTATGCAGCTTATCTGTGATTTCTTTATCAGTATTTCTCCCACAGCAATGTTGGCTTGCTGAGGTGTCGCCATGTAGTGCTAAACTGTGGTTAGTTTTATATGCTAATGCTGCCAGTATCTGAATATACATTTACCAGACAGTAGTTATGTTTTGACTCAATGCTGACTATGAACCACAGTTAGTCGAATTAGGTGATGCATGTAGCTCAGCACTTCCTATTTCACTCCTTCCTCTCGTGAGTAGCGAAACATACCATGGGAGTGGTTGGCCTGGCACTGTATCCAAACCAGCATTTGCAGTTTATTTAGCAACAAACTAACTATGATCCAATCACCTTATGGTTTCATTCCCCACATCTGACTAAAGGAGGGAACAAAGTGGGAGTGTTCCAGCTGTGTGAATTAGCACACAGTTCATGTAATTTATCTAACTATAGTTTGTGGCTGCATGTGACATGCAAACAAGCCCAATGCAAGGATAAGTGATCACACCCAACATCTCTTTTTGGCTACCCTCCACACTCCCCATCCTATCTCTATCTCAAGATTCAATCAAAGAAATGCTAAGGTGTCCCCAGTACTACTTTGCTTTTTTAACCTCTTGTTTCTACCAGCAGTGATTGTGTGATTCGATTAGTTTCTCTTAATGTTCCTAATTTATTGCATTCAATGACCTATTTGACATAGAAAGCAATACCAGTGCAACCAATTTTCCAAGATTTATACCAAGGGATAATTGTATCCCATGGATTGCAGGGTGAGGGTAGCCAATGGTCTCAAACCCTCTGTGAGTTAGGGACTTCCTCTGCCTGTGAAGGCAGGCTCTGGTGGATAGTGGGTCCAACGGTCAAGAAGGTGGTTTCTGCATGTGCTGTAGAGGGAGGTAAGGGGCAGGTAGGCTTCATTAACTGGGGAAGGTAGCCCATGTAGAAGGAAAACGCTTATCCTAAACCTTTGTTGCCTTGCAGGATATCTCTGAGGAGAAGACAAGGCTAAGGAGTAAACCCTATACAAATCCAGAGTGGGGTCCCTAAGATGGCTGCATGGATGTCTTGTATGTCTCCTTCTGGCAACTCCTGCAGCCAAGCTGATGCCAAACGTGTTGTTCTGCTTTCCTTTGGACAGCTTCAGTGAGGCCAAGAGGGAGGTTTTGTTATTGAGGCAGCCCAGGAACTCCATGCACACTGCCTAGGATGGCACGCTCCAGGGAGGTTACCGGTGCTGCCAACACAGTGGTTTGATTTCACTCCTGGAGGCGCACTCCGTTGTCTCTTGAGACAGATGGATGCCAAGAATCCACTTCTCATAGGTCAGAAGAGTTACGCTTGGGTCACGTTTTGTGACTTTTCAGGATTCTTAACCCCTCCTTGCATTATTTAGAGGCATGTATGGAGGCTATCCCTACAAAGACGTTAAACATAAATGACTATGAATAATTACAGCAAAGCAAACTTAATTTGATAGCCAGTGTGGTGTACTGGTTGGTGCGCCAAAGGGTTTAAATTCCCACATAGCCAGGGAATTCAGTGCAGTAGTTTACTTTGGGCCAGCCACTCTCTTGCAGTGCAATCTACCTCACAGGTTTGTTGTGAGGACTTCACTGTCTCTCAACAACAATAGGTCTGACTCAGTATAAGGCTACTTCCTGTATTTACAGCTCCTGCACACAGTGTGTTACAGTAGTCTAAGTAAGATATTATCAGAGTGTGGAGGAGACACAGCTGCCACACCAATCACAACTGAAGAAAAGTACTTGGTGCCAAAGAGGCTGCAAGAGCATAGGAGCACAGCAAGGGACAATCTCAAGGCGGGAATCTGATGCTTTAGGGCAGGGTTGGCTGATCTGTTTTCTGCCTTACTTCTAGATAAAATGTGGCACTTCACCTAAGAACAGAATTTGGAGTCTGAAACAAGGTAGCACCATTTGCTTGGTTATTTCCATGCTCAATACTGCAGTGATTCTAGCAATATCTGTTTTTGTTTTTATTGTCAATGGAAGAAGTAAATCCATACATACAAATGAGTACTTGCTTCACTTCCTATATTACAATAAATAAAGAAATAATTTGCAGCTATGGAACTCCCATGACTAAACTGACTTAGCTGTGATTCCTACATTGCAGGGGGTTGGACTAGATGACCCAAGGGATCATTGCACTGAGTCTCTACAGTTCTGCCTGAGTAGCTAGCCCTGCATATAAACAGACAGCACATCTGAAAGTACTATCTTAGGAGGTCCTGAACTGCCAACATCTCACCTACTAATTTAATTTTGTTTTTCCAAGACTTCATCAGCAGTTCCAGGTGGCTATATTATTATGTGTACCATAGCCACTATTAGTCTGCTGAGGCAGCATGTGATGCCTGCAACCTTCACACTTGGTCAGCCAAGGGAACAAATGTTAAACAAGCACAGACAGACCCACAAACCGCTACTCAAATTTCATATACCAATAGGGCACACAGTGCTCAGCAGTGGACAGTTCCCACACTTGAACAGACTTCTTCTATGGGTCTAAGCTCTACCTTTGTCTCCTCAACCAACAATAAAATAGATTATTTTTCTTTCTGACCATCAGATCTGGATTCCAAGATGCCAGTTACTGACATTATCATTGTCAATAACATCAACAATGCTAATCAGAAAATGCAATACAGTACTGGTTTATTGAAAAAACACCACACACACACACACACAAAGTCCATATTAGAGGAGGAGGAGGAGGATTTCTCCTAAAGCATGTGTCTAAGGCATGAATCCCTTTGCTGCTGCAGCCTTGTGTGGGTGTTGGCAGCACGATTCTGCCACCCGTGTGAGACCAGCAACATGAATCATGTCCTATGGACAGGGATGATGCAAGCTGTACAACATCTGGAAGGTCACATGTTTCTCACCCCTGCTTTAGAATTATCTTCTATTAGTAGGGTAGGGAAGCTGAAAATAATGCCAATATATTTCACATCAGGCAACCAATGCACTCCTTTGGTTTCAGATAGTACATGAGTAGGAGAGTCTAAAAAGTCCAGGACATGAATTTTCATGGCTAGTGTTCAAAACTAGCCAGGTGCCAGGCACATTTTGCAACTGGTGCGGGTCCAATTGTGACCATGCAGAGATCTCTGGATGCCAAGATGGCGACTGAGGAAAGCAAAAGGTGACTTAGAGAAGGATATGAAATACTTTCCTTGAAACTTGAATTAGTTTCATTCTGGATTGTTTTAGTTGACATTTTAATGTGTTGTAAAATGCTTCTAGATTTGTTCTTTGAAATATAAAGCGGTATAGAAATAGAATGAAAAATAAAAATCCCATGGAGGGGATGGAACAGTGCCTAGACATTCCTTTGTGGCAGCCGCATCCTAGGTTTAAGGTGCCATTTGACGATTGAATTATATATCTGAGTTTGTAACACTGTTCATGGCCCTCTAGAGGCTATGGTGGCTCATTTACCAGAAGTAATGTATTTAGCATTAACTCTGGAAGTATATACTAGATTCTGGCCAAATGAAGCTGCCTAGAGCAAAATATAAATCAGGAAGCTTAGTTTGGTCAGAATTGATTATACACTTCCACAGTTAATGCTAAATACATTACTGGTAAATGAGCCATCACAGCTGCTAGAGGGCCATGAAAATTTGTTTCCGAGGCTTTTTAGACTCCTCTACCCATGTACTATCAGAAACCAAAGGAGCACATTGGTGGCCAGATATGAAATTGTTACTAGATCTCCTACCCCACAATTTTCTTATTCACATATTGAGTCTTCTAGGTCCCATAAGAAAGATGATATCAGAAGCTCCCACAGCATTTTTCTGTTTGGTTTTTCTTTTGGAGGCAGTGCGGGGGGGGGGGGGGAGAGAGAGAGAGAGAACTAGCTCTCCTAGCTCTCATTATAACAGCCTTACCATGCCCGTACCAAAATAGCGCTACTCTTGCCCAGTCCGCCAAATTGTGTTACCTTGGTAACACTTGAATTACGGTGTAAAGATTGCAGGACTTCCTTTACAATGCAGTAAAAGATAGATTCTTTGTGGTCTGTTCATAAAGATATGATTTCGTGGTGGCATCTGATTTTCTTGGCCTCTGGAAAGAAGTATATCTAACAACAGGCAGAGCAGTGCCCTCATAGCATTGTAGTTTCAAGTACTTCTTAAACACGTGGTTGTCTCAAGTTGTTCTCTTGATAAAAAAAACCATGTTATTCACTGAGCCAACCATCAGATTCAATTAATTCCCTTGTGATCTTCACTTTCTTGCACTTTTGAACCCAAAAAAAGATATCAAAAAATCATGTAAATTCTTTTACCCAGATTCTGTACTTCACACTTCATTGTTTTCTCTAAGAAAGAGGTTGGTTCTGTGGCCTTTTGATGCTTGTCCCAGCTCTATGTAATTTAATTTAAGAGTTTCATTACAAGGAAATTGCTATGAATTACACTTCAATTAAAGGAAAAGAGGAAAAATGAAATATTGCACGTATGTTATGCTATAGGTCAAGTGGCCCCAACGTATTTTCAAAGTAATATAAAACAACAGCTATTTTATTGATACAGAAAGCTGAATTGCAGGCATATATAAAGATATATAAAGATAGCACTGAAATTCAGAAGATGCCTGAATATCGAACTGTCTAAATTGACTGGCAGTGGTTCTCTGGGGTTTCAAACAAGACCCTTTCCCAGACGTACCTGGAGATTGAACCTTGGATCCTCAATATGCAAAACATGTGTTCTATTCACTGAGCTACCCCCACCCCCCAAATAAAATGATGTAAAAATAAACAGACACAAATAAATAACTGGGAAAGGGCTCCTTAGTAGAACATGATTTGCATACAAACAGTTGCAAGTTCAATTTCTGGTGCCTCTAGGTAGAGCTAGTTCTATGCTATTGTTTTTTTTTTATAATAGTTTGCTGTTTTGTGGCCCCATTTTGAGTTGAAGTTTAGGAAAGAAATATTTCCAAAAAATGGCATTAGGAATCAGCGTAGGCTCCAAATTCCATCTTCATATAGCTGTAAGCCTATGATACAAACAGTCCTTAATAAAGAACATATAAAAAACCCAATTCTCACCCATTTTTAAAGATATGACTTAATTGAAGATTTAAGCCCAATTGCATATATTTAATAAAGTGCAGAACAATCAGATGAAAATCAGTCTTTCGAAGAAAAAAAATAGGACAGCACCCAGCACAGGATTTTCACCCACAAGTTTCTGTAGATCATGTACAATGGTACCTCTGGTTGCGAACGGGATCCATTCCAGAGTCCCGTTCGCAATATGAAAAGAACGTAACCCACAGCAGCGCGTCTGTGCATGCGCGGGTTGCAATTCGCCGCTTCTGCAAATGCCCTTGGTGTCATTTTGTGCATCTGCACATGCGGCGAAACCCGGAAGTAACCCTTTCAGGTACTTCTGGGTCGCCACGGGACGTAACCTGAAAGAACATAACATGAAGCGGATGTAACATGAGGTATGACTGTATCTGCGTTCACAGGAAAGTTCAGCAACAGAGAAACACTACAAGGCACACATACCAATGGGTGGGATTTCACCCTTCAGCGGGTGCTTGTATGTGTGAGAACTGCACATTTCTTAGCTGAGTCAGGACAACTTCCTGCCAGTATTCCTTGAGGGTCACATATGACTAATTGAAGTATAACTTTCAAAAACAATTTAATCCCAACATATAAGACTGCATAGATGGAAGAATCCCATCTACAGTAGGAGCGCCTATTCCCTGTCCCAGATCACATGATAATTATTTGGATTAAGCTTCTCAGCTTGTTCCCTCACCCAACCCCTGAATCCAATCCATCACATATTGACTGAATAAGAACACTAAGACTTCAGGGCCAAGGTCTGGTGGGTAAATGCAGGTGTCTCCAAACGCCAAATGATCCCACACAAGGGCCAAATCCGACAGTGCAGGGGAAAGACATCTAACAGTGTAGGCTGCCCAAGAAGTATATATTAGTGGTTATCATTTTAACTCACTACAAAGAGCAGAATTTCTCAGCACTTAATCCAGAAGATCCCATAACTTATAGATTCATAGAATACAGTGGTACCTCGAGTTACAAATGCCTCAGGTTACAAAAGCTTCAAGTTACAAACTCCGCTAACCTGGAAGAGTTACCTCAAGTTGAGAACTTGAGAGGAGAATGGAAATTGTGTGCCGGCGGCGGAGCAGCAGCAAGAAGCCCCATTAGCAAAAGCACGCCTCTAGTCAAGAACAGTTTCAGGTTAAGAATGGACCTCCGGAACGAATTAAGTCCGTAACTAGAGGTACTACTGTAATAGCGTTGGAAGGGACCCTGAGGCTCATCTAGCCCAATCTGAACATGCAGCTGTTCCATACGGGGATTGTACCTGTAACCTTAGCATTATCAGCACCACACTCTAATCAACTGAGCTATCCAACTGTGTCACTGCAATCTCATGATCAGCTAACCAAAATGTAGATACAAGGCAAAGGAGTTAGTTGCATACAACTACCCCTCTTCAGAGGTACCCCTGGCAAGAAGCTGTATTGGCGCCCCCCACCCCACAATGTTTATGTGACCCAAGTACACAGGCTTCCAGAATGGGGTGAGGGAGAGGCAAGACCAGAAGTTGCACTCCAAAACATCTGGAAGGACCAGGTTGGCAAAGGCTGGCTTAAGGCGTGTGTGCAGGAGGCACGGGCACAGAAAAGCACAGGAGCTTTTCAATCCAATCTAATTTTCAAAGAACATCAGGTGTTTAGGATGGTGGTTTTAGCTGTCCTTGAGGCTTGCAAAACAGAGTTATGTAGCCATCTGTTTCTGCCCTATTTCTTCCATCATTGATATAAAGCCCTCATCATTTTGAGCATGTCTGCAAAAAAGGTTGGACACCAGTGCTCTGCAGACTATTTCAACTTTAGAGTAAACTAGCATAGATTGTTAAAATTACTATAACGTTCAATGACCATGAGCTGTATGTAAATCATTGATTCATTGGTAATGGTGGAGCCCTGTGTTATATACAGAGATAGACAGTGAAATCCTATGTCAGTCTAGTCAGAAGTTTCTTTATGTCCAGGGGGTCTTACTCACTTGTAAGTCTGTCTAGGTTTGCACTGTTAGGTTGAAATCCTATACACACTTTCCTGGAAGTAAGCCCAATGAACTCAAAAGCATTTATTTATGTGCAGATGCGCAAATGATGGGGTTGTACTTAGTCTTTTGTAGTCTTACAAAACCAGGGAGTGGGTGGCGCTGTAGTGTAAACCACTGAGCCTCTTGGGCTTGCTGATCAGAAGGTTGGTGGTTCAAATCCATGTGATGGTGGGAGTTCTTGTTGTTCTGTCCCAGTTCCTGCCAACCTAGCAGTTTGAAAGCATACCAGTGCAAGTAAATAAATAGGTGCTGCTGCGGTGTGAAGGTAAATGGGATTTCTGTGCGCTCTGGCACTCACTCATCATAATGTCCCATTGAAATGGTTTAGTCATGCTGGCCACATGACCCAGAAAGATGTCTGTGGACAAACGCTGGCTCCCTCAGCCTGAAGCGAGATAAGCACCGCACCCCATAGTCCCCCTTGAATGGACTTAACCATCACGGGGTCGTTTACCTTTACCTTAGTCTTACAAAAACACAGAAATCAGTGTTGGACTAGGACCTGGTAGACCAGAGTAGAAATCCCCACTTGGCCATGAAGCTCACTGGGAAACCTTGGGACAGTCACAGTCTCTCAGCCTAGTCTTCCTCAAATGGTTTCTCTGAGCATAAAATTTGGTGGGGGTGGGGAGAGAACCATGTACACCTTCTTGGAGGAAAGGAGATGATATAAATTTAATATATATGCTAATTAAACATGCATATTAGGTATACTCCAATTAGCAGATGTGTGGATATAAGAACGCAAGGCCAAGAAAAATTATCTTGAAAATGGGAGCGAGAACTACAATATGGGATGGTAGAATCAAAGTGAATTATAAAAGGGGCGTAAGTAAAAAGGGCAGATGAAAACTTAAATGAGTTTTTAATGTATTACGAAAAGAACACAAGACATGGGTGTCTTAATGCATTCAATGAAAACCTCAACATGTCCTGGATTATAACATGCTATATAGATTTGTAGGCAGCTTGTAGAAACTCTTAACAGCACACAAAAATAAACTAGGAGTAGAAATGTATTTAAAGTAATACTTTAATGACCCTAAAAATGAAGTAAAGGAGGCTCACAGAAGGAAAAATTCTCATTCCCTTCCTCCTGCTGCAGCTGCCTGAGAGGTTTGAGGACCCTCCTGACCAATACAGAAAAACAAAAACTTTCCTTCCATGAATTTCCTTATCTTAGGAAGTTGGATTTTAGATTACTCCCTTCCAGCAGCCCCCAATGGTTCATCCCCCATTCTTTTTGTTTGGAGGGGGTGTGTCCCTGACCCTCTAGAGAGGTTTCCCCCCCCCAAAGGCACAAGTGACCACAGTAGGGAGGAAGGCATGGGGATCTTTCCTTCCATTAACTGCCTTAAATTAACTTGTGACAGAATTCAAGTCTAAGATTTCATTCTTGTCAAATGGTTCAGTGTATTTCAGAACTATAACACACTCCATTGTGAGCTTTCTATTGAAAACAATGAGTTAAAAATTATGAGTTCCTGCTATCAAAACTAAAACGATCAAGACTAACACAAAGATGTTGTTGCATCTGTATGTTAAGGTTGACTAGGTCCATGTTGTTTCAACAGACATTCCAGAGATGTCTTATACTGTATAATGAGGTGTAAACTAGCACCCACTTTCTAAACATATAATACATTAACATATGAAGGGTCAATCAAGGCTTAAGCATCCACTCTTTTCATAACTGTGGCTTGGCATGTTCATTACATTCTCCTGTCACCAGACAGTGGAGTGATCTTTTGGTAAACACTACATCTTCTTTCAGTAAACACTTCATCATCAATGTGAACCAAAGGAAAATTGGATTCATAGAACTGTAGAGTTGGAAGGGACTATTTAGTAGTACAACCCCCTGCAATGCAGGAATATGCAGCTGTCCCATATGTGGCTCAAACCTGCAACCTTGGCATTATCAGCACCACACTCAGTCTAACCAACTGAGCTATCCAGGATACCCCCCATTTCAATCAGTTGCCTGACTCCTTTCTTCTCTCATATTGCATGTGCAGAAATGTAAGTTACTGTGCTATACATCCCTGGCCTTTCCAGTTTAACCTTTACTAGAAGTGCTACTTGTTCTTCCTCTCCCAGCTGCTAAACACATCAGATTATGTTCTCACTCACACATTCTAGAAAAAGAGAAGAGAAAGTGGAGCCAGAGTACTCTGTCGCAATTCTCCAGCGTGGAAGGGGAAAACCAAGCAATGCTACAATAGCTACAAAGAGTGCCATGAGTAAATAGGCAGCAGAAAGAGGGTTAAACGGGCTTCTGTCCTTGCCACTTGCCTGGTTGCCTGAGGACAAATGCTATTCTATGCAGACAACCAGTCAAGTGGCAAGCTACCTGTCTGGAACAGGAATAGGTATTTACCTGCACACCCAACAAAAATGGTTAGTTGACAAGACACTACAGCCAGAATAGTGAGAACCTGCCTGTCAAAACCACAGCTACTGCTTTCACACAGTCTGCAAAACTGTAAAAGTGAAAACTGTTTTGTTTTGTTTTTAAAAAAGACAATTTAGAAAATGATGTGGTTTAAAGTAATGCATGTTTTAAATGTTTCAAAATATCCAGCATTTGAAAAAGACATAGCTTTTTGGGACCATGACCACAATTTAATACATGAAAGATACTGGCATAGCAGTAAATTTTTGTAGCTTTTCACAGTTGTTAAGATATAAGGCAAGAAGTAAAAGTTAAAGTAAAAGCAGTGAGTAGAATATTTTTCTGCAAAGTCCAGTTAACAGAAACTGCTAAGCAGTTAAACGTTTTATTAATGTGCAACCTTCCTCTTGTGCTTATGAAATCAGCAGCAACATAATCAATGATGTTCACTCTTAAAATACTTTAAGACTAGAACAACTTTACTGTACTTATTTTAGGCTGCCTATCTGTATAATAAAAGAAATCTAGGTTTGTGGCATTGCCTCTAAATAGTAAATTTTGAAACCAGAATCGTACTAATTTCTTAGAAGTTCACACTTGCAAACATTTAAAAACCTTCTGTAGGTAGCTCCTAAGTAGTCACCAACAATAGCAGTCTGGAAGGGATAAATCACTCAGCTATATGAATAGAGGTATCTTGAGTAAAACAGACTACTAGTAAGAAGTTAAGATAGCAACATACGGACATTGGTTAAGGAAGTTAATTGACACTATACAGTCAGCAAACTCCCCCTGTGTTCATTTGAACACGATGGGAAAGACTAGTATAGCACACAGGTACAAGCTAGAAAACTCAACAACCCTGAAGAATAGAGCTCTGTGGCACAATGGGTCAGAACTAGAGGCGATAAAAAGTAAGTGTATGTACACAGGCAGAAATTGCAAGATTCTTGTCAATTTGCCTAAGCGAAATAGTCTCTGGGGAGGTAGCACACAGATACTCAAATGTAGATAGAAATATTAACTCTCATTGTCAGTCATGATAAACTGACAATACTATTCAGAACTGTTTGCCTTCTTTGAATATAGCAAAGTACCAAACAACCAAGCAGCAAGCCTGAGAACAACCACAGAATCAGAGCGATCTTCATGAATCATTAAAAAAGAAAATCTATGAATGACATTGCAAGACTAACTGCTGACACTGTAAGTCCTAGCTACAAATGAAAGCACGTTTTAAAATAGAGTGAAGCAGCAAAATCTCAACACACACCGTATATATATACACAAACCACCGAAAAGATAAGGGACATTTTCTTTGGGCTCCATATGATAAACAACCAGATAAAAAGTTATGTACATTATGACATTTTAATGTTTAAGGTCACTGGTTAATAGAATTTCAACTCAGCTTCATAAAGTTTGCGTCAAACCAAAGTTAAGGATATGGATTTTCATAAAATCCACTTGGTTTCCAGTTTAAAGGTTCTAGTAACTTCACAAAGTTACTAAGCATTGCTATAAGCAAGATACTTCTAAGGAAGATGACTCACATCTGTTTTGCAGATTTATTTGATGTGTTTCTTCTTCAAGAATGTCTGTTATCTTTTCCTCCAGTGGCTAAACCCCCTGACTTAAAATCATTTGCTGCTCTTCACAGTGCTTCAAAGACCACTACCAGACATTTTATTAAGTCCTGAAGATGCTTCAGAATGGCAGGTGAAACTTCAAACTGGTACTGCATATATAAAATGAAATGCTTGACTTTTTTGATAAATGCTCTTCAGGGACTCTGTAAACAGACACCTATAAAACTAGATTTTTTACGGGTTGACAACATGGGTAACCAACATGGTGCCCTTCATGCACTCTTGGGTTTCAACTCCCACCTGTCCACTAGCCACATTGACTGAGGCTACTGGGAATTGGAGTCCAACAACCTTTGCTGGGCACTAGTTGTCTATCCATGATTTACAGCGTCCCTGAAAACTATTTATCTAAACATGCTGGGCAATTTGCATGCTATCAATACATCTGTATTTCCAAGTACCAAAATGAGGCTGGGGGTGGAGGTTGGAGTAGCATGTGCTACTCTTTGATGCTGCCCTCCTTTCCTTTTTGCTGCATCGGTAACCAAATCCAAAACCACTTCATGTATTTTCTCAGTATGCAGGATTCTCTGGAATTTTGTTTTTAAAAATGCCACACAGTTCAACCCTGCTGACATTACACTACCTCCACAGAACAAGCTTTAAAAGGAATCCCGAATTAATATTTTGGATTTTTCAAAAAATAAAATAAAAATGCAGTGATGTCCAGAAATCTCAAAAGACCTTTTTTGTTCCTTTGCTTGTTTTTGAAAGAAAGCACTTCTCCAGCGGGTACAAGGTGCAATCTGACAGCTGCTCAGGGTAGCCAAGGTAAATATTTTAAGAGATGAGCTTCTTAAAAGAAGCCAGGTCCAACTTTGGGCTGCAGATGGTGGTGCCTGCAGCCAGCCAGCCTTGCCTTGCCTTGTGCGGGCGGGATCCTCCAGCTCAGCAGGGGCAGGACTAGAGCTCCGTCCCCATCTCCCAACACACAAAAACAAAAGCGGGATTTAAAAAAACCCCAGCAACTTTACCTCACTGACAAATGCATGCGCCGAGCTTCGGCATTTTACTACGGCCCGGGTCACAAAGCGAGGAGAGAGAGATGGAGGGAGAGGGAGAGAAAGAGAGCCAGGCCCAGAGGCGGCAGGTCCCCACAGCCGGGTGGAGCAGCCAACAGGGCCGGCCAGTGAGTTGGCAGCCCGGCTGGGAGGGGACGAGCCAGAGCACCGGGAGAGGAAAAGGGGGAAGGAGGAGAAATACGCACCCGGCGGGACCCCAAAAAGAAAGAGGGAATGAAGGAGGGTGGGCAGGGAAAGAGACACAGAAAGCCAAGTAACTCAGGGGATGCCAATAGTACCCAGAAACTTCAGCACTGATTTCCGACTGAGGCGCTTTGTGGGGCAGGAGGGGAACCGCGGACAACTTTGGGAAAGACCCGGCGAAGGGTTAAGGGGTCGTCGTCCCCTCACCAAACACACACAGAGGGGAAAGACCCCTTACCCCTCGCCCCAGGGGGAGCACGGAGGAGGAACAAGAGGGCGGCCCCGAACCAGGTGTGGGCACGTTAGAAACAAGCCAGCGGAGGGGCATTTAATGAAGCATCTGGGGAAGAGGTGGGCAGAGGCGGCCCCACGGGGAGGGTCGCGATCTCTCGGGTCGCCGTGAGGGAGGAGGCAGCGTTTCTCCTCTCCCGCCGCCGCCTCCCCGCCCGCCAGCCCTTTCCTTCCTTCCTTCCCTTCCCCTCACCTTCTTTCTCAGCCCGGGCCGCGTTCAGGAGCAGCGCCACCAGCAGCCGCAGCGTGACTCCGAGCCAGGGGGCCGCCGCTACCGACCGGCTCTCGGCCGCAGGGACCGAGGGGGACCCGGAGGAGGAGCGAGGACGGGGAGCCGCTTCCCGCTTCAACGCCGCCGCCATCGCCGTCGTGTTGCCGCCGTTGTTATTGTTTGCTTGGTTGTTGTTGTTGTTGTCGCCTCAGCTCGCCGGGGATTCCGTCGCCGTCTGAGGGGGCCCTGCTTGGCCCGCGAGGCAGTTCTCGCCGCGACTGTGTGTGTGTGTGTGCGTGTCTGTGTCTTTCTCCCCTCCCTCGTTAGGGCGCGTGCGGGAGCCAGCCGCTGCACTGGGCGGGTGCGAGCGCTCGGCGCGCGCACATCGCACGCGCTTCCTCCTCTCTCTCCCCTCTCTTTTCGCTCCTCCCCCCCCCACTCCGCCTCGCGCGTGAAGGGGCGTCGCTCCGCTACGCTCACACGCCTCCTATAGGCAACCAATAATAAAAATAATAATAATAAAATACTGAGATTCGGCCATCTTTAATAAGGGCAGGGTCCTTCCGCTATGTGGTTGTTTTTTACAAGCTAGGTTAGGAGCCGCCATTTTTGATCAGGGCACGGAGTTCACAGTACGGTGAACAGGGAGAGCGTGAGCGGCGTGGCGGAAGGCCCCGCTTTACGCCTCTCCGAGCTAGGCTGACAGAGCTGAAACTTCCCCCGCCATCTTTGGTAAGGGCATAGGCAGTTCCATTTTAATACGGGGAGCCCCTTTGAGATTGGCTGAAGCAGTGCTCGGTGGAAATCTCACCATTTGCAGAAGATTTACGAGTCTGAATCACGGCTAGATTAGAGGAGCGCTGTTGACACAGATTGCTCTCTCTCTCTCTCTCTCACACACACACACAGGCGGTGACTGTCTAGGTCGTGTGTAATTTTACGGGCGCCCTCGAAAGGAGGCGGATTCTACTTCCTCGGAGGTTTTTAAGCAGAGGTCGGGTTGTCATCTGTCATGGATGCTTCAACTGAGATTCCTGCATTGTATGGGGTTGGACTAGATGGTCCTTGGAGTCCCCCCAACTCTAGGATCCTATGATTCTCAATGGTGCTTGCAGGTCTCTGGACACGCAATATCTCCTACTGCCCATCTCCAACATTGCGCAAACAGACTATCTCCTTAAATGAGATAAGAGACTAATTGCCTGTAAAATTCCATAGAATATGTGCAAGGGTAGCCTTGTACCTATGTGCACACTTAATTCCTATGTGTAGAATCAGTCTGCTATTGCCAGCACAAAAAAACCAAATTCCTGCAGATTAAACACCAATAGTGCCTATTAAACACCAAAAGTGCAACCTTATTCATGTTTTTTTTAAAAAAAGAAGTAAATCCTATTGAATTGTTGCACTCCCATCACTAACCAAAATAAATCAAATCATTCGTTCATATTGGATTGTTGCAGTGAGACTATCATATTTCACCTTGGGGTACAAATTGAGACATTATGACCCTATCGGGTATATAGTACATGTTTTAGTTTTCATTTGTTATCTAGCATTGATTTGAATGCACACTCCTGCTTTTTAAGCTTCCTCTCATCTTTCATTTTCATTCTTGCTCTTTCTGTTACTTGGGATTTGTTATTAAGCACATTGGCACAAGTTTCTTAGGTTCTCCTTTGAACTCCAAACTACTCCACATTGGATTGCATAATTAGCTGGCTCCCACAAATTGATGCTGTAACTCATCATCCTCAGTTGGCCTTATTGCTCATACGCATTCTTTGCCCTGAGCATGTCCTGTCTGAAGGAAACCATCAAAGCTTTCCCAAGTACGCCTAGTAAGCATCCTTCTAAGGCCACCTACTTCTTTGAGATTCAAAACTTTCTCACATTTTTCTACAGCAGCTAACTCAATCAGCACAGGCTGATCTTAAAAAAAACACAGATGTGCAGAAGGTAGACTGCTATATTTTGATAGATCTCTGGGTGACTGTCAATAGATCACAAAATATATCCATCTCCCAATTATTTAACAGCCTCACCAATGTGACTTTTCTCACTTAAATAAGCTGCTCAAATGGAAAAAGCTAATCAGGATTAGATTTTTGGGGCAAACCAGTTCTGGTCACTATACTTGGTGCTGTTCTGGGTACTGAAAATGATTTCCTAGGCTCCAGATGTGTGGGGAGTTCTGTTCTTTAAGTCTCAACTGTATCATTTGAGTCTGGTTAGTAGGAGGGCTGTAGCTCAGTAGTAGAGCATCTGCTTTGCATGCAGAAAACCCAGGTTCTGTTCTGGGTAATTCTAAGTAGCACTGGGAATGTCTCCAAATTATAACCACAGAGAGCTATGTGGACAGTACTGAGCTAGCTCAGCCAATAGTTTGACTTAGTGTAAAGCAGTTTCCTATATTCCTATGCTCTTAGATCTTGAAATTCTACTATAAAACAATGTAGATCAACAAGCCTGATCACCCTAACCTAAAGGATGTAACTTTTAACAAGACAAAGCAAACAGTTGAATAGTCTCCTAGGCGGTTTCAAATAAAGGCAGAGGACCCTATGGAGTCTATATACCGTATTTTTTGCTCTATAAGACGCACCAGACCACAAGACGCACCTAGTTTTTGGAGGAGGAAAACAAGAAAAAAAAATTCTGAATCTCAGAAGCCAGAACAGCAAGAGGGATCGCTGCACAATGAAAGCAGCAATCCCTCTTGCTGTTCTGGCTTCTGGGATAGCTGCGCAGCCTGCATTCGCTCCATAAGACGCACACACATTTCCCCTTACTTTTTAGGAGGGAAAAAGTGAGTCTTATAGAGCAAAAAATACGGTAATTTGTGCTCACAATCTGTTGTCTACTCTTACCCCTTCCTTCAGTAGCTCTGGACTCCTTCAACCTTTCACACATCATTTCAGTCTCTCTATTAGTCACACAGCACTCCCTGTCTTTAGGATATTTACATATAAACCAACCTGATATTTTATTTATTTCCAAGAAAACTGATGTGAACATTCTCTTGCCTATGCCTTCCCTCCTTGATCTGTTAGAGCATTAATGGGCATTCTTTGATACCACATCACCACAAACCAATTGCTGTCACCCGAGGCTTCATCACACTAATATCTTTGTTTACAAAGAAGAAAGGTAGCTATGTTGGCTCATGAGTAAGAAACCAATCCATAGGATAGCAATACCTTTTTTAGAATTAATGTTACCAAGCCGGATGTCACCAAACAGTGAACAAGTTTTTGAGTTCCGGTTTGTAACTGGATGCTAAGCAATTTATGCATGTGTATGTGTGTAACCTGGATTGATATTAAAGCCATAAAGTTTGCATTGGTCTTGATCTTACAATGGAATGTGTGAAGACATAGCAGGTTGAATACATTGGGCTCTTGTAGGCAGTATACTGGTTTCCTGTACATTGTGATATAGGGATGAAGAAACATAATAGCTGATTCCCCATTTTTCAAAAGATAAAATCTAGAACCGTCTCCCACCTGAAGCAAAATACAGGTCCCCTTTGGCAAAGAGCAGCAATAAATGTAGAAATGGCATTTTTTAAATATTGGCAAACCACAATATTATTTTTTAATGGACAGTCTCTTGTCACTTTCAGAACTGTCACTTTCAGGGGTTTAATTCTCACATAGCATAGGGGCCTATTGAATTCTTTGATCTCTGATAGTGAGTGGGGTAAGGGAAAAGCTATCTTTGAACTTATGTCCTGTGCTTAAACTTTTGCATGACTGGGCCTGGTAGTAGATGATCTGTACTATTTTCCAACCAGAAAAGTATTGTATTGCTTTGCAATTATACCAGTCTACATCAGATATATAGGATCGGCTGTCTGTAACGAAGACCAGCTCAGCAGCATTAGATAGCTTCTAGCAATGTTTAAAAAATAAATCCAACCCAAACAGTTAAGTTGGGGAAAGGCAAAGATCAGGAATGCGGTGGTACCAGCGTTGGCGGATCAGAGCATTAAGAAGTTAGAAAGGTGCCATAATCAGTGTCAATCTATTTGTCTGTCTGACTCAATGCCATCTAACTGACTCTTGAGGGTTTCATTTATTTTTTTTATAAGATATTTATTGAAGTTTTCAAGATATTACAAAACACCAAAAAAAAAGAAAAAAAAGAAAATACAAAGTAAAAATATTTAAAAACAATTCATTCCTTCCATTACTTGACCTTCATTTGCTTAGTTCCCGGACCTCCTCACACCTCCCTTTTTTGTATTCCAGTTCAATTATTTCGTTCAGCAAATCCCTCCCCTCTTTATGTATCCTCAGCATTAATCATAAAGGATTGTAATTTCTAGATTTTTACATATTAATAATCCATGTTTCAATATTCCTTGTAACCTTTCAGCTAAAGTTCACTTAGTTTCTATCCAACATCATTCTAGCATTCATTAATTTTACAATATTTCTGTAGATAGTCTTTAAACTTTTTCCAATCTTCCTCCATCGACTCTTCTCCCTGGTCTCGGATTCTACCAGTCATTTCCGCCAATTCCATATAGTCCATCACCTTCATCTGCCATTCTTCCAAGGTGGGTAGATCTTCTGACTCTTCAGGGTTTCAGACAGGAGACACTCCCAGCCCTAGATGCAGATGTCAGGGATTGACCTTCTGCATGCAAAACACATGTTCTGCTGCTGAGCTATAACAATATTTGGAAGGACTGGTAGAAAGCAGCTCAAAGCCCAGTGATAGTATTAAAAAAAGGTGTCCTGAGTTATGTTGCGGTACTTTCTAAAACATGCCTTTTCGCTTGTTTGGAGGTTCTAGCAGGGGAGCGCAGCTATCGTATACCCTTGACCGAAGAACGGTATACTCCTTCTATCTGGGATGGTCGTCCTCTTCCACCGAGCGCACAGCTTCGGGAGGGACGCACATGGAGCGGTGAGGGAGGAAGGGGACACCCGCCTAGCCAGCCAGATCAGCCGAATCAACCCTGGCGACCAATGGGGTGACAGATGTCGCAGCCAGATCGCCCTCACATCCTTTTCAGACTCTCCCGGACTTCCGGAGGCGGCGCCATCGGCAATGGCGGATTCCCTCTAGTCTCGAGGGAATAGCTCCGCGGAAATCGGGTCTTGCCGCTTGAAGGGACCGTTTGATTAAAGGTATACAGGTCGGAGCTAAACAGTACAAACTGAAAGCTTTTGCAGATGATTTAGTATTGACGTTACAGGAGCCAGAATCTAGTACTAAAAGAGTTTTAGAATTGATTCAGGAATTTGGTCATGTGGCAGGATTTAAGCTGAACAAGTTAAAAACTAAGGTGCTTGAGAAAAATTTAACACCGATTGAGAAAGAGAGGTTTCAGAAGGAGACAGGTTTAACATTGGTTAAGAAAGTAAAATACTTGGGGGTTAACATGACTGCTAAGAACTTAAATCTATTTAAAGACAATTATGAGAAATGTTGGTCAGAAGTGAAAAAGGATTTAGAGATATGGTCAAACTTGAAGCTTTCCTTGCTAGGTCGAATTGCTGTTATAAAGATGAATGTATTGCCAAGAATGTTATTCTTGTTTCAATCACTGCAAATTGTGGACAAAATGGACTGTTTCAAGATGTGGCAGAGAGACATTTCTAAATTTGTCTGGCAGGGCAAAAAGCCCAGAATAAAATTTAAAATATTAACCGATGCAAAGGATAGAGGTGGATTTACCCTGCCAGACCTCAAACTTTATTATGAATCAGCAGCATTCTGCTGGTTGAAAGAATGGCTGCTTCTTGAGAACACAGACATTTTGGATTTAGAAGGTTTCAACAATGTTTTTGGGTGGCACGCATATTTGTGGTATGACAAGGTTAAAGCACATAAAGCATTTAAAAACCATCTTGTCAGGAAAGCATTGTTAAATGTCTGGATAAGATATAAGGACTTATTGGAAAATAAAACCCCTAGGTGGCTGTCACCGATGGAAGCAAAGGCTCAGAAAAGGCTCAATATGGAGGCCAAATGGCCGAAATATTGGAAAATTTTGGAACAAGAAGGAGACAAATTGAAATTGCAGAGTTTTGAAAAATTAAAAGATAAAGTGCGAGACTGGCTTCATTATTATCAGATAATGGAGGCATATAATTTGGATAAGAAAATTGGCTTCCAGGTGGAAAAATCAAAATTGGAAACAGAATTGTTAGAACCCAATACTAAGATTTTGTCAAAAATGTATAACTTGTTGTTGAAATGGAATACTCAGGATGAAACCGTGAAATCTGCTATGATTAAATGGGCACAAGATCTAGGATATAACATTATGTTTGCTGACTGGGAACAGTTGTGGACCACAGGCATGAAATTTACGGCATGTAATGCTCTAAGAGAGAATATTATGAAAATGATATACAGGTGGTACATGACACCAGTCAAGCTTGCAAAAATTTACCATGCGCCCGATAATAAATGTTGGAAATGTAAAGAAAATGAAGGTACTTTCTTTCACCTATGGTGGACATGCCCAAAGATTAAGGCTTTCTGGGAGATGATATATAATGAATTGAAAAAGGTATTTAAATATACCTTCTTGAAGAAACCAGAGGCCTTTCTCCTGGGCATAGTCGGTCAACTGGTGCCAAAGAGGGACAGAACTTTCTTTATGTATGCCACAACAGCAGCAAGAATACTCATTGCAAAGTATTGGAAGACACAAGATCTACCCACCTTGGAAGAATGGCAGATGAAGGTGATGGACTATATGGAGTTGGCGGAAATGACTGGTAGAATCCGAGACCAGGGAGAAGAGTCGATGGAGGAAGATTGGAAAAAGTTTAAAGACTATCTACAGAAATATTGTAAAATTAATGAATGCTAGAATGATGTTGGATAGAAACTAAGTGAACTTTAGCTGAAAGGTTACAAGGAATATGAAAAAATGGATTATTAATATGTAAAAATCTAAAATTACAATACTTTATGATAATGATTAGGATACATAAAGAGGGGAGGGATTTGCTGAACGAAATAATTGAACTGGAATACAAAAAAGGGAGGTGTGAGGAGGTCCGGGAACTAAGCAAATGAAGGTTAAGTAATGGAAGGAATGATTTGTTTTTAAATATTTTTACTTTGCATTTTCTTTTGTGTGTGTGTGTGTGTGTGTGTGTGTGTTTTGTAATATCTTGAAAACTTCAATAAATATCTTATATAAAAAAAAATAAAACATGCCTTTTCAAGTGACTCAAGGTTTTTCCCTGACAAGGGACTCAAGGCATCTTACAGATAAAAATAAGAACATTTGTTGTTTAGGACACAATGCCTTCTGGAAACATTTATTTACAGACACTTGGGAGGGAGCCCTTTGACCACAGTGATCATTACTTCTGAGTAAGCATGCGTAGGGTTGCTCTGCACATACAGTAAATGATTGTCATGCCTAGAAACTAAGGTGGCCTGATGCGAAAGAGGAGAGTGTTTCTGTACCTTAGACAGTTGTGTCAAAGAAGAAATCTCAGCAGGTGGGCTTTGTAGGACAACTTAACCTTGCTGAAATCCACTCTTTTATACAACTGTTGAAGGTGCAAGAGTTAAAGCTGCAAAAGGTCCTATTCCCCTCACCAGCTACGCATATGTATTCTTGTTTGGAGGGAGGAGGCCGTGACATGTTTTTATGGATATGCCTTTGGGGTTACATCCACATTTCTGTATGGTATGCATGTCTAAAATTCCCTGAAAATTATCTCCCAGATTGCATGTATGGTGTGGCACTTAAACTAGCAGTCTGCCACATTTACCAATTCCTCACATTTAAATTGCCTCCCCTACCTGCCTTCATGGTGGTTTCATGAGGAGGTTGTTGTTTTTTATTTAAGGTCACTTAAACATGAAAAAAGTGATAGCGATGGAGGATCCTTAGGTCACCCCTGAGTGAACTTGAGAAATCCTCACCTGTTAGCCACTCACTCACTCCCTGCAAAACTGACAGGGTGCTTAAAGTGGATTAGGGGTAATTTATAGTGAAGTGGTGTTGAACAAAAAACAATTTCTCAACCATGCAATGCTGTACATATCTACTCAGAAGCAACTCCCATGAAATTCAGCAGACCCCCCCCCCCCCCGGTAAAATAGGTTTGTTAACCCTTATTCCTTCCTTATCGTGCTCACAGTTCTAGTTGCTGATCACTTCAAGCATTTTAAAGGGCAATCCTGGTTTTGAAAAATTCATCCTGAACTAGGGTTGCTCTTGTTTGGGTAGAGCTGGGGGGTCAGGTAGATGGAAGTTTGGAGTATTGACACCTTTGGGGGTGATCAGCCTCCCTTCAATTTCAAAACCAAATAAACCAGAATTGTCCCTATTCTAAAAATAAGCCTGTCTTCACATGCAGTGGAATTCACTGCCTCCGTGCAAGGGAAATCAGGACGCTACATTTGAAGAAGGCTGAGATGAGAAATCATATTGCTTGTAATTACAACCAAATTATCAGTGCAGCTGCCAACAGCTCTGCTGTATAAAGTATGTGAAAAGTGGGCCTGTAAACCAGATGTAAATCTCTTAGTAGGAAGGGCCGAACCCATGTAGCTGTGGGCAAAAAAGATTTAATGGAAGAAGAATGCAGGGCGGGTGCAATCTCTTGTTCAGAACGCTGATGTGGCACCAGTCAATTCATTCATTTGTTCTGCTCATGCTTGTGTAGGAGATGTGATTCACTGCGAACCTTTATGCCTCAGACAGCACAAGTTTTTTTTTTTTTAATGACCACCACCTGTCTGTCATGCATACGTTTTCCTATTTCTCCTGTTTTCTCTACCATCTTTTTAGTCATTGGTCCTTGGAATAGCAATATAATGGTTACACACACACACACACACACACACACACACACACACACACACACACCACACACACACACACACACACACACACACACACAGAGTCCCATAATAGAGATTCCATTCCATTCAGTTTTTTCTTACCTTCAAGGTGACTTTGTTTAATTAACACTTGCTTTTGCAAGCTTCCATTTCTAAACTTGGGAGGACTGTCTTTCTTGACTGCAGATATGAAACATTAACCAGAGTAGTGAATGGCTTTGGGAAAGGCATGCTTTATCCAACAAAGGCTAAGCACCACCAGTGGTGCAGCAGAGCAGCAATGTGGGGGAGTGCAGCTACAGAACCCCCCCCCCTGCAGTATTGGTGATAACGTCATCTGGCAGAGCAGTATTTGCAAGTATTTTAACCCTGGGGAGTTGTAAAGCAGGTCTGGCCTGACACATTGCTCCTTAAGTAGGCTGGGCTTAGTCAGTAACTGTCTCAAGGGCATACAGTGAACCTGATGGTTGAGCAGGGATGTGAACCCAGTTCTTCCTAGCCAAAGTTCAAGTATTCACCGCTCTTTGCCAGCTTCCTAGGGACTCAGCTACATTAGTAAAGAAAAAGTGTTTGATACACGTTACAGTGGTACCTCGGGTTACATACGCTTCAGGTTAAATACACTTCAGGTTACAGACTCCGCTAACCCAGAAATATTACCTCGGGTTAAGAACTTTGCTTCAGGATGAAAACAGAAATCGTGCAGCGGCGGTGCAGCGGCAGCAGGAGGCCCCATTAGCTAAAGTGGTGCTTCTGGTTAAGAACAGTTTCAGGTTAAGAACGGACCTCCGGAACGAATTAAGTACTTAACCCGAGGTACCACTGTATAACACTGTGACATCAGATGGCGCTGTGGAGTTCTGTCTTTCGCCAACATGATTTCCCACTTTGAAGTTTACAACGTGTTTTCCTGAAACACATTTTTGATGTGTCTAGATCCAGCCCTAGTCTATGACTGTCAGCTGAGCCTAATAAATTGGGTGCTCCTTGGGTTGGATCAACAGAGCTGGCAGGGATGTAAGTTTCCCTTGGGGCCTATGGCTGTGAGGGCTGGCAGTTGAGCTCCTGATATAATTCATCTCAGTCTTTGGGGCAGTCTAATCCAAGAGGCCAGGACTTCATCTTCCTATAACGCATCTAGTACTCTTTCGGTTTCTAACCCTTCCCATTAGTTCCGCCATTTTGTTGGCTTCATAATGCTGACCAAGAGTATTCAGCCAACTAAGACTTATTCATAATGAAACAGCACTCACACAGATATTGCTGAGTAATCCAAGACACACCCTCTGCCTGGGAGAGAAGCAATTCAATAACGCTGCCAATCGTACTGTGGACCAGGAAGTGACAGACCAGAGGCCAGATTCTAAGTCTGGAGAAACCACGTCTAAATCAGTATGTATACAATGGCCAAAAAAAGAAGTGCAAGAGCTTGATCTTTTCCAGGATCCCTTAGGCTGTAAGTGGAGCACGGCGATTATTTTTTTTGCAGTTACAGTGACTGAAACAAGAAGCCATTGCCTGATCTGCAAGTGCTGTAGGTGGTAGCCATAGCACTGAAGTTGCTGTGGTAACAAAAATACTGTGGAGGCTTGCTAGGCCTTGCCTTTACCCAGGACAGCATCCAACTTACCTTTCCATGTAGAACTATTCTATTTTTAAACATGAGCCCATTGAAAGCTGCTGCCACACACTATGGTGTTCCTCCTCCTCTGTCAGTCCGTCTGCCTGCCTTTCTTCCTTCCTCCACTTGCTTTCCCTTCTGCCTCCTTCCTTCCTTTTCGCTCCTCCTGCAACTCTCACCCACGCTCTCCCTCTTTCTTCTCTCAGAGCCCTGCTGGGCACTCTGCTCACAGCACAGCCAGCTGATTGGGAAGACGCCCCCCAGGGCTGCTGTGAAAGCCCAGGCCAGCAACTGGATTCCTCCACGGAGGCACCCAGGGAAGCCTGTGCACCTCCCATGGCTGCCCAGAGCAGCGGAGGAGTGGCCCAGGGAGCACATGGATGGGCAGGCATGTTCCCAGCCACTCCCAGAGTGGAGAGGTGTGATTTTCATGCCCCCCTGGGCCTGCGCCCTTAGCAGGGGCCAACCTAGCCAACCCCTAGGGACGCCCCCGAAGGCAGCTTCCTATGTCTCTATGGTTCCTCAATCCCTACTGCTCTCCAAGCGTGCACTGCTTTCATCCTCTTGCAGTATTTATCCCTCTGGCTGATGAAGGTTTAAAACTGCAAACCCGAACATTTTACTCTTTTGAGGAACTCTCGGATATATAATTGACAGGTGGATTGTTGGAAGTCCCTTCTACTTATTCCATTCTTCTTATCTTTCTTTACCTTTCTATTCTGTTGTTTCCTTTAATATTATTATCTCTTTGTTCTCTTTCCTTTTCCTTTCCTTGTTGTTGTTTTTTTGCTGTGTTCCAGACTTCTGTATTATTTGTGGTCCCCTATTCAGGTGGTGCTGTGGGTTAAACCACAGAGCTTAGGACTTGCTGATCAGAAGGTTGGCGGTTTGAATCCCCGCGATGGGGTGAGCTCCCATTGCTCGGTCCCTGCTCCTGCCAACCTAGCAGTTCGAAAGCACATCAAAGTGCAAGTAGATAAATAGGTACCGCTCCGGTGGGAAGGTAAACGGCGTTTCTGTGCGCTGCTCTGGTTCGCCAGAAGTGGCTTAGTCATGCTGGCCACATGACCCGGAAGCTGTACTCCGGCTCCCTCGGCCAATAAAGCGAGATGAGCGCCGCAACCCCAGAGTCCGCCACGACTTGACCTAATGGTCAGGGGTCCCTTTACCTTTATTCAGGGTTAAGGAAGGGCTAGCATGCAGATGAAAGTGATGGACAGATGATGTAGGACCTCATATGAGAAGAAGGGAAGGGAAGATCTCCCAGGGTGGGAGATTGGGAGAAGAAAGGGAAGCTCCCAGGTGAGAGCTAGGAGGTTTCACATTTCTCTGTGTTGGTCAAGTTAAGATTTACCTGTGAAAGAGGACTTTATATGCCTTTTTACTTTTCATTTTTTAATTGTAGTGTTTTAATAAAATCTTACATACTAAAAAACAACAACAAACCACCTGCAAACCAGAGTAACTCCTGCTATAATTGCTTGATGGCAGTTTGCATGGCTGGAGAAGTGGTGTGAGCCCTTGGTAATAGTGTGAGCATCATTCTTGCCTAACAAAGGTTTGGGCTCGTGTCTTGCTGCACATCCTTCTTGTCCCTGTTGCATCAGAGCAGGAGCCGATGTAGACACACTTCCGTGGCCCTGTGTGAAGACAAAACAATCCCTTCTTTACATCAGGGATTGCAAGGATGGGAAATTCATTAAAATGCATGATGCCTGGAAGCTCGTTTTCCACTGATACTTCCAAAATACACTCTGCTACCATCAGTGAGAGAATGAAACATGCAATGTCATTTCTGTACAGATGTGCACAGGCACATACAGCTGTAGGAAGAACTTGTAAGTTTCACTCTTTTTGCTTCCCTCTATGCAGGTTTAAAAAGGGATGCCAGTGGCGCTGTGGGTTAAACCACAGATCCTAGGACTTGCTGATCAGAAGGTCGGCGGTTCGAATCCCCGCGATGGGGTGAGCTCCGTTTGCTCGCTCCCTGCTCCTGCCAACCTACCAGTTTGAAAGCACGTCAAAGTGCAAGTAGATAAATAGGTACCGCTCCAGCGGGAAGGTATACGGCGTTTCCGTGCGCTGCTGTGGTTCGCCAGAAGCGGCTTAGTCATGCTGGCCACATGACCCGGAAGCTGTACTCCGGCTCCCTCGGCCAATAAAGCGAGATGAGTGCCACAACCCCAGAGTCGGTCACGACTGGACCTAATGGTCAGGGGTCCCTTTAACTTTATGCAGGTTTAAAAAGGAAAAAAATACACGTGAGTACATAATAACAAGTGAAGATTATACAGTTTTGCCATATATACATACTGTATATGCAGAAAAATAGGCACTTGCATAATGTTCACTTATTTATTTAAGAATATGTACCTTGACTCACATTCCCGTACATATACCATGTAGCACCCTGAGAGTGGTGGGGTCTTTCTTGGCTAGGAAGCGGGGTATACATTTTATCCATCAAGTCAATCAATAAAGAAAGAAAGTAGTGAGAATTTGTGAGAAGCTGACCTAAAGTGTAAATTTTATGATTTTAACAAGAGGTGATTATTTGCTTGCCTGCTCTTATACCGGGGAGCTTGTGAACTAATCTGCTTTAAGGCTGAATGCCAGAATTGCCTGAGTAGAATCAATCAGTGACTCACTTGACAGCCAACCACATTTCGGCATGCTCCGAGACACACGTTGCCGTTGAGAAAATTTGGTTACAGTCACCAGAGATATTATCACCGTATAATGTTCATTATACATAAGCATTGCTGCTAAGAAGAAGGCTGAGGCCTGTGAGACCAAATTTCTTGCTATTGTTCCTTGGAATTCTGACAACTGTACCGTTATTTCAGTCACTTATCACTTGAGGAGGAGGCAGCTGCACTGGGGGGTGTTCCGTGGCATCTCCTGATGCCACACAGCCTGGAGCACCCCTAGGCCGTGCCGGGTGGTGCAGCACCTCCTGATGCAGAGGAGACCAGCAGACAAAGGCAGGAGTGGGGAGGGGGAGAGGTCATGACTCAGAGACAGAAGAGGGGCAAAGCTGAGGAATAATGGGAGGAGCAGGGAAAAGCAGAGCTGGAGCAGCTGGCTGACACGTCATCACCAGAAAACATTCCAGACCCCCCTTCTCCCAGAACCCGGCAAGCAGTGAAAGTAGGAGAGCAAAGAGCTAAGAGGCAAATGGCCTTAAGCAGCTGCCGTAAGGGTGGTGGTGCTATTGGCGACTGAGAAGGGAAGGGGGGGTGGAGATTACTTGGAGCAACACCATTATTTCAAGAGGCTACCTTTCTAAGTCTCTTTCTGTGAATATTGAATAAAAGACTTTGGTAAGAGGTTTCCCTGTCTTTCTATCCCTGGCAGCTGGCTGTGGTGGTGGGGATCCATTTTCCTGATGACTGACACAATGTCCATATTAGAAATGTTGCGGGGTATAACTATGTGGGAGACACTTTGCATTTAAAGTACATTATATACCCAGCTGATAACAGCAATTTGCAGGAGAAGGCTTCCTGCAGATACCATCTTAACAGGAGGTCCATTCTATACGATTCTGGCCCTTGAGTGCAGTGGCTCCCTCCCACTCCATATCAGACAGGCCTTGTCTCTATTATCTTTTTGGCACAAGCACAGAAGCGGCGAATCGCAATGCGCGTGTGCGCAGACGCATCACTGCAGGTTGTGCTCTTTTTATGTTGTGAACGGGCCTCCGGAATGGATCCCATTCGCAACCAAAGGTACCACTGTAGATTAATATTCAGTTTGCTACCCCCCCCAGCCACTTTATCTCCAGCCGCATTTCCTGTAAATCTATGCAATGCCTTGCGTTTCCATTGGAAAATGTCTCCGTCCTTGCCTGCAAGCTCTGTGGGAGGTTTAAAATGCCACAAATTCTGCTGAGGGGTGTGATTCATTGAGCAAACAGTGCCCTGGAGTTGACTACTCACAAAGGAAGGTGCTACACAATTGGAGTTTCAACATTCAACTCTAAGGCATTTGCTGGAGCACGTGTTTTGGCAAGAGCCTCTCCAGTTTGCTTTAGAAGGAATGATGTAACCCAGGGTTATACATGAGGTGACCAGCATGAAGTCACATTGTGTTTACAAATGATGCAACAGTGATATGCTGGAAACATACTGTATGCTAATACTGATCTCCTGAGTCTTTAGGTGCTTAACCCCAAGTACTTATCTATCTATCTATCTATCTATCTATCTATCTATCTATCTATCTATCTATCTATATCATCATCTACCTACCTACTTACCATCTGCATAAAATCCAGAAGGGATCTGCAATTAATTAGGAACACCACATTTCCCCCTTGGTACCCACTCCTGAAAACAGTGCATTTTAGAACTAGTTATCTGACCAAACTCTTGCCAGTTTCCGAAAGAAAATGCCTTTACTGAGCTGCATCTCCAAGTGATGTCCTCTGCTGTTTTGGTTGGCTGCTACAACAAGGTCCTGTACTTTGTATTTGTGGTCAACCTCAGGTGGAAGACATCACTCGTTACCTGTTAGCTTGCCCCTTATAGGTAAAGGTAAAGGGACCCCTGAGCATTAGGTCCAGTCGTGACCGACTCCGGGGTTGTGGCACTCATCTCGCTTTATTGGCCGAGGGAGCCGGCGTACAGCTTCCGGGTCATGTGGCCAGCATGACTAAGCCGCTTCTGGCGAACCAGAGCAGCACACGGAAACACCGTTTACCTTCCCGCCGGAGCAGTACCTATTTATCTACTTGTACTTTGATGTGCTTTTGAATAGGGAGACCCAAAAGATCTGTTTCTGAAACCATAGTTCACACAAGAAAGCAGGTACATTCCAGCAGATATTTTATTTATTCAATTTATTTATCTATTCAGTTTATTTTGTATGATAATAATAGCTTCATAACACAACGTGGCCCTTTCATAACACAAAGTGGCCCTTTATGCACGAGTTGCAAAAAATAAATAAGGAAAACTGAGTTTGATAACGTTGCTATATAAGCTGTTTTGGAGATTCAGAGGTTTATTTTGAAATCAAGCTAGGTTTAAGCTTGTTGGTGTCTCTGGTATCTTCTATCTCTTACAACTTGAGTGTAGGCTCATATTACGGGTGTATGTTCTGTATTATTTTATTATTATTGTTATTATAACTGACTTTGTCATGGCTTTTGGCTAGAACAATAAACTGATTGATTGATATATAAATGAAGACTGAGATTGTTCAGAGCCCATGGGATACTGACTGACTGTTGAGAGTTGGAGTGAAGAGTGAAAAACAAGAGGGAGAGGGGAATAGATGGCGTGGCTGGAAACCTGAACCGGAGAAGCACCCTACGCTGCAGTAGTTTGTTGCAGGGCCACACTTATGATGACAAATGACTGGAGTTACAGACAGTACCGTACTATTCCTTGGCATAGTAATTATTCTGCAGCTCATTTAACATGAACGAATGCACGGCCCTAATGCATGAACCGTCGACTGCAACATGATATAATTTCCCATCATTATAGAAGCTTAATTAATATAAAACAGCCACAGCAGGTTGTGATGAATGAGTTGCGAAGGTTGGAAAGAACAGGAGTCATTGCTAAGATAATTGGGCATATTTAATAGAATGATAATTATACAGGTCCCTTTTGTTCCCAAGGTATGGCATTTGAGGATTGCAATGTGTGATCAGGACGTGCTCTCAGGCTTTAAATAAAACCAAATACTTGCAGTGAAAGGGTAACTGTTGGAAATCATACAAAGTTGGAACACACACAGCATGGGCTCTGTTTACAGCCCCCCCCCTTTTGTTCCAGGGACCTCCATTATCAACATTGCTCAGGATACGCTTTCAGGGGCGTATCATAGAGCATAGCTGAAGGTACTCCATGCTTCTGAAATTGTACTATACAGAGGCAGAACTCAGAATTAGACACAAAACCCCTTAATACCCCAGCTTTGAAATTTAAAAGCTACAAAGTTTTGACCCTGATGGCTGTGAAAATGAGATCGAAAGTGTAGGGAGGAATCTAGGGAAGGAGTAGGCAATGAATTGGCCTGCACAGTAATCACTTGACATGCCCCTAACACACCAGAGAACTCACACGGGCTGAATGGGCATGAAGGACAAGGAGAAACAGAATGTCTGCAGAAAAGAGGAGGAATCAGCCAACAACCTCATGTTTCAGCATTAATTGAGAATATAGTAAGTCATCAATATGAAAAAGAGGAGGACCTGTTTGCTCTTGTGTTGAATAAAGGTCCCAAGAAGTAAAAATACAAGCCACTCGACATTACATAGAGGAAGTAGCTATCTTATAATATTTATCAATGCCTGATTAGTAACACTGATGATCTTTACTGTGATCATGTTGGAGAAAGGACTATAGAAGACAGGAACAATTAATTTTTCTTCTTTCTTTTGGAAATTGTATTGAAATGTATTGCGTAGGAATATTAAAACATATATTTGGTTTATGAGGTATTCATATATGCAGTAGAGTATTTATATTGAAGTATCAATTATAATGGATAGTGGCTCAGCTAGCATGGCACATTAAAGTTACTACAGTTAATGTAATTTATGGCTTTATGTGACCGTGTGACGTGCTCGTACATACTGCTTCAATCTTTTCAATTTAATCCTCACTCCACTTGCTGCCACCTCACCAGAAAACAGGTCTTTAATCTAGTTTCTTGTGTTATCTGAACCTGGACTCAGGGTTTATTTTCCCCAAACAATCCTTAGTTTGTGCTTGTGGGTTTGTTTGTTTTTTGGAGAAAAACAAACTATGAGCTTCAATTCAAATGTGGTTGAGTTTGGATGGCTTGTTTCCTTTCTGGTGCAGCAGGAGTGGGAGATGAGCACATTACAAACTTTTGACCAGTGTGTACCAGCATGCTGCTTATTCACACTAGACCATAGTCTATTTTAAGGTAAAGGGACCCCTGACCATTAGGTCCAGTCATGACCGACTCTGGGGATGCGGTGCTCATCTCGCTTTATTGGCCGAAGGAGCCGGTGTACAGCTTCCGGGTCGTGTGGCCAGAATGACTAAGCTGCTTCTGGCAAACCAGAGCAGCACACGGAAACGCTGTTTACCTTCCCGCCGGAGCGGTACCTATTTATCTACTTGCACTTTAACGTGCTTTTGAACTGCTAGGTTGGCAGGAGCAGGGAATGAGCAACGGGAGCTCACCCCGTTGCGGGGATTTGAACCGCCAACCTTCTGATCGGCAAGTCCTAGGCTCTGTGGTTTAACCCACAGCGCCACCTGCGTCCCTATAGTCTATTTTAGCTATGGTTTAATGTGGCATGTGAACCAGCGTTGTGTACATAACCTTGTCAATGAGGTGCTATACTATATATAAAGAATCACTACAAATGCATGTGAATTGCAGAGAAAAAGCTATGCAAGTATTAATATCCTGAACTATACTATTATAAAAATCTTGTTCTACAGTGCATTGATTAGGACACATCTTTCTAAGGTCTGATGCTAAAACAGTCATGATCTGACAACTTAACAGCAGCAAGACTATGTCAGCAAAACTGCCTATACAGGAATCGTTGTGCCGCAGGGTGGGAAATGCTACAAAATATTTGTATCTGTGAATGCTCTAAAAGTAGATTTCTCAGTAATTGTATGGAATTATTACAACTGTAACGTATAACATATGTTATGTACAAGTGAGTACGTGCAGTGAAAGAACCCCAATAGGAATGTGCTAGATACAAAATCTTAAGTGTTTGTTTGTTTTAATGGCACTTTTCTTGGCTTGAGGCCTGGAACACTTGGCATGAATTATTACTGCATTAAAACGCAGTTCTACTTTGGAATAACATTGTAGACATCCATATTTATTCTGTCTCAAGCAGTTCAGAGCTGAATTGACCCTGCTTTCGAAATATATTGAAAACTTTCAGTACCAGTCTAAAAAATCTAAAAATAAATAAAACTGATGGATAACAGCTACTGTTGCCGTCTCTTTTATTTGCTTAGCTTTCACAGATAGTGTCAGTTCTGCAATCTTCAATTAGCTGTTAAACTTGGGTCCAAGTATTGCAGCCAGTGTAATATGCTAAAATGGTATACCTGCTGCTGTTGATCATGGCTTTCTGTTGATATCTAAGGGCTAAACTGCGGGAGGACAATTTTGCAGTGAGCCCTTGGTAAATTACAGTGAACAGTGAACATTCCTGCTACAGTCAATGGAATCGGTCAGTGCGGTCAAATCTCTCCCCAGCCCAAGGCATTTCAGGACTGGAACAGAGGTCAGTGTTTGCTCACAATGAGGCTGCAGTGCTAGCTAACATTAAATAGGCTTGTCTTTTTTGTCACATTAACACTACATCCACACCATACGTTTACAGCAATTGTATCCCACTTTGGACCAAGAGACTGACTCAATATAACGCAGTCCCCTACGGTTCCTGTTCTGATTACTTCACCATCACTTTCTCTCCTCACCTCTGCTCATAGAATCATAGAATTGTATTTCCCTTGATCATGACACCACACCATACCCCACAACTACCCCGTTTTGACTGACACATTCTGGATTTACAGAATGCTCACCCCAGGGAGGTTTGCCTGGCACCTTCATTATGTATTTTCAGGCACCAGGCTAAAATGTTCCTTTTTCAACCAGGCCTTGGGTTGATTAATATTCTACATGTGTCTATAGGGAGGGGGTTATTGTTTTGCTGTTTTACTTATTTTCACATTTTTATCCTGTATTTTACTCTGTGAATTGTCCTCAGATCTTATGATGAAGGGTGGTATAGAAAACTAATAAATAATAATAAAATAAAGCCATAAAGGAACCCAATAACCATTCGCGCTTACAGTAACTGGTAATAAAACAATCACATTAGCGTAGCTAAGTCCTCAGCATGAAAAAGATGGAACTGCAACTAATAACGAAGTTAGATTCTATTTGTTTGGGCTTGAATGGAGGCTGTTATTTATTTATTTTTGGCCCCACTGATTTGCTTAGCTGTGCTAAGATGACTCTGTTATATATTACACAGAGACAGACTCTGGTACAGGCTGGGTTGGAGGGGGAGGGATCTAAAAATGCAACAGCTTTGGGTGTCCCATTACCAAGCAGAGTCACCTTCATAGCTCCAAATGGCTTGTAATCTGGGTCATTAAAAGGCCATCTGCTCTTGCACAAACCTGCCCAGCTATTAAGATCATCCTCAGAGGTCCATTCTCCTAGTATCAGCAGCGATAATTTGAGATAGGGCATTTTCTATTCTTGTGGCATCCCATCTTTGAAACCCGGTGAAAAATTTGCACAGGCCTAGCTGTGCTGGCAGCCGAATACAGACCACTGGTCCATCTAACTCTGTATTGTCAACACTGACTGCAGCGGCTCTCCAGGGCTTCAGATTGTGGGGAAATCAGCTTCATATAACCAACATTCTTAACTCTATTTTAATGCATGAGGGGGTTAAGACCATAGAGTGAGCTGTTCTGCCAGGTTTAGCTAGGTCACGCCCCCATCAGCTTGGGAGGAAGTGTCATCAAACTTTGTTCTTCCTGTTCCACCATGTGAGCACCAAGGAGTAAAGAGATCTGAGCTGGCTGCTGCAAGCTCAGACTGTATGGCTTAAGCAAGCCACACAGTCAAACCTCGGTTCTCCAATGGTTCCATTTTTGAACGTTTCGACTCCCAAATGCCAAAAACCCGGAAGTAAATGTTCCGGTTTCCGAAAGTTTTTCAGAACTCGGACGTCTGATGCAGCTTCCGCTTGAGTGCAAGAAGCTCTTGCAACCAATCAGAAGCTGCGCCTCGGTTGTCGAACGTTTCGGAAGTCAAACAGTCTTCCCGAACGGATTTCGTTTGACAACTGAGGTTTGACTGTGTTTGTGTTTCTATACAAATAATTTAAGAATGTTCACCACTTTGGAGCCTAAGTTTTACTGCTTTTGTATTCTGACTGATGTATGGAAAAGCACATGGATCTGACCTTTAAAAGTTTGTAAGTAAACCATTTTTAACTTACCCAAATGTGTGGTCTTTTTCTGTGCTAAGGGAAGAGGGGAACTTTGGAAGGAACTTAGAAAGGGTGTTTTAAAAGTCTAACACTTTACTTTGCTGTATATTTTGTGATTTTCAATCTCTGCTAGGGTTCTCTCACCAAAGAGTACTTGCCCCAAACCTGGATCTTGGGCATCCAGGGAATTCTCCTTATATTTACCTAGTTTTCTTTACACCAAATAAAACCAACATAGATAAGGAGTCTTTCCTAGCCCTGACTATAGATGCCGGGCTTTGAAACTGGGACCATCTGCATGCAAAGCAGATGACCTATCGCTGAACTACAGCCGTTCTCCCCAAGATTCCACTTACACTAGCCCTGGCCAGCATGGCAAATGGTCGGGGATGACAGGAATTGTAGTTGTGGAAGTCAAATATCTGCTCTGCCTTAGGGCAGGGACGACTAGCTCTGCCAAGGGCAGCAATGACACATTGCTGGGGATGTGTGCTTCATCATATCCCTGACACCTAGAGTCTACCTGTAGGTTTCCCAGCAAATTTAAAAAAATAATTTTTTGACAGTAAATGACAAATACTTAGTAAAGAATTTTAATTCATCTTCTCGGAGAACTTTAACTTGCTTATAGTTTATGGTAGTTAACTCTCAAGACTATAAAAATGTCTGAAACTAATTTCATTTTCTATTACAGGCTATGCTGCAGAGCTAATTTTACATCTACAGAACATTCAGTTCTTGCTTTTAAAAATGATATAATGGGAAAATATGTTATGGCTGAGAATTATATGCATTTTCTTCGCCTCTGGGGAACGTTTGTGTAATCAAGGAAGACTTTTCATGTCCAGGGTAATCTTTAAACACACTAGTCTGAAAAATATATGGGGAAAGAGAAGGATAAACATAGCTGCCAGCTAAAAACACCAAACATATTTGAACTATATAAGAAGATTTACTTTTGGCTATTTGATGAGCTGGCACTTCAACAGAAACCATGTGGCTGTTTCTCAGAAAAAGGTCGTATTCCCTGTGGATTTGTTATTCTCAATTAATTCAGTTAGTTTTGTAATGGTTTTGGAAGCCATTATTTGGCCCTGCATTAAGCATTCTACATTTTTGTTAACTGTCAGGGACCATGCTGAGGAGGGCTGCACGGAGGAAGAATGGTGGGAGCCACGCCCTCCTCCTGATCCTGAATCTTCCCAGGAGCAGGAGGACAGTATAGATTTGGAACAGTGGTTTGCAGAGGGTCATAGTTCGGAAGGCAGAAGCTGGGAAATACTAGGTGGGGAACAGTTAGCAGAAGAGACACTAGAAGAGAGAGAGTTAACAGATTCACAGTCTCTGGATAGTATCCACCCCCCTTCCCCAAAGTCTCGGAGAGCTCAGAAAGTGTCAGAACAGAAAGCACAGAGACTACAAACTCAGATTACAAAACATAGGAGTGACATGGATTAATAGGGACGGAAGGGGGAGTGACCTTAATTGGGAGCACTGCCATTCTTGTTAGATGCGTTCTTTTGTCCTTCACTATGCTGTGGGTTAAACTACAGAGCCGAGGGCTTGCTGATCGAAGGTCGCGGTTCGAATCCCCGTGACGGGTTGAGCTCCTGTTGCTCGGTCCCTGCTCCTGCCAACCTAGCAGTTCGAAAGCACGTCAAAGTGCAAGTAGATAAATAGGCACCGCTGCTCTGGTTAACCAGAAGCAGATTAGTTATGCTGGCCACATGACCCGGAAGCTGTACGCCGGCTCCCTTGGCCAATAAAGCGAGATAAGCGCGCAACCCCAGAGTCGTCCGCAACTGGAACTAATGGTCAGGGGTTCCTTTACCTTTACCTTTTTATGTTTATTAAAGAAACTATCTGGTAAGAATTCCCCTTTGTTTGATCTGCTCATTTACGGCCAGGGGGGCGGAAGCCAATTCTCCGAAGCCTGACAATAACCGAGAATTAGATGTGATTCAAAATGTACTTCTTAAAGTCGCTTTTAAGAAAACTCCCTCAGTGGTGGGGAGGACCAGGACCAGGACTGTGTATCATGAAGGATTGATACCGGCAGTGGAAGCTTCCCTTCTGGGACTAACTGTTCATGGGACGGTTTAGTTTGCATGGAGCTCAAGCCTTTGAATATGTGCTGAGACACATATTGCATTAAATTGGCCACCCTCCTAACTACATCTGCATAGGATTCCGGGCTTAGTTTAGTCTTGCATTGATTTATTAAAGGAGGGAAATGATGTGGAAATCTCAAGGGAGTGCAGCGAAAGGTCAGTATAAGTAATGTCCTAAAACAGGACTCGCCAGCCACACAGCTTTACTTTTCTGCTATGCATTACATCATCTAGACTGTACAGAAGTGGAATGAAAAAGGTCTTCATGTGAGATGTGCCTGGGGCTGAGCAAATGGTCTTTCATGCAAATAAGGCAAGCCAAATGGTACACAAGAAGGGGCAAAACTTCCTAGTCAATCAGGGGGAAATAACTCCCCTAATTAGAATGTCTAAAAATCTTTTTCTGTCTTTTTTGCATTCTGAGATCCTGGATGAAGCTCATTCATCTTAGGTTTCCTGAAAGTTAAATGTGTTGTTTTTTTGCACTTGGCTGATTCCATTTACAATGGAATTGAGCTATATTTTGCTCTGCTGTTTTTACTGTACCATAATTAACTGGTGGGCTGACAAGATGCTATCTATCTGTGCAATTTGCAATTTATTTATTTATTTATAAAAAAGCAGAGTCTCCTTCTGTCCCCAGGGTTGTTTCTTATGGCACAGAGCAATGACATTGTTTATTAGTAGGTTCTTACTTAAAACAAACTGCTCTGATTATGTAAGGTGCCTCCTACAGAAAAAAAGCCATTTTAGCAAGCTATTTATTAAGCGTGTGGATAGGGCAAGTAATTTCACTGCTGATGGTATTTACTGAACTGTAAAAATTCGGTTGCAACAGAAAAAAATAAAGATCTGCCTTGCTTTCTCTGGATCTTGCCTCCATCCATTCTTCTCTGACAGATAATGGATGTAGGGGGATACAGAGTTTCTTGATGGGAAGTTGGGCTGTAAAAGCCAACCCCAATTGTTTTCTACAACACTGGTCTATTCCCTTTCCCTGCAAGCCTGCCTGTCACCATTGCCTTAGATCAGGGCCCTAAGTTGTCAAAAGCCAATTTCGCTCTCTAACACCTGCCATGAAGAATCAGAAAAAGGTTAGACTGTCAGGAGGAAGCCATTTTATTTTACAGCTATTTAAAAATTGCTGAGGTTACTGGAAAACCACCGTCGAAGTCCAAATTGTCAACCACCCCTACATCTTGTCACTGAACTGCTGTATATTATTTCCCACCTTTGCCCCCTCCCTTTATCCGTTTTAAATTTGTCCACCCTGAAGTGTTGAGTTTATCAATAGCCCTAATGCAAGGAAGACAAAAATACAGCTACAAAGGGATTAACTTATTATGTACTTTGTGTTGTTTAAATTGCCATTTTATGTTGTGAAGTGCCCTGAGATCTATAGGTATGGGGCAGTATACAAATTTAATAAATCATCATCATTACCATCATCTTTTATATGACCTCTCAGCTATAAGTACCATTGAGTCTATGCTGGTTTACTCCCAGGCAGAGTTCGAAACTCTATTGTTCTAGGCGCGTTTTGTGACAAGGAATTTTATTAGCGTGAGCAGTTTCTGAGCTCTGGGTGCAGTAAAGTAAAGGTAAGGGTAAAAGAACACTGGACGGTTAAGTCCAGTCAAAGGTGACTATGGGGTACAATGCTCATCTCGCTTTCAGGCCGAGGGAGCCGACGTTTGTCTATAGACAGCTTTCTGGGTCATGTGGCCAGCATGACTAAACCGCTTCTGGTGCAACAGAACACTGACGGAAACCAGAGTGCATGGAAACGCCGTTTACCTTCCCACCTCAGTGGTACTGCACCCAAGATTTCAGATTAAAACTGCAGTGGAAGGAAAGGAGGACCTTTTTCTGCCTCCCCCCTTCCAGTCACTCTCTGAAGACTGGAGAAGAGACTCTCTTAAAAATATTAGGGGGGCAGGCAGAGGAAGTATGGCTTTGTGTTGTTGTTTTTTGCAGTCTTCAGATGAGGACTAGACTATGTGAAAAATTAGCTGCAGATCATTCATTTTCAGCTTTGTATTCTTGTTATTTAAAAAGTGTGCTTAGACATTCCGTTGTTGCGCCCATAACCTAGATTTAAGGTGCCATTTAGCTCCTAGCTTTCATATCCCACTCTGTAACACTGCCCCCGGGTCAATAGATACACGAATTAAGCCTAGTTTCTTCCCCATATTATATACCGTATACAGCAGGAGTGGGGAACCTTTGACATGTCCACCATGTTGTTGAACTACAACTCCCATCCTCCCTGGTCACAGGCCATGCTTGCTGGGGCAGATGGGAGTTGTAGTTCAGCAACATCTGGCAGGCCAAAGGTTCCTCACACAGTAACTGCACAGCTCAATGCAGAGTTCTGCACGTTCACTTCTTTTGAACTGAATGGCTTTTAATCACGCCTACTTTGAGTAGGATCTAGCTGCATATTACTAGCAGAGTAATATTCCAGTCGGATCCTTGCAGTCACGTGTTCTTCACCTCTGTGCTTTTCAAGAAGGTTGGGGAACCTTGTGATACTTTGGATATACTGTACACTATATGGGATCCACTGCATTTTGCTTACAGTTCTGTGATTAGTGGCTTTATGACCCTGTGATTCTAAGAAATATATATAGCACACATTCTATGATTTCCTATTGATATCTGGGAAGGCTAGTAACTCAGCGGTGGAGCATCTGTCTTGCCTGTAGAGATATTTGAATATAATAATAATAAAAATAAACAAATAAAATAAAATAAACAAATAAACAATTTTTATTATTTCTACCCTGCCTATCTGACTGGGTTGCCCAAGCCACTCTGGGCGCCTTCCAGCATCTACAAAAACATGCAGATATCAGACCCTCCATGTGTCCCTATTTTCCAGGGACAGTCCTGGATTTACAGAAGCCATCCCAATTTCTTATTTGATCTCAGAATGTCCCACTTTTCCTTAGGACGACCCTATTTTCATCGGAGAAATGTTGGAGGGTATGGAGTTATCTGACCCCTGAGCCATCTGAAGACAGCCCGGTATAGGGAATGGCTGTTGTTTTTTTAAAAAATGCTTAATGTTTTATTATGTTTTTATTTATGTTGGAAGCAGCCCGGAGTTGCTGGGGCAACCCAGTCAGATGGACGGGGTACGACTACTACTACTACTATTAGATAGGATGGCTCTATTTTCATTGGAGAAATGTTGGACGGTATGAGATTTTCGTTCATTGGGAAGCCGCAGCATATGACAAGCTTTAGTAAGGAGCACATATAAATAAATATAGGCACAGCGCAAAGAAGGGCTCCCACCTGCCTGGAAAGTCCCACACGCAGCTCCTTCTCTCAGGTGTAGATACGGAAATGCACTGTGCACGCGATCCGCGCTCACACGTTCACGGGGAGGGGGGGGATGAGGAGACTCTACTCTAGATTGAACTCACACGCCTCGAACCCAAAGTTGGCGCTTGTCCAGAGAAGCAAAGCGCGCCGCCCTTTGAACTAGGCTCCATTTTTCCGCCCTTGCTTTGCCCCACTAGACTCTGGAAGCTCCTCCTGGAAGGGGCGGCTCCGCGAAAGCCGGCCGCTCACGGGCCGGGGCTTAGCAACCGCGGCGTCTCCCGTGTCAACGAAAGAAAGAAGCGGGGCGGCGGCGCCACCGTGGAACTCCTCGCCGGCGCGTCACAATGGGATGGAAGCGACCGGGGGGCTCGAAGCAGGTGAGGCGGGGCGCCTGCAGGGGGCGCACGGGAGCAGCCCCCTCTCAGATGGGGGCTTCTTCCCACGGTCGTCTGAAGGCTTCCAGCTCTGGCTGGTTCACCCCACGGGCCCCCTATCCTCCTGTCCCCCCATCGCCCTGGGGACAGATTTCCCTCTCTGCGCCTGTGCCAAGTTGGGGCGCTGGGCACTTGATTGATGCGAACGACACAAAATGAGTGAGGTCCTTATTTATTTTATAGAAACATAGAATTGTAAGGGATGCCCGAGTCCAACCCCCTGCAATACAAGAATCTTTTGCCCAGCGTGGGGATGAAGAGCCTCACGCCCTACTGACTGAGCTGTCTTAAAGGCAGCTGTTGTGATTCGTCACTGTTGTTCGTAAAGGTAAAGGTAAAGGGACCCCTGACCATTAGGTCCAGTCGTGGCCGACTCTGGGGTTGCAGCACTCATCTTGCTTTATTGGCCAAGGGAGCCGGGGTACAGTTTCTGGGTCATGTGGCCAGCATGACTAAGCTGCTTCTGGTGAACCACAGCAGTGCACGGAAACACTGTTTACCTTCCCGCTGGAGCGGTACCTATTTATCTGCTTGCACTTTGACGTGCTTTCGAACTACTAGGTTGGCAGGAGCAGGGACCGAGCAACGGGAGCTCACCCCGTCGTGGGGATTCGAACTGCTGACCTTCTGATCGGCAAGTCCTAGGCTCTGTGGTTTAACCCACAGCGCCACCCACGTTCCTACTGTTGTTGGTAGTTTTACATTAATTCTCCTTGTGCTTTGGAGTGTGTGTGCTAGCAGTCTACATGGAATCATAGAATGGTAGAGCTGGAAGGGACCCCAAGTGTCATCTAGTCCAACCCCCTGCAATGCAGGAATCCTTTGCCCAATGTGAGACTCGAACCCACTACCCTGACATTAAGAGTCTCATACACTGAGCCACGTGTATACACATATACACAAGGTTATTATAGAATCAAAGCTTTAGAGCTTGATGTTTTTATTATGTTTTTAGATATGCTGTAAGCTGCCCAGAGTGGCTGCGCAAATCCAGCCAGATGGGCTGAGTATAAATAATAAAATTATTATTGTTATTATTAGTGATACTATTATTAGCTCAGGAATTATTATTATTATTTATTGTTTACCTGCCCTTTACCCTAAGGTCGTAGGGTGTGTAACAACAAAATATTAGAAATGGTCCAAAGCATCTTCTAGTCTCAAAAATAAGGGGTGTCCTAAAAATATACAGCTCAAGCATCAAAAGGCTGGGTGAAGAAGTAGATAAAGTATAGTTTTGACAGGTCCAAGCCCTGAAGGTGGGCCTTGGATTGCATAAATATGGGGGCATTTGTGAAGTGCAGGTTTTCCCAGCACAGTTCTGCAGCAGGAGGACAAACTATGCTCTTGGGAAACCTCTCTTTCACAGCTTTGACATCTTGAGCCTGCTCAGAAATAATTCTTGTTTGAATATAGGCTGCGGTCCTGACCATAGCTACTCAGAAGTCCAATTGAACTTAATGGGGTTTACTCCCAGATATGCTTGGTTTGATGTGAAGATTGGGGGGGACTTAACGTGGATAATTCTAAGCCAAAACCTGAAAGTGGGAGGTATAAAATTGCCAGAGCAGTTCAGGTAAAGAAACTTGAGTTTTTCACTCTTAGTTCCTTAGAGGGAAAGAGCTGGAAGCCATATGGACCAAGCAAATAATGTGGATAAATGGGGAATCTTTTTTGTGAGCAGATTTCCAACCTTGTATATTTACATTTCAGGTAATAAATTGGGAAATCTAGTCACAGAACTCCCACACAAGATATATTTCGGCCCTCACACATGCTTTGCTCATAAGTGGGTAGCGGTAGTAGCATGTGGTCAGCTTTTTACTTCTAGGCCGCAATGTAGTTATTGAGATGTTTTCTCCCACAGAAATGGTCTTGGTGACAAATGTAAGCAGGAATTCAGTTCTATACATGTTCCCTCTTGGAATTCATGCCATACCTGCAATTCCACACATCCACACCTGAACATAGAATGTGAAATTGTTTAGAGTGGAATCATTTTCTCTGGGAAATTGAAATAGGTCTGTCTAAACATGGAAAACCAAGCCAAGCTGTTCCCTTCCTCCTCACTGCCAGGTTGGATTCAAAAAGCTATATGTGGGCAACCTCCCAAGTTTCACTGGGTTTTGTATGGACTCTTGCCAGTTTATTACTTTGCAGTTTTACAGCTCCCTAAGCTTCCTGAGAAGTCCATGCATTTATTATAAGGTGTATTGTTTTCCTAGCATAGATGGCTGCGTCTGTAAAAATCCATACTAAAACTTGGATGCAAGAGATGTGCTTATATTTCCCCCCAAACTGAAGACACTGACAGTGGGTAAAAGTTCTTTCCAAACTTTCCCACTGAAAACTTGGTTTAAAATGTTGGTCTTAAGATTTTTAATATTTCTCTAATTAGCTGGGCCATCCCTCAATTGAAGTTGAGTTTTGCTTTTTACGGATTCTTTTTCTGTCGGAACCCCTGTATGTTCTTCTCCCATTTGCCTCACAATTGCCTGAGCAGTTCAGGTGAAGAAATTTGAGCTAGCAAGGAATTAAATTCCAGAGTGAAAAAAGAGAGTGTGCTACATCCAAGCCTCTGAACAGCTATCAAAATAGCACGGCATCTGGTTCTGGTAGCTGGGACTTTTGCACTCTATTGAATTACAGTGCTTATCGCAGGATTTCATTTGCCATGGAGTCACCAGCTCGGGTATCCATGTTATATTAGAGGGACTAGATTGCAGTGATTCCTAGTAGCTTCTCTTGTGAATGAATACTGTTAATCACAGCACTTTTTTGGTGCCAATGTGGTATAGCGGCTTGAGTATTGGGCTAAGACCTGAGAGACCAGGGTTCAAACCTCCACTCAGCTCACTGGGTGACATCTGACCAGTCACTCACTCTCAACCTAACCTACCTCACAGGGTTGTTGTGTTTATAAGATGAGGAGGAAAACTGTGTTTGCCACCTTGAGCTCCTTGGAGAAAAAGATTAGAACAAGTGTAAAATAAATATATAACTATGCAAAGTGCTTTACAATCCTAATTCATTCTTTTTTGCCACCTTGTAAGGCTGGTCCTTATTATTCCCATTTTACAAACTGGGCAATGGAGGATGATAGCTATTGGCTTGTTCAATGTTACTCAGGGCTCCTTTCCAGGAAAAAAGAGTGATTTCCGTGTAAGATTATTTTGATGTGGCAGTTGAACATAGATAAACAACGGAGACTGACTGCAGACTCAATCAGCATACATGCTGCAGTTAATGATCATGCATGTGGGATCACCACAGATTATGATCCACAGAATAAAGTATCAGTACTTAGTATTTAAAGCATTTCACACACATTATCTCATATGGGATACATGTGGAATTCATGCAAATTGTTCTATGGAAGCGACCTTTGCATAGGGATTTTGCAACATGAAATCACGGCATCAAAGTACTTGAATTCAGGCCCTAATCCATCACACGGGTAAATAAACTGCAGTGATTCATATGTTTTATAGCTGACACTTAGAGACAAGAGTTCTGTCTCCCTGGAGGCAAAATGCACAACTTACCACTTGGTACCGCAGCCAAAGGGTAAATGTTTGCACAAACCCTCCCCTGTGCACATATAGGGCATTTTGAAGGGCTTCCTAGATACGGCATCACTAGCCCTGTTGTTCTGGTCTTCTTGTTTGAAGTTGCCCAAGTGACTACAATGGTATGTGGATCTGGAACACTGGAATAACATTTTGCCAGGTAACTGAAGAGGCCAGAGTGATTCACTTCTTTACTCTGGTCTTTGGCACCCGAAACATACATTTCTAGGACCCACCCAATTATTGTGCCTGCAGTCTGTTTTAAACTATTTTCATCATTGCATTTTAAACCCCTGTAACTTTCCCAGGGCCTTTATGGGCGGATAATAAATCAAAATAGTAATTATAATTCAAATACACATTAGAATTTGGATCTTAAGACAACTTCAGGAATTTGACTGAAGGAAAGTTCCCTGTTTCCTCCCTACCCACCTCTCAGCCACCCAGACAGCTTTAAAATCGCTTCAGAGGGTCAACCAGGGGTTCCGAGCGAGACACTATCAGCATACTGATAACACTCAGCTCTGCTTTTCATTGGACGAGGGCCAGTCAACTGAAGCTCAATCCCAACAAGAGGGGAAAGCTGTGGGTAGATGGTTCTTGTATTCTGGGAGTTGGCATTCTACTTGCTCTAGAATGGGTTGCATACCCCCCCCCCCCGGCCGAAGGGTCAGGTTCACTTCTTGGTTCCCTGTTCCCATTGGATCCAGTTTTGCTCTCTAGAGCCTTGGTCCACAGCACCTCCTCCTTCCTGCGTCACCAACTGCAGCCTCTGCCGGACAGGAATGCTCTGGGTCACAGTTAGTCACACCGTGATCACCTCTTGATTAGACTGCTATAATGGTATTTTAGGTGTGGCTTGAAAGATGACCAGGAAGCATCAGTTGGTGCGGAACACAGCTGTCGTGATTTGATAAGGATATCTGGATCCCATCTCCAACGCAGTTGGCAAAAGCTTCATATTGCAGCTTCGCTAGCAAAACATCTTGGGGGCCCAGGTAACTAAGGGTGCAGGCACCAACCATAGCTTTTCTCTTCTCCAAACAAGATGACAATAGAATGACCTCACTAGAGATCCTTGCCTTGCACCAATACTTCTTTCTTTCAGGCACCAGGTTGAACCTGGTGTACATAGAACCTTCTGTATTTCCTCTGGTTTTAGGCATTTTTTTATTGTTGCCCATGGTTTCACCTCCTAGTAAGTTCTTTTAATGTTTATTACTAATGCTGTGGGATTTTTAAAACATTCTTTTTATTTCATTTTCCTTAAACAGGTAAGTTACCTTTTTGTAACCATTTTGTCGCTGTGGTATGCTAGTGAGAAGTAGTATAGAAATATTTGAAATAATTAGACAGTACAATCTTAACCATGTCTGCTCAGAAGTAAGTTCTGTTGAATTCAGTGGGGCTTCCTCCTGGGTAAGTGGGAGGGCTAGGTTTCTGGCTAATAAAAGCTGTTGGAGCTGGTGCTAACTTTAATTTAAATTTAAATTCAATTTATAGCATCGAGACCAGACCTGATTTACTGGTTGGATGGCATCAATTAAAAAAACAATCATGTGTTTTTATTCATGTTTTAAGGGGAACACAGAAGGAAGCAAAAAATCAGTGTGGTTGCAATGACTGGCGGCATAGGTAAACGGCTTGCATGGAGTGAACGTGAGTATTCTAAGGTTATGATATTTTATTAATAAAATTACACATGGAACTTCTGTTGGAGCTATGTTGTGTCTTTGACTGTATAAAGTGGTATTCACAGTGCTTTCAGTGTATTGTGTGAATGTATCTAATGTCTCTGTGCAAACCTATGCTTTGTAACATGAAACCTCTTAAGTCTAATTCCAGACTCAGCTCTATGTATGGAATGTTTTTGTACATGTATCTTCTTGTACATAAAGAGAGAGAGAAAAAGAAGGGAGAGGCTTTTGTATTTATTTAAAAGTTTCTCTTTTTGATCATGCTTTAAAAAAGGAGGAGTCATGAGAATACAGTAGAGTACCATGGAAAGGAGGTGAGAGGGGGAGATGAGATAGTTGGCAGACGAAGGGATTGCAATAAGTAAACCTGGTGTTAAGTTGTGGGTGAACATATCAGACGACACAGCGATTCTTCAAACAGCTCTTGTTTATTCAGAGGCCAGAACTAGAACTGACTGAAGGGCTCAGTCAGCCTGCTTATATGGAGCTCCAGTACAACGTTACTGTAGCAACTTTCTAAAACTATCCAATCACTGAACGTCACTTTTGATCCTTCATTTGCATAAAAACTATCCAATCACTGAACGTCACTTTCGATCCTTCATTTGCATAACTACAGTATCCCCCTGCTGGCCCAGGGTGAGAACTTCAGTACATAACACCTAGCTTGCACGTTTTCCCCTTTACAGAAGTTACTTTTGGTGGGAAGCCTAAAAAAGATCCTGAAAAACCTAAGACGTTGGTTGCCTGCGAGAAGAACTTGGAGCGAAAAGAAAGGAGAGATTATGGCGTTCAGTGGGACTTGGATGTGCAACTTCTCATCTCTTCCCCTAAATGGCTTCAGCTGCATGGGCTCAAAAGGAACAAGCTGACCTTTTCTCAGATTTTATCCAAGATTGGATTTCAGCACAAAGAAGGTATGATGTGCAGCAAGTCTTTTCCATTTGCATGATGTACAGCCTGATATTTTGCTCAGTTAGCTGGAGAAATAAACCCTGTTGCATTCAACAGTAAGTAACAGCTTGTGTATGGGATATCCATTGGGGCTCACTTCTAAATAAACGGGCAAGGAATTGGTGCAAAAAAATAAAATAAAATAAATGACCCTGCATGATGGAGACAGCACATGTACAACTTCTTTTTATTCTAGACTATGTATCCATCCTGGGGAAACTTGTGGCTTCTCGATACGCAAATGGGTTGTATCGTCAATACATGACAGGAGAAGACGGCAAGCTGTATAACGTAAGTGGCGGATTCAGAGTAATAATATATCTTTTGGGTAAGATAATATTATATATTGGCAGGATGAGGTGGTGGCTGGGTGTAGTAACAACCTGCCCTCTGGCTATAAAAAGTTTGTGTTTGATGCTCTTTAAAATCTGGACTCTGCTTTCAGAGTTCTTGCTGACCTGTTGAAGCTGGGCTTGGGGAGAACTACCTCCAGAATACAGAGTGGAAGTAATAACAATGAGCCTGGGGTCACTTAGCTTCAGAGAGGTGTTCGATAACCGATATTGGTTTGCTGATCCAGCACCTATATTATTCAACAACAAAACTACTGACATGGGTTATTTTCAGAATCAGGACTTCCTCTCTTGAATTTTTCCAAGGTCTAGTAGGATTTAATGAGCTAGAAGCTGGTATTGTTTGGACGTTCCATGAAACTGAACAATTTTTTTTGGCCACTTTTCATCCGTTGTGAAATGCTGATTGGGTGGTAGATGTGTGTGAATTATAGCTCCAGAGATCCGCAGTTCTGTTGCGAACAGCTGCCCCACTCAGCACCCTCCTGCTGCTGAGTACTGTTGCTCATTGGGATCAGGCGAGGCGATCATAAGGTTGGGGGAGCTCCTGGTTGCTGGTTGGCGGCCTAACCGTTAGAATTCCTGCTCCATGATTGCAGTCATGGGATTGTTGTCTATCACATGACGGTATATGCTTTGACTCCACAGAGTGGTAAGTGATGGAGACAGGATGTTTGTCTTACTGTGTTCCTTGAAGTGGGACTATTGTCCTTTGTTCTTTTCCTCTTTGCTGTCTGATGCTAGAGAGAGAGGGAGCCATGTTGCAGTGCTCCGTGTGTGTTTATATGTAAATAAAGTAGATTAGCCAAAATGCTGAGTTGCTGAGGTCTGTTACGCAAGCTGCAGATCCCTAAGTGTGCTGATGTCTGTTGGCATCGGTCGCTGTGATGTTCGGGCAGAAGAAAGCTTTTGAAGCTCCCGAACAAACGACCAGGAGGGAGAGAACATGCCAGTCGGGCATGTGACTCTACCAGGGTCCTACTCAAGTGTAGGACGAGCTCCTCACATCAACATGCCCTTTAGTTCTTCTATGACTAAACTGGAGCTCCTCCCACCTCACCATCACTTTGCTCTGTTGTAAACAAAAATTGCCCTTTTCCCTTATGGGGTATCCAAGAGCCCATATAGAGTCCTTACATAGGTTTCCTATTGGTAGGAGAAAATAACAGAGGCCAACCAGAGGATATTGAGAAGCAAAGCAGCTAGTAAGCTTGATCTTTATTGATCTGTTGCAACAGGGTGCTCCCCTCACCCGCAGGAGAGGAGGAGGAACCCAGAACAATGGCATGCAAGGCCTTATAAAGACTTTTGAAATTGCCCCCCTGTAGATCAAGACCACCCCCAGAAACATCATACATACATCACAGAAGGGGTGTAACCTAAGACCACCCCCCGGATACACTATAACTACATCACAGAAAAGGTGGTCTAAAACAGAAATTTGAATGTTGTTTTTCTCCTGTCATTGTTTATCTCCTGTCTGGCAGGTTACTTGATTGGATTGCCTGGAGAGCCTGGCCAGTCTTTTATAATGATAAATACTTAGTTCCTGGGCCAGGTCACAGGCTCACACCCTATTCATATCTTAAATGTGCCCTTAAGACAGGATTTGTGAAGAAAGAGACAATGCAGAGGTTTCCCACTTTGACCTTGCAGAGAAAACATTTGCTCAGCTTAAGAATCAAAATGGTTCCAGGTTGGTCTTTCTGTGCTGATCTATGTACGTGCTTGGTTGGTAACTTATGAGCATTACCATATATCTAAGACCTCAAAAGTCCTATCACAGCTCTCTTAAGCTAGCAGTGGCACAACTGCTGGGAGCATGCCCCATCACTCTGTCCACTCAAGGGCTGCTGCTGTGCTCACCATTTGGATGCTTGTTCAGTACTTTGATGGTAAACACTTGCTGAAAAACAATGGCTCCAGTTTGACCCCGTTCTGGATTTTGCATCAGAAGGCAAGGATAGGAGAGACCCGTCACGTAGAGAAAATGTGATTCTGTGCGCTCTTATAGTAGCCAAGAGACTGATGTTGATGATCTGGAGGAATAAACATATGATCCACGTTAATAAATGGATCAACAATATGATAACACTCACAGCTTACGAACATACTGCTTACAGACGTAGACTTTGTTTGGATAAATATGACAATATTTGGAACGAGTTTATAGAAAATGTAGTAGGTCATTCATCTTTACATATGTATTAGGATAATAATATCAAATTTACAAAAGAATGTATGGGTTAGGGTGTTTTTCATTTATATTCATATATATTTTTTCTACACATTTTTGTTCCTTTTTCTTTTCTCATTCTCTTTTTCTTTGCATCACTTTATTTCTTTATAATTGAACCCTTTTCAATAAAATATTAATACCAAAGTACAGATCCATCAAGGAGGTTTGCCAGCTCTTAAAAAGTGTGTTTGCATTTGTAATTGCCTTGATGCACATCTTCTTCATTTTCCATCCCTATTATTCCCTGTCTTGATTTTGACATCTTCACTCTTTTTAAAATTTAAATGCAGCTGACAGCCAAAAAAGACCTCCTCTTTCATTTTGTGGATTGTCTTACTGGAGCTATCGAACTGTATAAACAAAGGATGGAATGGCTAACCACAGAAAGCCGGCAAATATTTGGAGTGATTCAGGAACAGAGCATCACCATTGTTCTGGATTTTGGTGTTGCTTCTAGAGCTGAGTTTGATCTGTGTCGAGAGGCGCTTTCTATGGTCTTCAAACAGCAAGTGGCCCAAATCTCCCGATTTAACATCATTCAGTAAGTTTCCTACACTTTATTAAGGAGACTTGCTGGAATTCCTAAGACTACAACCATAATAATGAAGTTTGTTGAAAGCATATCGCTGATGAACATAATCAGACTTTATCTGCAAAGCTTTTATGCCATTTTGAATATGAGGCCATGAGTAGAAATCCTTCTTAAGCGTTTTATTTATTTATTTTAAAACACTAGTTCTCTTTAAGTGGAAAAGATTCGTTTTCAAACCGTGTATCTTCCTCTCAGCATTGATCAACACACATTTTCCTGCAAAGGTCAGCTAGATTTTGCCTTAGAGACCAAAACAAAACAAAACATAGTAAGTACCGTATTTTTCGCTCTATAAGACGCACCAGACCACAAGACGCACCTAGTTTTTGGAGGAGGAAAACAAGAAAAAAATATTCTGAATCCCAGAAGCCAGAACAGCAAGAGGGATTGCTGCGCAGTGAAAGCAGCAATCCCTCTTGCTGTTCTGGCTTCTGGGATAGCTGCGCAGCCTGCATTCGCTCCATAAGACGCACACACATTTCCCCTTACTTTTTAGGAGGGAAAAAGTGAGTCTTATAGAGCGAAAAATACGGTAGATTACAATTAAGGTCAGATTTAGTATCTCCATAATACCTCCCACAAACTTTATTCTCTATAGCTAATGCACCTATTGCTCCCTCAGACAAAGTATATGCTAATTTTTTAAAACATGTTTGTTTATGCTAAGGGTCAGCAACTACAGACCTGGGGAGCCCATTCTGGGATTTGAGGAGTCCTGCCTAGTGCTTGATTTGCATGGGGCCAAAGAGGCATTTTGGATAAGAGACTGATTTTGGGGGTGGGGGTTAGGGCAATCCATTCTGACTCTATTCTCCAGGAAGTCTAGGTGGTAGCCCCACTGTGACCATTATTTCAGGATGAGATTTTTAGCTCAAAGCGCAGGGATCAATGCTGAATGCTCAGGCCCCTCTTCCCTTTCTCTTCGACCTCTGTCAGACTGGGAGAATGAGCGGGACCTTTTCACTGAATATTGATCGAAGTAATTCATCTGGGAAACTCCACAGACATTTGGCACCCAGATCATATGTCTGTCTAGACACTGGATAAGGCCTTTCCCCTTCCACCCCCCACCCCTCAATAATCTCCAGACCAAAACCTTGACAGGGACAGATGCTCCTTGCTGCCCTTTTTAGTCTACCAGAGCTGTTATTGCAAGACAAGTTTAGCCATTTCTCCAGGTATTTTAGCTATTCTCCTTTCCAGGGGGGCTCAAGATCTTGCAAAGTGGCAAGAGAAAACTGTTCCTGTGTCGGAGGCCTCTATAGAAGCGGCTGTCGAGTGGCTGTGGGCGATAGAGTACAGGCCAGCTGTTTGCCACTCGGGCCCCATGGAAGCGATCATGGAGGCCTTGTTTGATGACACGGTAATCTCTCTCACACATTTCTAGAAGTCTTCGGTTATGTCTAGGGATATATCCCCGTGAGAGTTTTGACTGCAAGTGCTACAGACATGAATTATGGACGGGGATAATACATGCTAATAAAAGAACATTGGGGGCTATTTAGAAGGAATTTCTTTCAAGTTGATTTGCAGGCTGGTTCTTACCAATATCATATATGCATGACAGCGTTGCATTCTGAGAGCAGAATTTCCCACGGAACAGGCAAGAGAGAAATGTTTCAATGACACTAAAGGGGCTTTGAAGCATAGGCCTAGTTTCAATGAACCTATCTGAAAGTTAAGAGATGCAAATACCTCTTTGGCGCACTGCAACCTTTTTTAGGCGAGCCACAATTAAGCCAGGAAGTCTCCAATTAATCTCAGTTTCCCTAACACTTCTGGGCATGTTGGGCTCACTGTGCAGCCCTTTGGGCTGAATTGCTGCTAGTATAAGATATGCCAGTGCGGTGTAGTGGTTAAGTGTGTTGGACTAGGACCTGGGAGATTGGGGTTCAAATCCCCACTTGGCCACAAAGCCATGGACTTGGGCCAGTCACCGTCCCTTAGCCTAACCTAGCTCACAAGAATGTTGTGTGTGGGGGGGGAACCATGTATGCCACCTTAGCTCCTTGGATGAATGGGGGGATAGAAATGAAAAGCGGGGGGGGGGGGATGTTACAAATATGCTTCATGGTTCAAATGACTTGTCCATCACAGACCGAGGCCGTGTACTATTTCACTGTGGGCGATATGCCAGAATGCATGAGACATTTGCTCCTGCAGAAGATATCGAGGTGCCCGTGCCCAGTCCATACAGTGTCTTTTAATGCTCGAGAAGAAGAGACTATTGCTTTATTAAAGGAGCTGAGTCATCTGACCACTGGCAGGTATGAGGTAAATGATTTCAGCACTATCAATCTATTTTGCAAATGGAGATATGGATCCGTGCAGATTGCATGCTTTCTCTTTGTGTTTTTTGCCCAAATATGTCACTTTCCCCTTCCTCTGTCTCTCTGAGAAGAAAATACAAGGTCTGGTGGAACAGGTTCAGCCCAAGATGTTTAGCTGCCCAATGCGGTGTACAGTGGTACCTCAGGTTACAAACGCTTCGGGTTACAAACACTTTGGGTTACAAACTCTGCTAACCCGGAAGTAGTACCTTGGGTTGAGAACTTTGCCCTAGGATGAGAACTGAAAACGCATGCCAGTGGCAGTGGGAGGCCACATTAGCAAAAGCACGCCTCAGGTTAAGAACTGTTTCGGGTTAAGAATGGACCTCTGGAACGAATTAAGTTCGTAGCCTGAGGTACCACTGTAGTTAAACGCCCCTCTCCCCTATTCAAGGTGCATAGTACTCAAACTTGACCAAGTTACTCCCTGGGAGTAAAGAACACAACAATGACAAGCATTTAGTGCCTTTCATGACATCCAAAATCAGCACTCCAAGGCAGCTTTGCTTAACGGTAGAGCAAGCCTAAAAGAGTGAGGCCTCAATCGTGAGTTGCTATTAAACTGATAAATGCAAGTTATGCTACGCGAACCCCGTTTGTTATGGGCATCTGTGAGTTTTATGAAACTCTGGTGATAAAAGAGTACAAAGAGAACATCCTGATGGTGCTTGAGCATGACAACTAGTGGAAATTACTGCATTTATTTGTTGCAGTTATCTTTTCTTTAAGAAGTCAAAAGTGAAACGTGTTTTTTAAAACAGCCATGTGAGGTGAGCTAGGTTGAGAGAGGCTGACTGCCCCCAAATCACTCAGTAGACCGTAGCTGAGGAGTGACTTAAACTTGGGTCTGCCTGGTCTGACATACCAGGCTCCCTTGATGCCTGTTTATAACCTTTGCATACTGTATAGATTGAAACACTTTATCCCTTCAGGTTCCATGCATTTGCTGAGAGAACGGACTACATGGACATGATAGAAACCTCAATAAGCGACGAGGATGAGAAAGCCTTACTTACCCAGAATTCGAGGAAACTGAAAGGGAACCTGCCTCTAGGTAAAACAAAAGAAGGTTGATTGTTATGCCCCAAATGTCTTCCTCCCTTCAGTCCTCCAGAGTCTCCATGGACCACAGCTCTCACCAGCCTTGCTCCTCGCTCTGTGCCCTCCTTAAGTGCTTTTGCCTGGTAAGAATGTAGTCATGGTCTGTGGCGATGCCTCTCGTTGGTCTGAATGGAGGACAGGGAAGTTTGCATCTGGTCTCACCCACCACCTGACATGTAGCCCTCATAAAATTCCCCAGAGGGGAATGTGGGTTTGGGGATTAAGAAGTCTCTCCACCGTTGCCTTAGAATCTTCAAGATAACATTCTTATCTAGGAGAATCTGGGGGCACTAGCAGGCATTTTATTGGAACAAGGGGGAACAGAATGCTTCCTCAGTACAGAATGGAGATAAGCAAGAGTTCTTTGGAAGAAGATAGAACCAATAGTGCAACAAGGGAATTTTAGACCCGTGTTTCCCCAACTTGGGTCTCCAGCTGCTTTTGGACTACAATTCCCATCATCCCTGTCCACTGGTCTTGCTAGCTAGGGGTGATGGTCGTTGTAGTCCAAAAACAGCTGGAGACCCAAATTTGGGAGACTCAATTTTAGACCCTGGACTTCACAGTCTTTGAGAGGCAAAGCAGACCATTGACATTTGTCTTCTTTCCATTGACATTTGTTTTACGTTCCTGACATGTTAGAGCAAAACTCTTAAGCAAGAGCAGTTTTCTAGCTGTGATAAAAATTATGACACTCTTGAGCATGTGCAGTTTTGCATTTTAAGAGCATGCTTAAATCACAGCACCATCTTGCTGACAGGAATCAAATGGGACCCTTCGTTGCAGAAAAGGAGAATGTGTTTCATTATTTTTTTTAAAAGAGCATTAGTAACCCTCCAGCTGCCCCTATGATGATAGAATAATAGCAAAGGATGCTGCAGTAACCAGCATCTTTCCTGGTGGACCTCAGCCTGCCCATGCCAGCCTAGGTGTTGATGCTGGGGCTGTTTGCCACTGCCTCCACCATCTGCCATATTTAGCCCTGTGGTCCTGCCTTATCTGAATCACCGGATATGTCGCCGGTGTAACTGGCAGATGCATGTGTGGCTGCCCCACAACTGTGGGACCTTTTCACTGGAGGACTCCAAAACTAGAACCTCTGCATCTTCCTGGAGCAGTGCACATTTTTCTGCTCAGGCTGCCGCTTCTTCTTATTTTATTTTATTTTATTTTATATACGTCCAATATCTGCAAGCATCAGGGAAGTTACAACATAAAACCACAATATAAAACCACTAGTACTTCAATTGTTTTCATTGTGTACACACACATAAAAAAACACAACAACAATGTTTATTTGAAACATTTCTATACTACCTCTTTTCATTCAGAAATTTCCAGGACAGTTTACATTTACTCAAAAAGCACAGTAAAAGAGCAGTGATCAATACAGTGACTCACAATGGTAGAACAGTGCTAAAAACAACCATATTTTTGCGTGTGTGAAAGAGAGATACACTGGAGGTTAAAAGTCTGGGGAAATCAAAATGTTTTCTGGCTGGTACCTAAGAAACTAGGCATGCCTCCATGGCGAGAGAATTCTGCAAATGAGGTGTTGCAGCCAAAAAGGCCTTTTCCCTCTGTATCCACCTGCCTCACTTCAGATGGTGGGGGTGCACATTCAAAACAGTGGCAAACAACACGTGTACCAGTTCTGAAATTAATTTCACAAATTTCCTAAGGTAAACTGGAAGGTGCACAGAGTAGAACACATCACTGGGACAGCCCATAGAACAATATGGTAATGGGGAACAGTTTTACAACGGCACATGACATTGAGAAGTTCATTGTGCTGTGTGGGAGGGGGAAAGGCCATTTTCTTTCTGAAACCATTCTTAGCTAATAGAGCTGGACACCCCCTATTTCCTGTATTTTAGAGAAGAGTGTTTGATATTTAGAGAAAGTGAAGAGGAAGGGTGAAAAACAGTCCCTTTCAGAAAGGTGGCAAGTTTGCATGTTCCAGCAGGCCTGTTTTGAATAAATGCAAAAGCCCCCAAGGGGTTTGGTAGCTTCCAAATAGTTGTGTATCAAATTACGTGTGTTAATAGGAAAGAAGGAATCGCTAACAGCCAGAGGAAAACAGAGAAACATTAGTCCCTGTTGTGACTGAGTACACACAATTTTCAAATACTGATTACCCAGGAACAAGGCAGACTATATACATACATAAATCAATACAAGTTCTTTCCTCCCTTTTTGTCACTAAGCTGCATATGTGTTGTGTGTGTGTTTTGTATCACTAACAAGTCATCACATCTTGATTCAATTACTTTCCAGATATTTTCTAGAATGTGCAAGATTTTAAACAGGACACATGTTGAGCATCCACATTACAGTCGTACCTCGGAAGTGGAACAGAATCCGTTCCGGGAGTCTGTTCAACTTCCAAAACATTCGGAAAACAAGGTGCAGCTTCTGATTGGCTGCAGGAAGCTCCTGCAGCCAATCGGAAACCACGGAAGCCGCGTTGGACATTCGGGTTCCAAAGAATGTTTGCAAACCGGAACACTCACTTCCAGGTTTGTGGCTTTCGGGAGCCAAAACGCTCGATTCACAAGGCGTTCAGGATCCAAGGTATGACTGTATAAGTAAATGCACCAGGGTGGTGGGGAATTAGCCAGCATTTATTTGACTTTAATATGTTAAAAAACAACAACTGTATTGCAAAATGACCCCCAGGAACCACCTCCTCCTTTATGAGCCTTTTCACCAGTTAAGATTGGTGTCAGAGACTCTGCTGTTAGTTCCACCTTTCTTTGAGGTTACATGGACAGTTATACAAGTCCCTGGGCCTTTGGGCTCTGAGATTGTGGAATACCCTCCCTTTGTAGGTCTTCCAGGTCTCTTACACTTTCCAGACATCTTTTAAAGACTTAGTTTTTCAACATTCTTTTTATCTGCTACTTTGTTGTATCCTGCTATTAAATTTTCAGCTGTTTTAATTTGCCCGCCTTTACTGCAGTTTTTTAGGATAGCTTTTATTTTGCTTGTCTGTTCATTTATCTTTTATAAGGCTGGAGTAAACACTGACTTGGGATTAAGTCTCATTAGACTCAGTAGAGCTTACTTTCTGGGTACACACATAGAGGGTTGGGCTGCATGCTATATATGTGTATGTTGCAAAAGTGGAGGGCCTTTTTGGCTCCACAGGCCAGACCCTAATTAGGATCGGCCTTGTCAATATCATGATGTCATTGTGATGCCACATGATTGGCAAGCAGATGGGGATGCCCGCCTGTCAAATCCGCCTGTCAAAAACACAAGAAACATTCAAAACACATTCTTTCCCTCTTAAGAAATCTGGGCAGTGTAGTTTACCCTTTGCAAAGTTCCAATTCCCAGCAACCCTCGGCAAACTACAGTGCTCATAATTCTTTGAGGGAAAGAATATGCTTTTAAGGTATGTTGCGTGCGCGGCCTAATTCTCCAAGCCATGTAGGGTTCAAGCCAGCACATGGTGTTGACACCCTTGCCCCCCAGGCTGCAAAACAAAGAGTAGATCCTGGAACATAAAGAATAGAATAAGTGTAATTGCATAAAATGTAGCCAGAAAAAGAATGCCCCCTTTTCTTGGAAGCACTGCTTGTCCTTTTATTTAAAGGTCACTTGGGACTGTGATATTTCTAAGAGGGACGACTTTCTAATTCCTCTGTATTTTAATTTTAATTCAGCAGCTGTTTAATGATGGCTTGCAACTAACAGAGCCTCTCTGCTGGGTTCCATTGTGAGCAAGAAGCATTCCTGCTCCCTCTCGTTTATATTTCAATAGATGCGTTGAAAGCTGCTGCGGCTCTTAAAATTATGCCCCTGCACTTTCCCTTTTCTTAATGGCTAAATTGCAGAATGGTTTTAATCAGCCCGCAAGTGCAGTAATCTACTAGAAACGCTTTGTAGGCCGTGTATTTATTGCTTTGACAGAATAGAATTTACACGTTAAAAGGGAACACAATTAGTCTTGGGCATTTACCTAGTATTATAGCTGTGGTTATGACATCATGCCTAGCCAATTGGAAAACTCTGGGTACGTCCAGGACTCCCTCTGCCTCTCTGCCTCTCTCTGCCTTCTACAGCAGAAAAGACTCTGAAGTGTTATATTTGTCTTGCATGTTTTGGGGTCTGTTTATCGAGCGCTTCCTAGAAAGGATGTCCTGAGAAACAAAGAAGATATAATATGAAAATAACGATTGCATTCTGACATGCTGGCGTGTGAAATGGGACTAAATGATACCCAAATCAGAGAGAGGGAGAGAGAGAGAGAGAGAGAAAGAAAGAAAGAAAGAAAAAGAAAGAGGAAACCCAGGAAGTTTAGTGTTTTCATGTTAAAGGTTCAGAGATACTTTGAGTGGGCTCCCCAGACTACTTAAATTGTTATGGGAACATGGCTGGTGTCCTCAGTCAGCTACCCAGCACAGCTTTTCTCTTGTGTTAAGCAGGCTACTTAACCATAGGACCCCAGTGTGAAATTCAGGCAACTAGCCCATCAATGTTTCATATTTTCATGAATTAGTCCCACAGAACTTGTGACTCCGTAGCAGGTTGATATACCTTCTGTGCTGGTTGACTACTTGGTGGATAGAGTTTGGTGTCATTGAGTGCAGGCCCAAGACACTTTGCTGCCTGAGGCGAAGGACAAGATGGTGCCCTCCCCTCCTACAACCTACGGAAGCCCACTGGGCTGGCTGTTCAGTCTTACACCAATGCTGGTGATAGGACAAGGACCTCCAGTCTTGCCTGAAGGCAGCAAGTTAATGCAGGAGATGCAGGGCAGTCTGTGTAATGCAAACACAGCTCTGCCTCACTCAGCATCTCACTGGCATTTGCTGCCCCATAGCATATGCTATTTGAGACAACTGCCTCACTGCCCAATGGTAGGGCCGAGTGCTCAAAGCCATAGTGAGAAAGGGCTCTTAGATCAATAAGCATGAAGGAAGTACCAGGTGCAGTCCTTGGCATCTCCAGGTAGGACTGGTCTGAAACCCTGGAGAGCCACTGGCAGGCAGTGTAGTTGGCAGTAACCTTCCTGGACCTGTGAAGGCACCTTCCTAGGGCCATACATACATTATAAGAAGCAAAGCTGCTGATGAGTGCTTGCTTTTATCTCAGTCTGCTACTGCCTCCATGTGTCGCTTCAGAAGGGCTCGCTAGTGTCTACCTTTCCTTTTAATGTCTCTGTGCCAGAGCAACCTGATCCTAACATACCAAGCATATGCAACAAAATGCAGATCTGGAACTGCATGCAACTTGTTCCCGTGTTCTGTGGCTGTGCAGTTTATTGAGCCGGCGATAAACAGATTAAACATTCAGGGTCAGTGGTGTGTGCAGAACAGAGCCATTGTTTCATTTGTTTATTGGCCAGTTGCAGATGCCCAGAGGAAATCAGTTAGCAGCTCTTTCTTTCTCTTCTGGGCGGATTTGTGACCCAGTTCAAAGAAAACTTTTGAGCCTGTTTCTTTTCTTAAGCACCTGGGTTTTCAAGGTATGCTGAGTCTGATATGCAGGTTATATTTTGCTATTATTATTATTATTACTAGGCAAAGGCCGTCCGGAGGTCTTAACCCATTGTGAATTGTGGTGGGATTCATGCAGAGGTAGAATAATAATAATAATAATAATAATAATAATAATAATTTATTATTTATACCCCGCCCATCTGGCTGGGTTTCCCCGGCCACTCTGGGCGGCTTCCAACAGAATATTAAAATACAATAGTCTATTTAACATTAAAAGAAACACAAGAGAATAAACAAATACTTTCAGAGTGGAAAACCATGAAGTGTAGTATTTTCAAAAGTTCATGTTGCTCGATATTATGATCATCACATGGTGAACTTAAATAACTAAAAAATTTAAAGTGCCTATGCTTCCTTATAGTTCCAAGCAAGTGTAAAAGTGGCTTGCAAAAAATAAGCACTGGGAATAACTTTAAATGCCCAATCATGGTGACTGTGGCTCATTTTAGACAGATCGTAATCTGATGGTCCTGGCTTGTACAGGTTTATGTGTGTTTTTCCCCCAAATGGTGGTGATGATAATAAGCCACTGCTTGTTTTTAAGCAATAAAATTTATTTCTGGCTAATAAATGAGAACAGCAAATCCTGTTGTACTCTTTTAAGAACTGTGTGCTACTAACCTTTCCTTCATTCCCCTAGGCCGATTTCCCCCTCTTATATGAAAGTAGAAATATAGGAGAGTCCCAGGAGATGGCAGTATACAATAGCACATTTAAAGTTGTGCAATGCTAGAAGAAAAAGCAGGAGGAGAGGAGCCTTGCTGTTTCTGTCAGAGCTGCACTTGTGCATATGCAAGAACATACATACTTTATTTCAGCCGAGCAATAATTGTAGATTTATTGGATCCTCAAATATTAGCTTCTTCAAAGTTTTATGATAGCTGAAGCATGTTGCTGTCAGATCTGCGGCTTATGGCCCCCTCTCAAGATTTTGCTGTGCCAGGAAATAAACTCCTTAAAAAGTAGTTCGCGCCAACTGCGGTGCCACTGCAGCATCATAAACCATGACATTATCTTGGCACAGAAGAGGGTTAAGCTGATACTGCAGGCAAATAAAGCTGGTGCTGGTATTTAATGATGGGGAGTCAATCTGTGACTGCTTTGCAGGCGCAGTGAACTAGCACGTTTGCAGGTATATTTGATTTAAAATACAGCTCCAGAGAAGCTTTCTGGTATATAGGGGGGGAAAGCACACATTTGTTCTTGTGATATTTTTGTGTCTGTGTATGATTCCCTATCTTATCTGCATCCATACTGAGATTTTTTTATAGTATTTAATTGCAGTGTGGCTCTACTAGCAAAATGACCACCATTGTGATAAGTAGGGTTTGCGGTGGGGAGAAGATTTGTGGCACCTTAACGATTCCACATATTTATCAAGGCTTAAACATTTGTGGACTGCATCAAATGCACATTTCATATTGCAAGCATCTGTAGAGAGCGCTGCATTTCTGCATGCTCTGTATGTGGAGATGCAGTACACTTCTCTGCAGGATTTTTTCTTGGTAGGCTGGAACACACAGCTTTGACTCACTATAGCAATGGGTGCTTTCAGGTAGGGGCAAGATCTCACAAACGGGCCATTCACACGTGATTTTTCTCTGTGGGTGATGGGCACACGAGGTTCAAATGCACACGGTTTAATGCTTTCCATAGCTATGCTTTTTATTTCACATCCATACCAGTGGGCGATCCTTGATGTAATATTTCTGTGCTGTGTGCTTTGGCCCCTCTGCTCAATAACTGTTCCTTTGCTCTTGACTACCTTTTTCCATTTGGGGCATGCATGCAAGTATTTCCTGAAGGAGTGTCTCCACCCCATTGTCCAGCCCGGACACTGAGGTCCAGCTCCAAGGGCCTTCTGGCAGTTCCCTCACTGTAAGAAGCAAAGTTACAGGGAACCAGGCAGAGGGCCTTCTTGGTAGTGGCGCCCGCCCTGTGGAACGCACTCCCATCAGATGTCAAGGAAATTAACAACTATCTGACTTTTAGGGGACACCTGAAGGCAGCCCTGTTTAGGGAAATTTTTTATGTTCGACGTTTTATTGCATATTTATTTTTTTAATATTTTGTTTGAAGCTACCCAGAGTGGCTGGGGAAACCCAGCCAGATGGGCGGGGTATAAATAATAAATAATGATGGTGTACCTATGAGCTTGCACTTTTAAAATATATAATAAGTGTATAAGAGTTCAGGAGCAAAAATTACCAGTCCTTAGTGATCATGTTAAAACACGTATGCTCACATAGCTGTTCACACAGGGGTGATCCAGCTGAGGTATTATCCTGATTTGTTATATTTTGCTTATTTTTGTTTATTCACTTTAAAATCATGATTAACACTGTCCACTGCCTTGATAGTTTTTTTGTTTGGCAGTACAGAGATATTTGCAGATACATGAATAAATAAATGTTTCATAATGGGTTCTTTAAAAAAAAAAAAGAACAATGTGAGCTGTAGTTCTTTTAATCAATATAATTTTTTTGTTGTTGCAAAAAACCAAACCAAACCCGTGGGTCTAGATGCAGTCCAAAGAAAGCAATCCACAGGTCTTTAGGTTTACTGTCAGACACTATAAAACCAGCTCAGATTTGCTTCCCCCATCTGCATTAGTCATTCCCATGTACTCGGAATGTGTTTTTTCCTGGATATATTATTGAAAGGTGTGCAGTGATTGCCCATGACTCCTCTATGATTATCAAAAGTAAAGGCATTCAGAGGGCATGAAAGGCCAGAGAAACTCAGTAGGTAACTAAATTTGCTTCTATTTCTATGCCTCTTGCATTACTCCAAAATTCAGGAACAGGGGTCAGAGAAGATGTGTACCTGATCTGGAAGGAGATGGAAGAAGCCAGGAATGCACTGATACAAGTTCAGAGAATTCTGATAGAGTTTGAGCAGTCTGAACTACCTTCAGGTATGTTATGAACAAACACACACATATACTTTTAAATATTCTGACTGCATTGCAGCATTGATGATTATGCCCCCGATTCCATTACGGACAATTGTAAGTCAGTGGCACTCAAAAGGATGAGGTTGCTCTTACAGATCTGCACGTTGCAGGAAGTTTGCCTAATAGAGTGGCTGCAATCTTTCTTGCAAGTGTGAATTGTGTCACTCTAGCATGCTTGAAGCCATGGCTCATTGGTAGAATACATGTTATGCATGCAGACACTACCTGAAATCTTGGAAGGCTGCTGCCAGTCAGTTTATTTAATGCTGAACTAGATGGACCCAATGGTCTTATCTCGATATAAGGCCGAGACCTATGTCTCTGGTGTCGTGTGTGCTTTTCCCTCTAAACTGCTGTTTTCTAAACTGCAGAGTAAACAGCAGAGCAGCACTGGGGAGGCAAGGAATGGCCAGCCCTACCAGCCCTCATGCCCTAAACTTCTCTTGCCTGTCGGTCTGTACTGTACATCATCCGCCCAATTTTTTAAAATACCATCCGCTGCAGACTTCATCTTTCCTTGCTCAAGTGGTGTAGTTTACCCAGGAGATTTAGGTTCAAGTGCAAGCTCAGTCTGTGCCGGGAGTGATGGATTTAAAATGGATGCATTATCTCAAAATCCTTTCAGACTCGAAGGACCATATCTTATCAATTTACAGGTTATCTTAAAGCTATATCTCTCACAGTGCACATTAAGGCACTTTGTAGTCTTGCAGGGCAAAAAGCTGATCAAAATCTCGTTTTGATTTCACAGGGTAATCATTACTGTTCCAAATTCTGGATTTTCAAATCCCAATTTAGGCATTATGTTTTTAAAGCATTGTGCTTTGCTTTTTCATATGCAAAGTCTTCCTATCTTAGGTCATTTTAACAAAGCAGTATTGCTTTGTAGAAGGGAGGAAAGCATTTATTTTTAAAAATGAGAGTGCTCGAGTTGATTATATTAGGTTCAGTCTAGTGTCAGCAAATGCACATTCCATTCATTCCTTTTTACGCCATCAGCCCAAACTGACGGTATAGTAAATGATTCAAGAGCAGAAGATTATGTGAATTCCAAGGAGTGGCTTCAGAAGAACGGCTTGAAAGCGCAGAAGCTGACCATAACAAAAGCATTTGGCGATCTCAGTTTTCGTCATGCAAAGGGGATTGTCAACATAAGAACCAAGCCACAGGATGAATCGGTGCAAACTGATGCTGTAGGTAATCCACTAGTTTTGGTACATTTTCTTGACTGCAGTTTTGTCACATAGGTTTACAGCTGTGCTAGTTTATGACAGGGATGAATCCACACTGTCAGTATCTCTCCGGAGGGATTAAAGAGCATGCCAGAACTTTAGGTTTGGGCTTCCAACAAAGGAAGATTGGCAACTGATACTGATGGAACACGCAGAAATGGCATAACTCCCTGGATGAATAAGAAATCAGGGAGAGACTTTAAAAAAATAGAATGGGGAAAATTTATTGACTATTTGAAGATACAAATAAAAACAAAACAAATCAAAACATTAGTGGGACTGATATAAACACGTGCAGTAAGATATAATTAAGGGGAAGATAAGGGGAAATTAGTAAATATATTTGAATTAAATATGCAGTAATTAAAAAGATACGAAATAAATAACCGCAGAAAGGGGAGGGAAGTTGAGGGGAAGGTAAATTAGACTGGTTTGGTCACGCTGACCACAGAGCTTCTGGCGTCCTGCAGCAAGCTCCACAGCTTCCTCTTTCATCTAAGCAGAAGAGAATGTTAAATATGTCTGCTGTCATGAGGGAGGCATGTAGGAAGAGGAAGTGAGTTCAAGTCAGCATCTTGTCAGGGCGGATCTACACTATACAGTTAAAGTGCATTTAAAACACTTGACTTACCCCCAAAGAATCCTGGGAACTGTAGTTTTCCACTCACAGAGCTACAGTTCCTTAGCAAACTGCAGTTCCTAGAATTATTTGGGGGACTTAAAGCTGCTTTCCCCAGCTGTGACTCCCTCTATCCTACTCAGTAGCGGAGCTTCATGCTCCGGCACCGGGGGGCGGAGAGCAGGCAGGGGCGGGGCTGGCGTGCATCTCAGGGTGGGGGTTGCCGCCTGCAGGGGCGGGGCGCCCAGCGTGGGTGGAGGACAGCCGCGATGGTACCCTACCAGGATCGCGGTGCCGGGGGAGGTGTGCTCCCCCCGCACTGCTCTTCCTCCACCAGTGATCCTACCTCATGTTGCAATTAGGCTGGGGAAAAGTCTTCTATTAGCTACAATAGTTTCCCCCCACAAGCCCAAGCAGGGGAAGGGGGGACGCTGTTTTGGTTGGACAGGGAGGCCTAAGAGAGCTTGAGAGTGTGTGTGTTTGCCATGTCTTCATAAAAATGCAGCCTTAAAATGTTCCAACCAATGCTTTGTGTAGATCATGTCTCCACTTTCTCCCCCGAACGTCTTGCTCATATAGGAGTCTAACAAGAAGTTAATTGATGCAAAATACTGCGACAAGTTTTTGCATACAGACTTGGAAGATGGGCCCACGCTGCATATGCATTTGACTGGGGAAAGGTGCAAACAGTATGAAGATAAAATGAAGACTGTTCTCGATCAAATGGAACTAAGGTTCAGTTGCTTTCTAATGTAATATTTTCAAAAGCAGCGTCCCATAATGGGAAAGCTATCCAATGCATAACTCATGTCTGCTTTAAAAATGATTGTGCGATATTTGGGCTCTTAAAACTTTCACCAGGCCTTAAAAAAAAAACAACCTTTGGATTAGCATATAAAAAAAAAGTCACACAAATATTAGTTGATAAAGCATTTAGAGTGACCTTATTGAGAGATATATTACAGAACTTGTTTGTATCACCAATTCAATCTTCTTACATGACTTCTCAAGTTATGGTGCAATTCACCTGTGGGTTTGAGATCATACCTGATCCTAAATGCAACATTTTCATGCCTAACCTGTAACGCTTTGTATTCTGCATGACAGGAATGGGGAACCTGTGATCCCCTTCTCAGAAGATGCCCTATATTGTTTGTTAAGGAGGCCTCAGCATAGTTTGTGGGAACATTGAGGACAGTAGGAGAGGATATATTGATTAATGTTATCCTTCCTCACTCACGCTAGTGAGCTTGTAGCGGAACATATTCCCATGTACAGTAGTACCTCGGGTTAAGTACTTAATTCGTTCCGGAGGTCCGTTCTTAACCTGAAACTGTTCTTAACCTGAAGCACCACGTTAGCTAATGGGCCTCCTGCTGCTGCCGTGCCGCCGGAGCACAATTTCTGTTCTCATCCTGAAGCAAAGTTCTTAACCTGAGGTACTGTTTCTGGGTTAGCGGAGTCTGTAACCTGAAGCGTATGTAACCTGAGGTACCACTGTACATAGCAGGAAGCTAGTTGATTGGATTCGTGAGAATCATTTGAGTTAAGCAATCTGGTCTGGCTTGTCCAGATTGGCTTTGTTCCTGGTTAATCCCCTTTTGTTCCCTCTTAAAACAATAATGACACAGTAAAATCTTCTTTTAAAGTAGTGATAAGGTTTACTCACATTCAGTCCACAGTGTGATCCTGAAGGCAGGCTTTAGCTTGTAGTTACAGATACATAGAAAAGTGTGGGTTCATCCTCTTGTGAGGAATGAGCCCATGTGCTGCTGGCTGAGAGCCAGCACACAGCAAAAGCATCAAGATAATACAAGAGGACGAGTATCAATAGAAAAGGGGAAGATGGCTGCATGACCAGCTCTTTTATGGGGTCTCCCAGGGTCACGCCCATTTACCTGGTCACACACAGGGGGCGGATGCTCAAGACCATGGTTGACAGGAAGTCCTCCTGGATGGAGCAACATTCCCCTGTGTGTCCACTCTGGGCAAACAGGAAATGTTTTATTTGACTGCTTTTGTGATGTTACATCCCACATAGTTCTCTGAATTATAGCCTTTCCTGGTTTGATGTTCTCCAGATGTTTTGGTCTACAACTCCCATCTTCACTGAGAATTGGCCATGCTGCATGGAGCAGATGGGAGTTGGGAGTCCTACAATATCTGGATGGTCATAGGTTCCGTACCCTTGCTCTGTATTCTCCAGTAAAGTGGTTGGTTAAGTGTTGTATTGAAACACGCAGCCCACACATTGATGTAGGTGTATTAATGTGAGAGTTCAGTTTAAAGGGCCATGGGTGGGAAAAGGTTAAGCTAAGGAACAGGAGGTAATGAATCTAACTTGGTAAACAGCCTTCTCTGACACTATGGCTTCTCTAGGTTGCCATGTCAACCATTCAGGTATTTATTTTTATGCAGTACATTTTGAGATGAAGGGGAAATGGTAATGAGTACATTATCAGGAATTTGTGAAGCAACATGATAATTATATAGTAAACAATAATACATTTATACTGTAATTGAATAAAGTTTTTTTAAAAACATTGATGTTGACGATGTTACCATTAATAATATACTTCAAGGGCCTCAAAGCAGAAGACATAGTCCCCCAACCTCATTTTACCCTTGCAATTTGCGATAGGTCAAGTGGAGAGGTGGTCATTGGCCTAATGTCCTCTGGTGAACTTCGTGGCCTACAAAGACCTTGTCTTCTCAGTCCTAGTCCAACACTCAAACTACCACACCATACTGATACCCCTTAAAATGCGGAGGAGTTCTAGACTCCAGATCCCATTCTTGTATGGTTTTAAGCTTTAATAGGTTTTCACGTTTAAAGGGTATTGTATATATAATGACTTTAGTTTTCTTTAAAAATAATATTTGACTGGGTTTTTCTATTTGATCTCTATTATCAGATAAGTTTTTACAAGCATAGGAGAGTTAAGGAAAGACAAAGGAGCATTTTACACAGTTTAGTCTGTGCCTCTCATTAAACATTGAGTGTGTTTTCCTGTAGACTTCAGGAGCTGAAAAAAGGGAGCAGAGCACTCTTTGGAGACGTAACTGAAGATAACATCTATTTTCTGATTGATACATCCCACTCTATGAAAGACAAACTGCCCGTGGTGAAGCAGAAAATATTTCAGCTCATGCGGGTGAGTGACAGCTATGTTCCCCAAGGCAAGGATTGTAAAACAAAATGCGTGCAAAGACATATTCTATATTTCTGCAGTCATGCAGAGGGATAGCGAAAGCTGTACCAAGTCAGATGATTGATTAGTCCACCTAACTGGTCTACTCCCAGTGCTTCAGACAGGATTCTTTCCAATCCTGCCTAGAGATGCAAGGACAAAACTTGGGACCTTATCGAGTGCAAACTATGTGCTCTGCCAATAGGAGAGTGGAAATGGGAGTGGAAATTGCTGATGTTTGTTTATACAGTGGTATCTTGGTTCTCAAATTTTTTTTTTAAAAAAATAATTTTTATTAAATTTTCCATTTGAACAATCCAATCAAATCACATTAAATATTCCAAATTATACAAATACATATCATATAGTCCAAATATTCCGTCAAATTATAAATTTTTATTGGAACTTCCCATTCTTCAAGTTCGGTGCGGCTCTGATCATCTTATATCTCTACTGCCTTGAGTTTCCAGTAGTTCCTTTAAATCTTCCTGTTGTTCTCCTTAGTTCTCAAACTTAATCCGATCCGGAAGTCCGTTCCAAAACCAAAGCGTGCTTTCCCATAGAAGGTAATGCAAAACAGATTAATCCATTCCAGACTTTTAAAAACAACCCCTAAAACAGCAATTTAACATGAATTTTACTATCTAATGAGACTGTTGATCCATAAAATGAAAGCAATTATAATGTACTGTACTAAAAAATAAATAAGACAGTATTGTGGATGATAAAAATTAAAATTACTTTTTTCCCTTACCTGCACTGATGATAGTCACTGTTTGGATGGGGGTCTTTTATCCATTTACACAGTCACACAATCAGTCAATCAATCAGTAGCTGAACTGGGTTCCACACAGTCACAAAAACAAATTAACCAAAAAAGCCTCAAAAGCAAAAATGCAAAATAAATAGCAAAAACAAAAGTGCCAAATCCAGTCGTACCATGGTTCTTGAACTAAATCTGTTCTGGAAGTCCATTTGACTTTTGAAATGTTCGAAAACCAAGGCATGGCTTCTGATTGGTGCAGGCACCCTGGAAACAATAGCCAATAGTCACATTGGACATTCGGCTTCCGAAAAATGTTCGAAAACCGGAACACTTACTTCCGGGTTTTTGGGCGTTTGAGAACCAAGGTACCACTGAACATCCCTATGTCCAGAATGAAAATCAATTTGATCCACAATATGATCCACATTTGCTGCCTTTGCTTTTGGTTCATGAATGATATTTCACTGATTATGTGTGTCCCCCCCATTTGCTTTGTGTTTCCTTTGCATTGAAATGAATGGGGTTGGAATAACATAGTGACAATGGCATTTACATAATTCATTATGTAAGTTATGTAATTTCACCACATCAGATAGTGAGAATAATAAAGCTGTCTTTGGTAGAAGGCAAACAGCAGCAGAAATGGAAACAGTGCATTCGATGATTACAGAGCGGAATGGGAAACGATGCCTAACATCCCTAACTACCACTCAGTGACAATCTTTTCCCTCTAATGAAAACATAGATACTGTATTTTTCGCTCTATAAGACGCACTTTTCCCCTCCTAAAATGTAAGGGGAAATGTGTGTGCGTCTTATGGAGCGAATGCAGGCTGTGCAGCTTTCGCTGAAGCCAGGAGAGCAAGAGGGATCGGTGTGCACCGATCCTTTCTCTCCTGGCTTCAGGGACAGCCGCCCAAAGCCTCCTGAGGGCAGCGGGAGTGCTCCCGCTGTGCTCAGGAGGCTTCGCATTGCTTTCGCTGAAGCCAGGAGAACCAGAGGGATCGATCCCTCTGGCTCTCCTGGCTTCGTTTCGCTGGAGAGGCGCTGTACAGCTTTCCCTCTCTGCGCAGTGCCCCTTCAGCGAAGCCGGAGGAGAAATGGCAGGGGCTCCGTTTCTCCTGCCGCTTTGCTGAAGGGGCTCTGCACAGAGAGGGAGAGAACATTTCCCCCCCGTTCTCCTCTAAAACTAGGTGCGTCTTGTGGTCGGGGTATGTCTTATAGAGCGAAAGATACGGTACTTCCTCCAGTTTGAGGTGTGTGGGTAGATTCAGTACGTCCAAAACGCTGTGAGGTAGAATTACAATCTTCAGAAATAAATAATTGTTATCACTTCTAGAAGAATGAAATGTACTCCTGAAGTCATTTGCTTTTCAAATACAGCAAAAAGTGTGACATTTCTGGTATGAAGGAGAATTCAACGGAGCATTTCTTACAGGAACAACTGAGAGACAAAACCAAAGTTAACTTTGTTAGATTTGACACTGAGGCAGTGGCTTGGAAGGAGAAACTTGCTAGAGTTAATGAAGAAAGTTTGGAAGAAGCTCTACTATGGGTAAACGATCTGGAGGTAAATATAGGAACAAAAAGCACATTAAAAAAATGTGAGTAACCCAAGTTTTTGCTGTGCACCTCAATTAATTTTTGGTTACTATAAAGCTGGCTTGAAAGGCACAATTTTATTTGTAAGAGTAACACCTTCTCCCACTGCCCTTCTGCATTTAAGACATTCTTGGTTCAGCCAACACATTCCTGATCTAACAAGCTATGGGAATGTGCTGCATGTGCCTGTGTGCTCTTCTCTATGTTCCCTCGTGTGCACAGCTTAAATATAAGAGTCCCTGAATTGTTCTTAAGCACATTTTAAACCCGCAATTTCTCCAAAGAAGTCATGATTGTATACCTCTTCCATTTTATGCTCTTAGCAGCTAGGGCAACCTCCAGTTTATTCACAGCAATACTGTAAAGTTGATTAGACTGAAATATAGTGATTGTACAAGGTCACCTTCATAGCTGAATGAGGATTTGAATCTAAGGTCTAAGCACCATATAGGTTGCCATATGATTCTATTCTGCTTTTAATCTAATTTAAGATGTATTTTAATCGATTGTTTGACTTAATGTTTTAGTGTATTATATATTTTGATGTTAGCCGCCCTGAGCCCGGCCTCGCTGGAGAGGGCGGGATATAAATATTATTATTATTATTATTATTATTATTATTATTATTATTATTATTATTATTGCTCCCCTTTCCTCCTCATGCTCCTGACAATACAAGACTTCCTAGTTTGTCACGCCACAGTCCACTGAACTTTGAGTGCTCCCTACAAACCAGAATTTGATTCTGGTTTGTAGGAGCACTCAACCCACAGTTTCTGGTTTGAACGACACAGCTAACTGTAGTTTTGACAAACCAGGAAGTCTTGTATTAAGCCCAATCAGAAAATGGGAGGGGCAAGAAGAGAGCACTTAGGTGTATGGCACATTCCTGATTGAACAAAACCATGATTTGTTGGACCAGGGATGTGATGTCTGAAGTGGGCCATTGGCTCTCAAAAGAGCATTTAGCATCAGGGTGAAAGCGCCTTTGGTTGTATCACTGTATTCGAAGCACAGAAATCTGTCTTGGGAAGAGTTCCTGCAGAAAGATTTCATACTTTCATCATAAAAGTATGCTACTGGAAGGAATCTATTTTGATTGTTGCCCACCAGGTGATTTAGACTACTTCCGGGACTGAATTAAGTCTTTCCTTTGGACAAATTGTAAGGTTCCTCTCACCAGCAAACCTGACAAAGAGATGTGACAATCCATTTCACAAGTTTAGCACTGTTAATGTTTCCATTTCCTCCTGATGTTTTTCCCCCTCTGTTGACTGCTTAGATTGGAAGTTCTACAAATACCCTGAAAGCACTTCAGATTGCCTATTCTGATAGTGACACTCAAGCCATTTATCTTCTCACTGATGGGAGACCTGACCAGGTATCTATGGAAGAAGCAAGACATGTCAGGGCAGTATGATGATGTAACACTGGCTATATGACAAAGCAGAGCATTGATGTAGAGCAGGGCTGGCCAAACTGAGACTAGTCTGAGTCAGTTCAAGGAAGATACATATCTTTGTGTCCTCACCATCTTTTGTTCCAGACAGACATTGGGACCATGAGAGTCTGGGAAGAGGACATGGTGAAGGACGCATGATAACAGAGGAAACATGATCTTCCAGCACCCAGAGTAGGAGGGTCCAAAAGCTGAGGTCTTTGGGTAGATGAGAAAGGAGGTTCTTGAGAAAACTGGGGCAAGCAGCTGGAGGGGGGTTGTAGGGAGAGAAAAACAGTTGTAGGTACTGGGTTGAGAAAGCAGCATTGATGAGGGTCTTGGAAGACAGTTGGAATGGGAGAAACAATGACATATATGAGTGGAGGGTTGATGTGGGAGAAATGGCTTAAGGAGCTTAGGGAGGACCAGCTGGTGGGAGTGGAGCCGCAGTCGTGGGGGGAAGGTATTGGTTATGGGAAAGCGTAGCTTTATCAAGCACAGCAAACATTAAGGAGATAGTGTGGTGGCAGGAGCTGCAGTCTCAGGCTGGAACTAGATGTTGCATGTCCTGGAGATAGAGGGACACTTTTTTTACCTGGGAAGCTCTCATACCTGGTTTGGGAAACTAGCTTGGCATACTGCACAATCAATGCTGGTTCTGCCAGCCTTGTGGACCCCACAGGAGCAAGATCAACCTGAAGATTCCTTCAGTGTTTGGATTGTTGGATGAAGGTGCTGAAATAGCAAATTAGAGCCTTCTGAATGAGAACTTTGATCCCCAGGATGCCACGCTCAGCCAGTGGAATTCAGCTTCCTTTGGTTTTGATGATTGCCTGTAGTTCAAAGCACTGTCTGTTATGGTATAAATCATGGAAGGCATTAATGCTTCTATCTCTTCCTCAATAAGATATAATCTGAAGCCAGTTGATTTGTTATGCAGTGTGTATTGGTTAATATCTCTGTGTCAATACATTTAATTTCTCTCTCTCTCTTTCTTTTAGCCCCCCGATAGAATTCTAGACCAGCTCCAGCTTCACCGGAACATTCCAATTCACACTATTTCCTTTAACTGTGATGATACCGGAGCGAATAAATTTTTAAATGAATTGGCCAGTGAGACAGGTGGACGGTTTCATTACTATCATATTATTTTGAGAGACCCTGATGCTCCAAAACCTTCTGAGGCAAGTCTTTAGTAAAAGTTAAGATGAAGACTTTTAGGTGTTTCTTTTTCATACCAAGGAGGCTGTATAATAACTTTTGATGAAATTGGTTAATGCACAAAGTTCTTAATAGGGTCTGCATAAAACTGAAAGTTCAAAAGCATTTTTGAGAAGCAAAATGGATATACCAGAACTAAGGCCTCATCAGGAGGATCAGCTGACAGCTTATCTCTGCCAAATCTTAGCCTTTGTGGGAGAGTCCCCTGAGTCCTAATTTTCAAGGGCACTTGTGAATACTGGTGTTTGGTGCCAGATGTTGAGGGACCCTAGAGTAAGATGTGTGAATGTCAGGGGGCTGTCAGGCGAGCCCAGGTCATCCATGGGGCAGGAAAGAACTTGAGACACGAAATGCAATTAGCTATTATTCACATAAAGTAACAACACAGCAGGGACGCGGGTGGCGCTGTGGGTTAAACCACTGAGCCTAGGGCTTGCCGATCAGAAGGTTGGCGGTTTGAATCCCCGCGACTGGGTGAGCTCCCATTGCTCAGTCCCTGCTTCTGCCAACCTAGCAGTTTGAAAGCACGTCAAAGTGCAAGTAGATAAATAGGTACCACTCCGGTGGGAAGATAAACGGCGTTTCCGTGTGCTGCTCTGGTTTGCCAGAAGCGGCTTAGTCATGCTGGCCACATGACCCGGAAGCTGTACGCCGGCTCCCTCGGCCAATAAAGCAAGATGAGCGCCGCAACCCCAGAGTCGGCCACGACTGGACCTAATGGTCAGGGGTCCCTTTACCTTTAACAACACAGCAGAGTTCCTTTGGCTCCTCTCATTTAGTTTGAGATGTTGCTGAAACTGACCACTGGCACCGCCTTTCCCCTCTAGCCTCTCACTCTGGATCCCTCCCAGGCAGATGGAGACTGAGGCAACGGGGTGGACTCCTTCTCTAGGCCTGTCCGGCCCATTGCTCAGCAACATGCAGGACTCTCCGTGAGCGGGGTGGGGGTGGAGGGGGAGCCAGCAGGACTGGGACTGTCCTGCTGCTGGGTAGCAGGGGTAACCTCTGACTCCTCTTTGTCTATGTGCTCACACTGCGATCCCCAGCCTCCTGTCCTGAAGGGCCTCTTTCTCCTGATCCTCCTTGATTTCTCATACCTCCTGCTTCTAGCACCTCCCAGCTCGTTCCTACCTCTGTCTGCTCCCCAGTGTCCCACCACCACAATCCTGGGTCTAAGCCTGTTTCTTCCATGTCCTCCCTGGAGGGTTCTTCGGTGGGCAGTGCCCACCACTCTTCCTCATCCAGCCAGTCCCTGTTAGTGAGCCGCTGTCCCTCAGTGTGCCCATCTCTTTGCCATGATCACCACTAGCGATCTCCTTTTGGGCCCAGTCTGCACACCCCTTACCCAGGAGGAGAGATCAAAGCAAGTGGAGGCCTCTGCTGCCTTTCTCATTGTTCTTGTCATTGCTTGAAGGAAGCAGATGAACAGGAAGCAACAGCAAGGAGGATGAGTGCCCAAGAGTTTTGGGGTTAAGACTTGGCAGATGTGTCTCTGTTGCTTACTGGGAGGCGGAGAGCTGGGGTGGCGGGAAGGTCAGCGCAGTGCAAAAGCACTGGCAGAACCAATATGGATTCTTACCCCTCTCCTTTCTGGTAAGCACTTGCTGGGTCTCCTACCTGATGAGCTGTTAGCAGTGATCACTTTGCTGGGGTGTGGGCTTTGGCAGGTGTCTGATGATGCTCATCTTTGCTGTTAACTCTGTGTAATATCCTGTGCAGATGTACTGAATGAAAGGAGAAGTAGCCTTGTCACTGGAAGGATAAATAGCCTGGCTGAAGGGCGTGTGCATGTGTTGATTTTAATAAGCTCTAGTACATCTACAAAGAACAAACTTGTATATATGCTAAAATTGGCTGCTGTCTAAGTCGGGTGTGTGTGTGTGTGTCTTTTCTTACATTCACTTTGGCAGTGAGCACAGCTTAAACTCTCAAGGCAAGTCTTATTTTTTTGCTGTAGGGGCTGTGAAACAGGGATGTGGATTTCCACACTTTGTTTTATGGCTATTTCCATTTCATACCCCTCCACGCTGGTAAGAGGAGGAAGGTTGCTGGAATGACAGGTTTATGTTTTTACGTCACCTTTAGGAAGTGCATTAGTCATGAAATGGGAAAAAAAATAAGAAATGGATGTGTTATCAGAGTGTGGGGGATTATATATCAGAAAGATGAATGACAAATAATTCAATAATAATTCTTAGGGTGCAGTAATGGGATTCTAGATTTGCAGCAGAATGTATCTCCATGATCATCCATCATAGTTACGTTATTACATCAGTAGCTATAGTAAAGGATGAAGCTGAATTAACTTTCAAGCATGAGGTTTTTTTCCTGCAGGATATATATTTGTATGTATAATCTTAACTGGATTAGAAAATTGGCTGGTTTTCCACCTCTACCCTTAACCAGAGGAAGTAGCCTTTCCCTTAGTGTCTCATTCTCTGGTTGTATCCTGGCTAGACTACCATAATGCATTATGTGGGGGCTGCCTTTTAAAAATGGTTCAGAAACTCCAGTTAGTACAGAATGCAGAGGCAAGAATGGTTTGTAGGAGACCAACAATCAAAGCATATTACACCTGTTCTGCACGGCTTACAGCGGCTGCCTATTTGTTTCTGGCGCAGTTTATAAATTGCTGGCTTTGTCCTTTAACCCCTCAGTGGTTTTGAACCATGTTACTTAAAGGACTGCCTTATGAAGTGGTCTGAATTCTGCTCTCTTACCTGCCATTAAGAGAGACTAGGCTGAGTGATTCAGAGATGGGGCCTTTTCTGTACTGGCCCCGTATCAATTAAAGATTGCCCATGAAGTGCCTGTAACTTTCCTCCCCCATGACTGCTAAAAGGACCCTCAATATGTTTTTATTTTCATCTGTGTTTCATTATTCTTATCAATTAATGTGCCTTTCTGTGGTTTTAGTGTTAATTTTAAAGAGGTTTATTTGTAGGCTTAAACTGCTATTTTAAATTACTGTTTCATATGTTTTATCATGGGTTTTGCAAACCACCTTGTCCTGAAAGATGGGATATGGCTCTTTTAATAAATAAAACTTTGCCCCCCTCTTGGTATTATTGTGTAGGTTTGGTATCTGGTTTAGAACTGGTTCGTAATTAATTTCAGTCACCGTTTCCTCATTTTTGGCAGTGTGAGGATATATATCTACTAAAGAAAGAGATTGAAAGAGGAGAAAAAGAACTGAAGACAATACATACCTTTTACACTGACAGCGTATTGATGGATTTGTTTAATGGAGCAAAAGACCGTCAGGATAAGTATGTTTATATTGGGAGGGAACGGGAAAATAAAGTGCTCATTTTCACAACACTGAGGTGGGGATGGGGAACCTGTGACCCTCCAAATATTCTTGGACTCTAGCTCCCATCAGCCGCAGCCTGCCTGGCCAGCATTCAGGGACAATGGGAATTGTTGTCTAACAATATCTGGAGGGCCACCATTTCCTCATCGTTACATTAAGAAATCCATTTCAGTAGGTAATATAATGTGTTCCCCTCTATATGTTGGTAAATTTCACTCCTCTCATCGCAAGGATGATTCTCTGCCAAAGGATTAACCCAAAAGCTGCTGCTCCTTTTGTGTCTGTGAGCCACCACAGCTGTGCTAAATGTGGCTTCAGTGGTGGTACGCAAATGCCTGATCTTGTTGAACCAATCAGGGAGGTCCATGTTGCCACAAGTGGAGAACCCAAGGCCAAAGAATAAAAGAGACTACTACAAATGGGATGATCCCCTACATCACCCTTTACTTTGTCGTGGAGAAGTGTTTCATCCACATAGAAAAGCTGGTGGTTGTTGTTGTTTTGAACACCAGTAAGGTTGCATGCGGATTGCTCCAAGACTGATTGCACATGGAGAAACAGATTTTGGAAAGAATGCTCTCAGGAGCTCATAGCAGAGTCAGGTTCCTTGGATTCCAAATGGAAATATGTGTGGTTGCTGATCTTATGCTTTCTCTTAAGCTTTTCTTTAGGTGCTGCTTGGTTGTCCAAGACCTAGAATTCTATGCCAGTTTTTGAGCATCAAGTGCTGGTTCATATGAGGCACACCAAGATGCAGAAACACGGTGTGGTATGCAATGCTAGTCCTACTCAGAGTAAGCCTTTTGAAGTTAAGAGACACGACTAACAGATTCATTGATTTCAACAGGTATACTCTGACTAGGACCTGGTTCAGAGTTCCCCAAAGTTGGGTCTCCAGCTGTCTTTGGACTACAGTTCCCATCATCCCTGACAACTGGTCCTCCTAGCTAAGGATGATGGGAGTTGTAGTCCAAAAACAGCTGGAGGCCCAAGTTTGGGGAAACCCTGACCTAGTTGAATACAATATGTGTGTTTATTTCAGGCTTCTCACTTCTCAAAGCGGTTTCTCCCAAATATGTGGGTGTGTGTATGTGTGTGCTTGCTTCGGCGCAGGTAGTGACTTGCCTGTTTCTTAAACAGACATCGCAGGCAGCCTTTTGCTGCATCCGCAGCAACCACACACGGTGAGGGACTGAATCCCCCATCTCCAGATTGGCCATATTGGGCCTCTGAAGAGCCTGCAACGGCTTCGCCAGAACCTGGTACGGATGGACGTCAGGGTCGCTCTGAAAGTCCAACCAGAAGGAAGAAAGCCTTATACGCAGGTAAAACAGATTGTGGAGATTCCTCAGTGAAACATGTCCCGTCTCTGACAACTTGAATATGAAACCTCTTCTTCCACATGGTTTAACACCAGATGTGTGCTAGGTGCTGCACAGACCATGGAAATGCAGTTCTCTCAAAACTTCATTCGAATGACGACTAGCATGGAGAAAGTTCCAACTGAAGTCTAAAATGGATCTCTTTGTGTGTGTGTGTGTGTGTGTGTGCGCGTGTGTGTGTGTGCGCGCGCATGCGCGCGCCAGAACTTTCTCTTATTATTTGTTTTCCAGTTTGCCTCATTATTGTGGTCCCTTCACTAAAAATAAAATAATTGTGTTTTTAAAATGACACTAAAATATATATATTCAGGTGGTTTGCTGTTTTCTGTATCAGATTGCAGTGGGAAATCTGCAGATTTGTGAACAGCTATGAGGATATAGCGGTGCCAGTGCTATTTTTCTGGAAAAAGAGGTGCCAGAACTCACCATGAACACCCCTCTCATTCTCTTAGAATAGCAATGGCGCCTACCTGAGAGGTGACGAAACTGGGTTCTGTCGAGTTTCGGCTGGGAAAAAAAATCCTGAACAGTGGGATCTGTCCCCATTGATCCTTCCAATGATTCTTTTGCCAACCCTCCCTTTATTAACCTGCTGTGGGGCAAAAAGAGAATCCTGCTTCTAGTTGCTTCTAGTTGCATGTACTGTGTTGCATGTCCTGTTGGTTTGAAGGGGAAAGGAATTCCCTTCGGCCCGCGAAGAGCTGACCTCAGTTCTCCAGTGTAGAAAGGGGTTCTGTGGATGTCAATGGGATGAGAGTCTGGCAAGTTCCCTGTAAGTTTGTGGCATGGAGACATGAAAATCTGAAGGTACAATGCAATTTTATAATGCTCAACAGCATCCTGATTTCTGATTATCTGAAACATCTAAAACTGGACAAAATCAGGGTTTTGAATGAATTAGCAGTGCTATTCCTTACGATTCGCAAGGAAACACAGTGTCTTTTCTTAAGTGGGAAATTCATGTAATTTTTTGGGATAGCACCATGAATGGAGTCTTCCTGAACAGCACAATCCTATTCATGTATACTGTACTCACTAGTGAGTTTCCTTAAGTATTGTGGGACTTACTCTCAGGTAAGTTAACGTACGATTGCACTCTATATCTGAACCTTTCGCATTTTGAACACATCATTAAAAAACAGAAACTCTGGGAGAAAAACTCCTTTGACCTGTTACCTTTTTGAAAATGGCTGTATGGCCCTGTTCCCAAACAGCTGGATTTGCTGCCTTATCTTGGCATGCAAAATCAAAATGTCAAAATTCCAGCATATATATTTTAAACTCTGCCCAGAAGCAGCTATAGCTTCAACTGAGTCACATAGTGAATTGAAAAGTGTAGAGAATTAATTATGGAGGCTGTGCATTTTGTCTGTGGGGAGGTTTCCAGGGCAGTTCTTGCCTAAAGGGCTGGAGGCACTAAAAAGTTCTTTTGCCTTTCAGAATCTGAACAGACTTCTGGTTTGTTATTAAGTTGCTTGTGTGTGTTTGTGAACATCTTTCTGCAGAACAAACAAGGAGCAGCATGCTTAGGACGCAACGCTATGCAGGAAAGCCTTCTGAACAAAGTCCAAATGAAAGAGGATCTCCCGAAAGAAAAAGTAAGCTGTGGCCCTTTTTATTAATGCTTAGGCCTCCATTTGTTTCCGCACGCCTTAGCCCTGTCCATGGAATATCCAGTTAACTGAATATTGAACTGCACTCTGTGCTCCTGAGAGAACGAAACCCTCTCCTCCATCACCTACTGGGTCCTGAGGCCACTGCGGTTATGCAGGGGGGAAGCTGTACAGAAGCCAAGTTTGATTCCTCTGAGCCAGCGGTGGAGAACGTTTATGGCCTGCTGGGCCAGATCTTTATCTCCACTCCTGCCCCCTGTAGACCAACTTGGACAGGTTGGTGGGATCGCCCCCTGTCAAATCATCCAATATCCCATGAAAACCACCCTTATGGGGGAAAGCTCCCTTTGGTGCCCATGGAAGCTTTCTAAGAGCAGGTGGGTAAGACGTCATTTTAATTGCCTCTGGAGGAGGGAAGGATTAAAGCTTAAATATTGAACCTTCTCTCTCAGTGTACAGTGGTTTTTTTTTGTTAAAATAGGGTCTTCCTGTGCTCAGTATTAACTTCTGTTTTCGTTTAAAGCTAGCAGTGCTGCTGCCTGCTGTGCGTTTAATGTAATGTTAAATGCAGTGGCGGGCGTGCTTTCATGCTGGGACTAGAATGTTGTTAGGTGTCTCTTTGGTGTGTGCTCCTGATCTGTGTTTGGCTGCCCCTCCCTGGTGAGCCAATCATGGCTGCAGAGAGAAGGCTGCAAGTGTCGTGCCACACTCCCAAATTCCAGAATAGCCTAACCCATTCCATCAGCTCACTGGGCCCTGGGCCTGTCACCTGGGCAGAGCAGCCAGGTGGAGTGGCTGTCTCAAGAGCCTTCCAACTGTCTGGCTTTCCCATCTATTCTTTGGTCTGCCTGTGCCTCACCCTTGCCCTTCTAACTTTGGTCTCGGTTCGTTTGGGACTTAGGCCCCCTTTGCACTGTACATTTAAGGCAGCGTCATGCCACTTTAAACTGTAGCTCCGTGAGGGACATAGGGGGTCTTCTAATGACTCTCAGCACCCTTGACCAACTACAGTTCCCAGGATCCTTTGGGGGAAGCCATGACTATTTAAAGTGGTATGATACTCCGTTAAATGTGTAGTGCAGACGGGACTTTATACTCTAGGCAACCCTGTGCTCCTGACTGTTCGTTCCCCAGTACTGGCACATGTGAAATGACACAATAATCTTGTTTTTAAGTGCCCGCTGCAGAGAAGACACAAGATAAAAAGATAGATAAAGAGTAAGTAGATTTGATGAACTTGATTTTGGAGGGGGGAGGGGTATTTTTGAATGGGTTTCAATGTCTCATTTATTTTCTCCTTCTGTCTTTTAAAAAGCCCTTTAGATATCCCTTCTGCTAAGTGGCTGAAGACTCATGGTTTGGTTGCTAGGCGACTCACCATAATGGATGCTTTGGCCCCAACAGCTGTTCCTCGCACAACCAAATACATTCCGATTCTAGACAAACATGTTGTTTCAAGAGTATTTGATGATGTAAGTCTCTTAGTTGTTTCTGGGGAAACTCCACATCAACAGAGTGACTCTGAATCAAGCAAGGATTCAGGTTGTGTTGAGTATGTTCCCATTTTGATATCTGGGACTGTTGACGGGGATAAGAGAGCGTCCAGAAATATTTCACTGTAAACCCTTTAATTGCAAGGACAGTCTCCTTTCCTTCACAATCCTATATTTCTTGCCATCCTTACCTCTTTTGTGCTGTTCCTCCTTTCTGGATCAAGTCACATGTGTGATCCCAGCCAATTGAGGATCATCTAGTCAATTGCATGATGTCAAGATGCTATGCAGCCAATCAGATGTGACTGCCTGGGGGCATATGAAGTCAGTTAGGAGAGAAGACAAACTTTTTAAGGCATTGCTGATAGTCTTATTGGGTGCTTTAGCTGGGATTCCTACATTGCAGGGGGTTGAGCTAGATGACGCTTGGGTCCCTTCCAACTATGATTCTATGATTTGTCTAATCGTCTTTTAAAGCCATCCTGATAACGTGTGAGTTTTCAGTGTATGTACCTGAAATAAACAACAGTTTTAGGAAAGGGATTAGTCTCTGAGAAAAGTTAATTTCTGCTTTGGATTAATGCTGTTTCTGATGCAGTGCCAATCTCCCGCAAAGTTTCACGGCCCCATTTTGAGGGCAAGGGCATGGGAGTGAAATGAATCAATGCTTCAGCTCGCATGTCTGACATCTCTGTGCTGATGGCCATCATTCTCTCCCCCCCTCCCGAAATTTCAAGGGGCATAAATACAGACGGTCATTTACCCTCTCTAGGTTCAACGTGCTGCCATCTGCCTTATTGCAGGGCAGATTCGAGGGTAAACCATACGTGGAACGAGTCTGCCCCTGCGGCTTGGTGGAGGTAGAAACTGTCTCTCATGCCTTGTTACGCTGCTGTTTCTACAGGGATATACGCTCGGTATTTATTACCCCTGCTATGCAAAAATCTCCAAATGAATCTGAACTTCAATGTCTAAAATCCCTGGTAGAGGACAAGGATCCTGAGATCACATTAAGGGTAGCCAAATTCTGTGCGTTTGCCATAAAACTTAGGGAACAAGCTGTGCTATCCTAATGATTAAGGCCTTAAATAATAATTTTAGGTTATATGTTAGTGACTAAGTTTTAATTTATATATTTTTTAACTGTTGCTATATCTGTAGTGTCCCTGTTATATCTAATTGCAAATTCAAATGAATCCCTGTTGTGTTTTATGACTTCCTTGATATTGTATGTGGGCTGGAACTGGTCTGTGACCAAAATAATAAATTCAAGGGGCATTCTGTGGGGGGAATGGTTGCCCCCTGGCTACTAGAGATAAGCTGGGGGGAGCGCTAGTGAGTTTTGCATCTCCACCAGTGAAGTTCACCTCTGCCCTCACACCCTCACAATTCTACAGTTTCTCACAAACCTTTTTGTAGTCAACACCCCCCCTCCCCTGTTGTTGTTGTTGTTGTTGTTCACTTTTCCCAGTCCAGGATTCCTTTAATTGCATTTCCTCCCTTTTTTACCAATAGGTGGCAGTGTACTAACATCTTGTTTTTCAAATACTGACTCTGGGTCACAGATCACTTAGGTTGCATGTGAAGCCACTGGCACGCCAACATTTTGCGCTTGGTGAGCCAGCCTGGAAAAGAGACTGAGCTCTGTGGGATCCCTGAATTCTTGAGGCTTCATTGTGGTTTCTAAAGTGCTTTAAAGAACAACCACCTTAGCAGCGCTTAGCTTATTTCTTCAGTTGCTATTTAGCTAAAGTTGTTAATGTTTTATTGATTATAAACGCTGTATTGATTTTGCTGTAATTGTGATGTTCAGCTTATTTTTAAGTTCCTTTTTTGTTATTAGTGTTTTGTAGATTATAATAGTTTTTACTGATGATTGGTTAATTGATTTGTGCGATTTATGCTGCATTTGTGACGTTCTATTAGGTTTGTTGTTGTTGTTTAGTCGTTTAGTCGTGTCTGACTCTTCGTGACCCCATGGACCAGAGCATGCCAGGCACTCCTGTCTTCCACTGCCTCCCGCAGTTTGGTCAAACTCATGCTGGTAGCTTCGAGAACACTGTCCAACCATCTTGTCCTCTGTCGTCCCCTTCTCCTTGTGCCCTCCATCCTTCCCAACATCAGGGTCTTTTCCAGGGAGTCTTCTCTCTGTGCAAATGGTTAAACGGCAGGGACTTAAGTGCCTTCCATTTGGTTAGCTTTATTCCTTATTTGGGCACCACATTCATCTAGTGGCGTTCTGCCACTTACAGAAATCTAGTAGATATGGCACAAAGGGAATGTGGAGGGAAGAGGAAAAATAAGCACACAGAGACACCGGTTGAGACATAATAGTTACAACGAGCTTGTAGAGTGAACTCCTGCTTTAATTTTGCTGTGGTATGTTAATGTGGGGTGGTAATAAACCCAGCAGTACACAGACGTTAGCCCACTGTTATTGTATGAATCACAGCGACACCTGGCAGCATTTTGGTAGTATTTTAGATTTCCCATGAGGTCTTCAGTAGATGGCCTCCTCTGTGTGCCCTCACCATCTGAATGTGAGGTGAGTCAAATGCTGTCCCCAGAGAGAATCATAGAGTTGTAGAGTTGGAAGGAATCCTGAGAATCACCTAGTCCAACCTTCTGCAGTGCAGGAATATGCAGCTGTCCTGTATGGGGATCGAACTTCCAGCCTTGGCGTTATCAGCACCACGCTCTAACCAGCTGAGCTATCCAGGCTGAGGTCTGCTTGGTGCCTACTTTGTTTTCATGTCAGCCCTTGCGAAAGGCTTCTTTACTGTTTAAAGCTGCTTGGATTTTACTGTTTTATTTCTTGTTGGCTTATAGTTATTTTTAGCTAAATTGTAATTTGTTAACTGCCTTTTTCTATTGTAATCCCCCACCCTGCCCCCTGGAAGCGTACCTATAATTGCTAGGTAAACAATCACATGTGCTGGGGATTTGTGGGCTGGTAGCATTCAAAGCTTTGTTTTTGTTCCCTACTTAGCCTAGTTAGACTCAATACATTCCATGGCTGTGCATGCTTCAGAATTTGACAGTGACAAGTTTCAAAGGCCTGATCCTGTGTTTCTGCGGCAGGTTCTCCCCTTTGCCCATGTGAGCAACAATAAGAAATATGTCACGCTGATCAATCCTCAAGCAGTGGATCTTGATGCTTATAAGAAGAAGTTGCAAGAAGCAATCAAAGTGTATGAAAGGCAAGTCTACTCTTGTACACACAAAGTATTTTTATTAATTGACATTTTCAAGACTAGGACATAAATAAATGTAATATGCAAGATACATTTGGCCATTAATATTTATTAATACTCCATTAGTTATTCATAGAGTTGATTTTAGGCATTTGGAAATAATGCATTTATCTTCCTCAAAGTTTTTAACTTGCTTTTCAAGACAGAAATGTGTTTTCTGCTCCTCTCTAAGATTGGTTGGCATTTTGGGGGAAGACAACTGTACGATTTGAATTTCTTCAGCTGTAAAATAGCATTATATATTTGAAACAGTTACTGTTTTCCCTATGGGACTTCTCCAAGCTGGAATATCAAGAGGACAAATTTCAATATGGAGCTGTTTGCAAATGACCAAGCAATAACTCTAAATGTCTCTCACAGCAGCTGTTCAGGCTTGTCTATTACGCCACGAATGGTACATTATATTTCTGCAAATTGAATTTGCAGGGGTTGAAGCGCAAGTTTCTGAATCGCGATAGGTCGAACTTTTATTTGATGCCTGCCAAATTGTCCAATTTGTCTTTGCACGGAAAAGCTTTAATGAAGAAGGACGCATGACATTAACTCGTCCTCCTCGATAAATAACCCAAGCGCTATTAGCATGATATTTAGTTGAAGCAAAAAATGGCAGTAACAATAATGCCATACCTTCCAGAAAGAAGGAGAATTTTTCCTGCTGGGCAGTGAATGACACCCCACCCCACCCCCGAAACAAAGAGATCTTAAAACTACAGTGAATTATTGTTTGGAATAATCACAGGCATAAGAAAAGGAGCAGGTGGCGAACAGAAAGCAACATGTGCCCTTCAGAAATAAATATCCCGAGGCTGTCAGATTTTATGCCTGTAAATAAATTAGGGAATCTGAGTATGTGACACAAAAATTATCCTGGAATGCTTCATTATACCCTGGAATGCACAAATGCCCTTGGCATGCTGTCGTAGCTCTGGCCCCTGACTGCCAAAACGATGCACCTGTGGTTCAGAGAGAGACGGGGTTAGTTCAGGACTGCTGCCAAATTCCTTCCGGGGGAGCTGTGCTGCACCTGAGGGCTCTTCACCAGACCCGTTTCATGGGAACAGACCTCCCAGAAGCTGCCATTCTGCAGGTCCTCTTGGTATCCTTTTTTTACCACAGGGATGGAGAACATCTGCTGCCTCCCAGATGCTGTTGGACTCCACTCCCATCAGCCAACAGCCAGGAATTGTGGGAGTTGTAGTTCAGCAGCGTATGGAAGGGCCACAGGTTCCGCATCCCTGCTTTACCGAAACCGTTGAATGATTTGATTTGTTGGTTTACCTTCAAGGTGGCACTTAATTGTTTCAGCAGGCCTTCAGTAGAAAACCACCACATATCCTGTTAGTGGAGTAGTAGCTTGCTACCAGACTGATAAAATCGAAAGGAAAAGCCATGGCTCAGTAGGAGAGTATATGCATTGCAAGTTCAGTTCCCGGTATGTCCAGTTAAATGGCCAAGTAGGAGATGATGGGAAAGACCACTGTCTGAGACCCTGGAAAGCCCCCCACCCCAGCTTCAGCTCCTTGAGGGTCAATTGTCCCACTAGAATGATGTGCAATGCAGATTCCAGCCCCCTCTACTCCCATGCATGAGTAGAAGCACCTTCAGATTACATAGGACATCTGTAGACCAAGCCATTGTGTGTTATATGTGAAGCCAGCATCAATCCTGACCAACTAATGTTTTATCAGCTGTGTGGCTTGTTTATATTACTCTGTACTGGATGGAACTCCCAATGGAACAGCATTGTGCAGGCTACAGTGGGAATTCACCTGCATTCTTCCACGTCCCTGGTTGTGTCACATTGTTACTGTGAAAAGCAATGTTTTCCTGATGCCTTTGTTTTCAGAGGATAATTTTGAATTTCATAGTTGGCCGATGAGGACAGCTTGACACTTCTTTTTTAAGGCCTCTCAGAGTACAAATTTGCCACAGGTCTCCCTCCCCTATTTTAAAAAGAATGGAGTGTTCTGTTTTATTTAATCTCGTTAAGTGCACTTACTGTGCTCTGAGAAACTGTTGTGTTTTCATTAACAGGCGACTTGATCAGCTTATTTGGAGAGCGTTACCCCAGGAGGAAAAAGACAAGTAAGATGCTGCCTTCTTGCTTTCCAGCTCAAGAATTTTATTTTTATTTTTATTTTTAAAAAGTATAGATGGAATGGGAGCCACTGTTTCATGTCTCCATTGGAAGTGCTCCTTGAGTTTTAGGCATTTTATTTCATGCTTTTTAAAATCATCTCTATAGTGCAGGGGGGAGGCTTTTCTGTTGAGGGCCACAGTCCCTTAGGGAAAGCCTGTCAGGGGCCATATGCCAGTGATGGGTGGGGCTGGAGGTAAAAGTGGGTGGGGCACCCCCTTTTCTTTCTGTTTGACCTCTCTCTCTCTGTTTTCTGTCATCTACTTTTGACTTATCTCCCTTCCTTGCTATCTTCATGAAACTTCACTGAGGGTTGCAGGTTGCCCCTCCCCCCCACGCACCCGGACTCTAGTGGCTCCAAGATCCATAAGGGGTTGCCAGACCCTCCAAGTGCCCCTGTTTTCAAGATTTACAGAAGCCGTCCCGCTTTCTGATTTGATCCTGGAAAGTCCTGCTTTTCCTTAGGACGACCCTCTTTTCATCAGAGAAATGTTGGAGAAATGAAAGCAGCCCTGTATAGGGAAGGTTTTTTTATTAAACTTTTTAAAAATGTTTTTATGTATGTTGGAAGCCGCCGCCTAGGGCTACCCAGTGTCTAGGGCTACCCAGTGTTTAGGGCTACCCAGTCAGATGGGTGGGGTGTTATTCTTATGGAAGAGGATGTCCCTATTCTCACTGGAGAAATGTTGGAGGGTATTGGTTGTGGCTAATATGAAATGATGTCATATTTTTCATGTATGCAAAGCATCACTTGATGTTGCATCTCCTTGTCGGTGAGGATGCCTCTCATGACTGGGCACATAAGAAGTGTACACAGCCTGTATCAATAGCCTGATATGTTTAATTTTGCAAAGTTCTAGCCTAATTTGCATGAATTAGTTAACACAGTCTGTGCTTACGTAATGAGTTCTGTCAGGAGCCCATTCATACTTGATTTGCTGGAGCAAGTGGAACCCTATTGGGCCCTTCTGTCACCTGACCCTTGCTGAGTTGGTAGCTGTGGTACTTCCTTTTCTTGCAGTGTATTGGAGCAACCTAGCTACAGCCCCTGCACCAAGCTCAAGGGTACCCCACATAGACTGCATGACGGTAATCCAAAACTTGAGGATATCAATGCATGGACAACTGTGCTCACACTATTCTGGTCCAGGAATGGCTGTAGCTGTCTTACCAGCAGAAGTTGGTAAAAGGAACTCCTAGCCACTGAGGACACCTTAGCCTCTGGTGACAGAGCTGAATCATGGAGCAGTCCCAGACTGCACTCCTGTTCCTTCAAGGAGAGTTCGACCCCATCCAGGGCAGCCAACTTACCTACTTCCCAGACCCAGGAAACACTCACCCACAGAGCCCTGTCTTGCCAGAAGTCAGTTTATTAGTCCTCGTCCAACCCACCAATGTATAGTTTTCTCATAGTACCACAGTATGATCAAAATGAAGATAAGTCCCACCTTACTTGATTGGAAAAGAAGGTCTGCTTAGTCCAGCATTCTGCTTCATGAAGCAGTCACCCTTATTATTCTGGCACTTTGCAAACAGGACATGAAGGGAAGTGCCTTTCTTTGTCCCCAGCAGCCGGAATGCAAATGTATACTGTGCTTGTATAGGTACTGTTATTTTTGCTTACATCATGGAACCCAAGGCAGGTCTCAAGCGACCTCCCATCCAAGCAATGACCAGGCCCAGACCTGTTTAGCTTCAGCAGGGTAGTAGTCTTAAGTGCCTTCAGATTGTACCCTGGGAGGTTCCATTTACCTGTCATAGCTAAGAGCCCCTTGTTGACCTCTATGAATTTGCCATCATTTTTCGTCGTGGGGGCTCCGTGCTTTTAACAACAGCACAAAACAGCCAAGTTCAATAGTTGCAACTTTCCCCATCATCATACTTCCCAACCTGGGAAGCCTCCAGAAGTCAAAGCGAAGCTGTCTAGAGGAGGCTGCTGAGGCTGCTGCTTGTTCTTCCTTAGTGGCATAGGAGAGCCAGGAAAAAAATATCGCACCTGGCAACCAATGTACCCTTTTGGTTTCAGATAGTACATGGGTAGACAAGTCTATAAACCCCGGGACGCAAATTTTCATGCCCCTCTAGTGACTATGGTGGCTCATTGATCAGAAGTAATGTATTTTGCATTAACTCAGGAAGTGTATACTCGATTCTGACCAAACCTAATCCTCCTGATGTCTATTGTAAACTCTTCAACTGGTTGATCATGACACCCACAACATACGTAGATGTCAGGGATTGGACTGAGGAGGAATGGTGGGGACCGCCCCCCTCTCTCGCTGAACCTTCCCCAGAAGAGGAGGACAGTATAGATTTAGAGCAGTGGTTTGCAGAAGGTCATAGTTCAGAGGCTGCAGAAGGGAGAAGCTGGGAAATATTGGGAGAGCAGCAGGAAGAAGAAGCACCAAGAGAGAGACAGATGACAGACTCAGTGTCTTTAGAAAGCATTCATGACCCCTCCTCTCCCAGGACCAGGCGTGCCTTGAGAGTAGTAGAACAGAAAGCTCAGAGGCAGAAAGCACTGGTCAGCTGGCACAGGGACTAAGGGGGTGGGACTTTACTTGGAGCAACACCATTATCTAAGAGAGACCACATTCCTTCATCTCTCTCTGTGATATTGAATACATCACTTGGTAAGAACTCTTCTTGTTTATCTGCTTCTTGGTTGACACAGTGGGAGGGATAGGATTCCCTTAAGCCTGACAGTATCCTCTTGTTATGTAGCCTCAGAGTGCAAGTCCCGTTTTCGCTTTTAGGTTCGAACAGAACAAGCCGGTCTCGTATATAGAACGTAAGGAATCTTTGCTCCAGGCCTTAGAAAATGCGAGTTGGCCCATTTCCTACGAAGAGGTGATGTTGTTGGAAGATGAGATTCTGACAGGATTAACGTATGAACAGCAGGCCATTGAACTTAAAGAAGCTTCCAAAGAGGAACCCCAAAGAATCTGTCCCCTTCGGATCTGCCCTGCTAAACAGGTAGGTGGTATTTCATTACTTATTTATTTGAGAGGTGTTTTTTTTTAATAAGAAATGCACAAGGCAGCTTGCAAAAAAAAAAAAAAATCAATAAAATGCAAGAAAGAAACACAATCTTAGGGACGAACTGAAAAGCCAAAGTGAAGTGCATTTTAAAAGAGCAGTAGAGTACACACTTCACTAGCAATGCCACCAACATAATTTTCAAGCATAACCAACATATTGAAAATATTCGGGTTTTTAAAGTTTGCGGTAGCTTTGTTTGGCATGTTTTGCGTATATATGGAAATAAAAGATGGAAAGGAAATGATATAGCATGACTTTATCATGAAGAGAAAAAAAAAGATCTCTTTTCTTGAAAAGAAACCCTTAAAATTTAATCCTGGTGACCTGCAAAGGTCACCAAATAAGTTTTGGGCTTCACTGGGTATTTGAACCCAGAATTCCTCATGCACAACATTACATCCAGCAGCAACAGCAGATGGGCACTGGGTTGCCACTTTGTGCCCTATCATAGAATCCTAGAGTTGGAAGGGACCTTGAAGGTTGTATTGCTCAGTGCAGGATCTACAGTGCAAGATGCAGTTTGAACCACCCCTGACAGATGTCCATCCAGCCATTGTTTAAATACCTTCTGGGAAGGAAAGTCCATCACTTCCTTCTATTTGAATTCTCTGGTTTAATAAGCCAGATTCGTAACCCATGGTTATGAAACTAACCATGGTTGGCTTCTTATGAAGATGACCAGAGCTTGTTTTCAACCAAGAGCCATGGCTCTAATCTGGGATTCAGTATACCTGAAGTGGAAGCAGGCAGAGGTTCTCCTCTCAGCCATGTGGGAGGAGGTGAGGAAATGCAAGCCCAACACTTGGTTTGGGCTTGTTGCAGCTCATCCCTTTAGCGCCAAACCATGGTTTACTCTTGTGAGTGAACGCAGCATCTGTACATTACTGTGATACTCCCTCTGAGAAAGACCAGACAAGAAATGTGAACAGTGAAACTTCCCGGTGTATGCCGGTCACTTGCAGCATTATTCCTTTTCTGCACTTAAAAAATGTTATCTAATTGAAATGTTGAGGACTGCAACCTTAGTAGCAAAGGTGCTTGCTTGCTTGCTTCCCTTGAAGTGAGCGATGTTTAGAGCCAAACTGAGTGCTGTGTTACATGTTGAGGAGTGAGATACTACTTTATAAAATATATAAATGGTAACATTTGTGCGTGATGGTTCGTCTCCTACAAGGGTGCATTGTATTGGGCTTAGACAGATATGCATGACTGTAACTGACATATACTCGGAGTCCTGTAGTGATTTCATGCTCTTTATTGCAGCTTGTAAAACAGTGATTAAATTGCCCCCCAAACCTCAGGCTTTTATATACATTATTTACACAATGAGTCCCGTTTGATTGGCTGATTCTGCTTCCCTCCTAGAGCCTGATTGGTCTTTTCCTGCAGGCCAATCAGTTGTTGCATTCTACAATCCTACCAGCCTAATAGGCTGATTAACTTCCTCCTGGAGCCTGATTGGTCTTTTCCTGCAAGCCAATCAGTTGTTGCATTCTAGGATCCTACTTGCCTATTGTTCTAGGATCCAAGCTTAGTACATAACAGTAACCTTTTGATAAAATGAAAATGTTGTTTTCTTTGTGCGCATAATGGGGATGGAGCAGCTTTCACTGGCACTTTCTAAACATACCAGGGATGTGAGTTTCCTTAAACCTCTTGTGCAGGGAAACGGCAGCACATTTAGCAGCCAGTTTGGCTTTAAATATCACTCATTTGTATGAAATAGCCACCTGCTACTTGGAGAGGAAATGATGCTCTACGCTTTGATTGACTGATGTAATCTGTAATTTCAAATGGACAGTTGATAAATGAAAAATTTCGCCCAGCAGGATTATGCTAAATCAACCATTCAGTCAGGGAAACAAAAAAATTATTGAGGAAAGTGTTATTAAAATGCTAATAAAGCTTCTTCCTTATTTCTTTTTAAAAGCTCTTTGGCAAGCATTACAGAGGGAGCTTATCTTTTGAGAAAAGGCCAGACCTCTGGCAGATTTCCAATTGTGTATTTCTTTCAATCTTAACAAAGTGAAAAGCTCTCATTTTGCTACCGGTTAAACAAGAGATGGCTTATGTTCAAATGAGGAGAGCTTTAGAAAAGTGCCCTTATCTTACCTACAAATGCCTACTCAGAAGACCTCTAGTTCAGTGGAATTTGTTCACAAGTAAGCATGCATAGGATTGCGGTTTTGATCACATAAACCAGAGCCTTCCAACTGTGTGTCGCGACACATTAGTGTGTCTGCTGCAGTGTGTAGTGCAAACGTTCCCCGCACTCCTCCTGGGGCTGGAAAGGGGTTTGTTTAACCTCCAGTTTGCTGGCGAAATTGAATTACCGTGTCGCGAAATGATGCATGTCTAAAAAGTGTGTCACCAACATTTAAAGTTTGGAAAGCTGTGACCTAAACGATCAACGCTTCTACAGCATAGTGTGCCACATGAAGTAGAAATAAGATACAGTTGTACCTCAGAAGTCGAACGGAATCTGTTCCGGAAGTCCGTTCGGAAGCTGCGGAACCTGCATTGGATGTTTGGGTTCCAAAAGAACGTTCGCAGACCGTAACACTCACTTCTGGGCTTGTGGTGTTTGGGAGCCAAAGTTCAAATCGCAAGGCGTTCAACTTCCGAGGTATGACTGTACTGGCTCTTAAGAGCTGAGAGAGGGCATTTTGGGGCACAGCCCTGTCCTTCAAGGAAAAATGGTATACAATTAATAAAGGAGAGGTGTCAGACTGAGGAAAGGACCTAGAGGGATACTAGGGACCATCACAAACATCAGACAGCTGTAGAGACCACCCAGAGTCAGCTCTGTAGTCAGTCACTTCCCTGAGGCTTCCTTTTTGGGTTTTGGTCCCTCAACACAGCCACCTAAATTTCACAAAGCATGACTGCAAGATGTCTCCTCCCTGTAAGGACACAGCTACACAGCAGCATCTTGGTCACCTCACAGCCCCTCTGTCCTTGATCCTCTCTGCCGTGCATCATGCCTTACCAGTCTTCTGACATGTGGGTCAGTTCCCCACAGGCACCCCCCTCCCTGTCAGCCTCTGCATAACAAATATCCACATGATGCCTTGGAATGACTGAGTGTGTGTCATCCCCACAGGCAGAGGAGATCCTTTCTAATTCTGCATTTCAACTCTGCCACTGAAAAGTTGCTTCATGCTAGTATGGCTCACCGTGAATGGTGCTTGTAAAAAGGGCTGGGGGGGGGGAGAGCTGGCTTAATAATAATGATTGAAGATAATATCCGGTGCCCTTGAATCTCTAAAATCTTTGATATATCCTAATAAAAATAGGAAGCGTCCATTAAGTGAGTACGGTAGCTGTTGATAATCTTCCTCTAACCCACCAGTTCATTCCTCCGCTCTGCAGGAGCAGAAACATTTCTGCACTTTACCAGTTCCTTCTGGTGTGTTTCCCTCCTGCTGTCCTGACATGCCAACATATGCTACTGACTGCGATGTGATTAACACCGTGCAATCACTTATCCTGAGACAACCTGCATTAGCAGCCTAATCAGAGCCCCATCTTCAGTAATTGCTAATCTGCAGCTGCAAAGCTTCAGGACTGAGTGGTAGAAATGCAGGTGTCATTCAGAAATGGTGTTGAGCTCAGGATAGAAATGACATGTTTCAAACAATGGCTTGTCCCGTCCCCCCCCCTCATTTTTTATTTGTCTTGCCTAAATGTATACTTAACTTATTTTGTGCACACACCCTAAACAGGAGCTATACTCAACATGACTTGATGTTAGAAAAAGATGTTTGGCAAGGTACATTTCCTTTGTATATTAGTGAATGCAATGCTGTTTACTTGGAATTTAAATCTTTGGACAAATCTGGACAAATCTGATTTTTTAAAAAGCACTGAGGAGATGGCCTATTAAAGCTGAAAGAGAAATAGTAACCTTTTATGGCTGACCTTAGCAGTTGCCTATCTGTTCAGACCTACTGCTGAATTAATGTAAGCTATCAAAAAAAGCTGGAAAGTTGGTATTGTTAAGCTTGTGGGTAGAGTTGCACCATTGCTGTTGTTTGTACAGATGGCTAAAAGATCTTTGTTGTTTAGTCGTTTAGTCGTGTCCGACTCTTCTTGACCCCATGGACCAGAGCACACCAGGCACTCCTGTTTTCCACTGCCTCCCACAGTTTGGTCAAACTCATGCTGGTAGCTGTCGTCCCCTTCTCCTTGTGCCCTCCATCCTTCCCAACATCAGGGTTTTCCAGGGATTCTTCTCTTCTCATGAGGTGGCCAAAGTATTGGAGCCTCAGCTTCAGGATCTGTCCTTCCAGTGAGCACTCAGGGCTGATTTCCTTAAGAATGGATCGGTTTGATCTTCTTGCAGTCCATGGACTCTCAAGAGTCTCCTCCAGCACCATAATTCAAAAGCATCAATTCTTCCGCGATTAGCCTTCTTTATGGTCCAGCTCTCACTTCCATAGCTTTAACTATACGGACCTTTGTCAACAAGGTGATGTCTCTGCTTTTTAAGATGCTGTCTAAAAGATCTACCGAGCCTCAAAACAGAGTTACGGAGGCACTGACGACTTCTTCTAGAAGGCAGAAATGTGCAGAGCAGATTTTTTTTTGTCTGAAACAGATTCCATAAAAGTCAGATCACATAAGTTTAGACTAGGTTGCCTTAGATCAGAAAATGAAATGTTATTGTAATTGCAAAAGCATAAAGGAGGAAGAAGACTTGGCATTTAATAGAGCACCTTTCAAGTGTTAGCACATTTCGCACATCCATGGCACTGATGAAGAGGGTTACAGAAAATGAGTATTCAAAGCTAGTAGCTTTAAGAGGGATTGGGAACATTTTCTGCTTCCCTTGAAAGAGTAGATTCTTTGAGCTAGATTCAGTTGTTCCCTCAGCATGGATCCCAATAATTTGGTTTGAGGGGATGCTCAGAGGGTTGGGTGGGTTCTTCCACTAATAGAGGAATAGGGGCAGCTATTTCCCTGATCGACCCTCTTTCCCCTGTTGCTCCCAAAAACCACCTTTCAGAGGGTCCCTCAAACCTTTGGAACAAATTGGGTGTGGGTATTAGGGGCTGCAGTGGGAATGGTGAATGAAAATGCCCTTTCTGCCCTCAGAAGCTTTCACTGGATCAAAAACCAATATGTGGGTGGAACAGCAGCACTCAAAGTTTCTCCTCCTGAGATACCTGCTTTTCATGCTCCAAGGCAGCTGCAGCATTTATTATCTCTCCAATGTCACATAGCCTTTTCTTGTCTAGCCTAGATTATTTCCCCCCCATTTGCTGGTGATATATTTTATTCTCCATCCCATTTTGCCCCTGGAGCAGCTATTTGTTTCCAAAGACATGATTAGAGCAAAACGTTCTGCTGTTCATGAGGTTGATGGGGTCTTGGCCAGGAAAGGACCCCATCGTGGTTTTATTCTACAAAAGAAGATTTGAAACTGTAGGAACATAGAATCATAGAGTTGGAAGTGACCACAAGGATCATCTGGTCCAACTCCCTGCAATGCAGGGATCTTTTGTCCAACGTGGGGCTCAAACCCACAACCTTGAGATTAAGAGTCTCATGTTCTGCTGACTGAGACATGAAGCTGATTTATTTTGAATCAGACCATTGGTTCCTTCAGTCATATTTCCCAACCTGATTAGCAATGGCTGAAGAGAAATTCCCTGTAGAGAACTTCCCTAGCCCTGTAATGATATATTTGCCACTGGAAGTCCTGGGGAATGAATCTGGTATCATCTATATGCAAAGCATCTGCCCTACCACTGATCTACAGCCCCCCATTTGACCAATAAGTCATTCTGAACGCTAGCTGTTCTTAAATATTACATTGAAAAGTGCTAAGCGCTTACTACTAAAGCTGCAAAAGTTTTGTTTTATGCATATTGCCCCACTGTATGCCCTTTTTTCTGTTGTTGTTGTTGTTGTTGTTGTTGTTGTTGTCTAGTTATGATGTACATCTCAAGAACTGGGGGTGGGCAAATCTCTCTCTTTCTCATTTATATGCAACACAGAAATTTTCATCAAAGCTACAGGAAAAGAAGCCGCAGAAAGGGAAAAGGGTTGATGCTCTCAAGGGCCACAAGGTCATTGCAAGATCAGAAAGCACGGGATTTTACTACCCAGGTAATTACATTGTAAATAGTAGTTTGTTTGGCTTGGAATTCTACCCTAAAACCAGTGTCAAGACCTGGCGTGTGGATGGGAGTCCTTTGGAGCAGGAAGTGATAACTAATCAGCCAGGATAGTTACCAAATGTAATATTTAGCTCGCAATGCAGAGATATTACATAGTTGGCAATGCTGGTTCAAATGTTTAGGATCTATACATATTTTGAGGAATGGGCATTAATGCCTATGTGGGGGTATATGCTTACGTGTGTGTGCAGAATTTTCAAATCTTGGCAGTGTGCAGTGGGGAAGAAAGGAAGGACGCACATGGGACTGTCAGGGGCACCTGTTACCATAGAACTGTCGGAACTTGCGTTCGACAGAGCTACTCCTCCAGTCGAGCCTTCGGAATCTCCTCCGACGATGATTAACAACCTGAAACTTTGATAAGGCTGCAGGCATGTTCTCCATTCATCAGAGTATCAAACACAGCAGAAGAGATGAGAGGTTTGAGCTACATTGCTAGGTTTCATTTCTAACTACGCAGACAGAAAAGAAATATACATGCTTTCTCTGTGAAAGCAGAGAGCAACCGAAAAACAAAGGAACAGGAAACCAGTAACATCACATCCATCTCCTGTCTTCCGTGAGACTTCCAACAGCCTGGAATCTCTGGAATGCAAAACAGAGTCTTGTGACTCCAAGCACTGCACAGTGGCATAAACAGAAACTAACATCCTCCCCCTTTCTGTGAACACCACTGGGCAGTGTGTCAGTACAATCTCAGTACAAACCTAGTTTCTGTACATAGGTACAGTGTTGATCCCTTGGAACAACCTTGGACAATAAATCAGCAGGAATTTCATTACCTGGCCTTAAAATTGGAATAAATATCTTTTTTTTTTTTTTAAAAAGGAATTTCATTACCTGGCATATAGGACACCGTTACGAGTCCTTTCTGGACACATTCTCTAGCATGTTGCAGCTTCAATTGCAAGTGCTTTGTGCTTTGCTTACAACCTTCAAAAGTCAGCAAAGCCAAACATGCTTTGTTGTCCTGATAAACCTGGATTGGACACTTTACAGGAATTCTCATGTCTCTACACAATTGTAACAACCATTCACAATCCACAAGTGAATAAGATAGTGCATTCAGTTCAGCTTCACAAGAACTTAAGCTTACTGTTGTTTGCTTCTTGCACGACCAATCAAATAGACCCTGGTTGTACATGGAATCTCTGGAATGCAAAACAGAGTCTTGTGACTCCAAGCACTGCACAGTGGCATAAACAGAAACTAACAAGAACTGGAAGCAACCTTAAAAGTTACCCATAGTCCAACCCCCTCCCAATGCAGGCAACCTACTATTACAGACTTAACACAAATGCTGTATGTGAGACTTGGAAACTTGTACCGAATGCTGAAGTTCTTCCCTCTTACGTATCCACTGTTGGCTGTGCATTCAGTGGGTTTGAGAATGTGTGTGCATAAGAGCCATTGCAAAGGAGGAAGGATCCTTGTTTCAAGCAGCTCTGTGTGCATACATTGGTACGCGTTCAAGTTCCCTTTCCGCACTTTCTAAACGCATGACTGAGGGTGGATCTAAACACAGGGAAAAGAACGTGCTATGATTAAGTCAGAAATTAGATCGTTTTAACCAGTGCTTTTTTTCTGGGGGGACGCAGGGGTACGCATACCCCTAAACATTTTGTGAGTCTAAGTATGGCCTCACTGAGGGGCAGTATTTCAATATGAGTAGGGAAATGAGAGTACCCCTAAACATTTTTTTAAAGAAAAAAAAGCACTGGTTTTAACAAAAGAAAAAAAATCTCTATGGAAAACCGCATTTAAAAAATTTCCTGCTATCTGGCTCCATCCGGTGTCACATGTTTATAGTGCCTTCAGATTGCTGTTTCTTTACTAATGTAGCCGAGTCCTGAATGTAAGAACATTCTAATGGACCTGGATAATGTCCCATCTAGTCCAGCGTTCTGTTCTCACAGTGGCCAACCAGATGCCAATGGAGGGCCTGAACCCAATTGTGATTTTCGGCAATTGGCATTTAGAAGTATACTGCCTTGACAGTGGAGGTAGAGCATAGCCATTGTGGCTGTTTGCTGTTGAGAGGGTGGCACAGCTACCCTCTGTGCCCCCCCTCATGCTGCCTTTTAACATGTGAAAGCTGAACACCGCTCAGGTTGCAACCAGTTGTGGGGCCGGAATTAGGAACACATTAGATTTTGTTATCCATTGGTTCATGTCACCCAGGACTGTCTGCTTTAGCTAATGTCAGTTTTCCAGTATTTTCCACAACCCCAAGGAAAGGGGTCTTTCCCAGTTCCATTAGTTGTGATCTGTAAATGGAGCTGCCAGCAGTTGAGCTGCCTCATCTGTAGTCAGTGCATATGCTCTGCACTGAGCTTTGAAAACCAGTTTTTAAAGAAAGCTGTTTCCATTTATTTCGCATGCTGCAAAGCACAGCATGTAATCTGAATCATGGATTGCTTTCTCTCTCCTGGTCTTTGTTTTAGGGACGGTAATACGAACCATCACTCCTTTTTACGCACTTGTTGATTTCAACTGTGGGCACACGGAGATCGTCCCCTTGAAGTTCATTATACCTGTGGGGGGTGCAATGCCTTGTCCATCCTTGCAGGTAGGCGATTTACCATTTCTGAAGTGCATGCATGTTCTCCTCTACATAGTTCTTTCTTAAAGGAATGCACCCCCTTCCTTTTAGCTCATCCAAGTTGCCCGGTCTTTTTTACTGGGTGAAAATGGGACCAGAGCAGGCGAACTTACCTGTCTGAGGTTGATATTGGGCTTTCTTATTGAAATATACTCGGAGTCGAGTGTGGATTTCATGCTCTTTATTCAGCTCATAGTGGTGAGGAGGAATGGAAGTTCCCCCAGAATGTCTGCTTTATATACATTATTTACACAATGGGCCCAACGTGATTGGCTAATTCCGGGATTCACCTGTAGGCCAACCAGGTTGCGGATTCACTTCCACCTGGAGCTGGATTGGGTGGCTCCTGTGGACCAATCAGACTGCTGCATTCTGAATCCTATTGTTCTAGGACCAACCAGACTGCTGCATTCTGAATCCTATTGTTCTAGGACCAACCAGACTGCTGCATTCTGAATCCTATTGTTCTAGGACCAATCAGACTGCTGCATTCTGAATCCTATTGTTCTAGGACCAGTCAGACTGCTGCCTTTTGGATCCTATTCAACTCAGTACATAACACTTATCTAAGGATGCATGTGAAGGGTGATGAACCCATGTGGTGGCCAGCCATAAGGTGCAACTCTGGTGAATAAAATTTCTGAAACACTTACAGGAAAACTTAAAAGAAAAAGAGGTATAGGTGTCTGGGCATATGCAGGAATCCTGCCATCTCCCCACCAAAAGAAAGCACTTCCCCTTGATTCTCTGTATATAAAAGCAGGGTGTAGTTGCTCAGTGGAGTCAGAGTTACTTATTACTTATTCTATAATGCTCTTTCATAACTACAGTCGTACCTTGGTTTTTGAACAGCTTAGTTCTGAACGTTTTGGCTCCCAAGCGCCGCAAACCCGGAAGTGACTGTTCCAGTTTGCAAACTATTTTTGGAAGCCGAACGTCCGACGGGGCTTCTGCGGCCTCTGATTGGTTTTGGAAGCCGCACTTTGGTTTCTGAACGTTTTGGAAGTTGAGCGGACTTCCGGAACGGATTCCGTTTGACTTCCAAGGTAGGACTGTATTTCTATAAAGAAGGGACAGAGTCATAGATGGAAGGACATATTGCTAGGGCCGGCCCACCTGTTAGACGTGGTGAGGCAGTCACCTCAGGTGGCAGGCAGACTGGGGACAGCTGCGAAGGGTGGCAGATCTAGGCCTCTGAACAGTTCGCCACCTCCTATACTTGTTGCCTGTGGCCACTGTGTAATAAACAGCAGAACTGCTGCTACTGGCAGCTGCCCCTCTCAGGCCTTTTTTCTTCCTCCCATTACCCTCAGTGTGCTGGTGCATCCCTGAACTGCCTCCAGTCGCCTCAGACGGCAGCAGTGAATGAGGCAGTGGTGGTGGTGGGAGACAGCAGTGGTGGAAGAGGTGGTGGCAGTGTGGGAGAGCGCCATTTTCTGTTTTGCCACTCAGGCAGCAAAAACGTCTTGGAGACCCAAAACAGTATGATACATGAGATTAGTGAGAGTACGTTTCATTCAGCTGTTTGTTTTTAAATGTAAATGCCAGCTATGCGGTGATATCAGAACTTGTGGCACATGATGAACACATGCTGACACATTTTTAAGGACGTTTCTAAGTTGTCAACAATTCGCTTTGCCCTACTCCTTTGCTACACAAGGAATAGTATGGCCATAATATTTCACTTCCTGATTCACAGGTGAATAAAGTTTGGGTTTAAGCCACTTGGATGCTTTGGGGAGGAGAACTTTAGCTGCAGAAGAAAGGCATTGGTTTAGGTTTTTTGGGGTTTTTTTTAGTTGAAACTGTAAGCTCACAAAGTATACAGTCGTACCTTGGAAGTCGAATGGAATCTGCTCAGGAAGTCTGTTTGACTTCCAAAATGTTCAAAAACCAAATCATGGCTTCTAATTGGCTGCAGGAAACTCCTGTAGCCAATCAGAAGCCGTGGAAGCCCCGTCAGACGTTAGGGTTCCAAAGAACATTCGCAAACTGGAACAAACATTTGTGGTGTTCAGAAGCCAAAACGTCCAAGTTCCAGGGCATTTGAGATCCAAGGTATGACTGTACAGTTGTACCTCGGTTTTTGAACGTCTCAGAAGTTGAACATTTCGGTTTTCAAACACTGAAAACCTGGAAGTAAATGCTTCCATTTTCGAATGTGCCTCGGAAGTCGAACGGCTTCCTCTGAGTGTTTCTCAATTTCCTCAATTAAATTCCTTTGTGCCTTGGTTTTCAAATGTTTCAGAAATTGAATGGTCTTCCGGAATGGATTACGTTCGAAAACTGAGGTACCACTGTAATTGCATTCTTGTCTCTGTTAATGGTTAAGAAGATAGGACCTTCGGACCATTAAAATTTAAAGCTGATGTACTCAACCTAACTCTACTTCTGGTTCTACAGGTTGGAGACTATGTATTTGTAAGAGTTAGGAAACAATTGGGAGATGAGTATTACGTACCTGGTACTGTCATAGCAACTCCACTAAAATCTGATTTAGATGATAAAGTCTACACCATTTTGAAATACAACAACAAAAAGGTAAGACGGCAGGCGGACAGACCTTGAAAACTGCAGTGCCTTTTATTCTTGACACTAATAGCGTCTTTTCCTTTGGTGGAACCATAGAGCTTGGCTTGCACCTTTTCTTCCTGTCGACGCTAGCTGACAGGAAAAATGTGCAATTAACATAAGAAACATATCTGATTAATAAGGACTCTCTTCATTCAGTTCCACTTTATTTTAATGTCGTTCTTACTGCTCTGAAACTTCATCCTTAAAACAACCTATTAATCAACTCTTCTCTTGGCACCAATAACTGTTTTTCCATATGTTCTGCTGTGTTTCAGATTATTCTAGTAAGTTATCCTTTTATCCATTGTGTCTAATTTGTTTCCCCCTTTTAAAAAAATAAATAAATATACCATTGCATTTTGGAAACTTGACTCTTTTTACTTCCATGTACAAGTTTCTTCATGTGAATGGTTGGTTTGACAAGATAAAAGCCACTGGAGCTTAAAGATGTGGTGATTTTGTTGCTGCAGGCATTCTGTGTACGAAATGGGCTTATTAAAATCAGCCATAGAAGGTATTCCTGTTCCTGCTGCTACATAAATATGACCCGAATGATGGATTATCTTGTGTGAGTATACTTGAATCCCATTTTCCCCTCCATTTCATAAATATGTATAGATGTACACGTGTGTGTGAGATGAGGTAAATATCAAGCAATGCTACCGATACAAATACTAGAATGATGACAGTAATAATGTTGATTCTGCAAAGCAAGAACAGCAGTCCCAACCAAAATACCCTAGAGATATTAAATGACCTAGAGACAGACGGGCTGTGTGGTAGGAAGGGGTGCAGAGAGATAATAGGGCAACATCATTGTAACAAGAACTGGTGCGTGTGTGTGTTGATGTGTGAATGGAGATGTAAAAAGTACAAGTGGTTTAGAATTATTTATTACATTTAAATGCCTCCCTTTGTCCAAGGATCATGGGGCGGTTTACAATATAAAAACACAAAAATACATACCATAATAACAAATACAGTGGTACCTCGGGTTACATACGCTTCAGGTTACAGGCTCCGCTAACCCAGAAATAGTGCTTCAGGTTAAGAACTTTGCTTCAGGATGAGAACAGAAATCGGGCTCCGGCGGTGCGGCGGCAGCAGGAGGCCCCATTAGCTAAAGTGGTGCTTCAGGTTAAGAACAGTTTCAGGTTAAGAACAGACCTCTGGAACGAATTAAGTACTTAACCCGAGGTACCACTGTACAGCTAAAAGGCCATAGATTGTGTAATTAGCCAAAGCCTGGGTGAAGAGGCAAGTTTTTGCCTGCCGCCTAAAGATAAGTAATGAAGGGGCCAGGTGAGCCTCCTTGGGGAGAGCATTCCACAAACAGGGAGCCACTGCAGAAAAGGCCTGTTCTCGTGTTGCCGCCCTCTGGATTTCTTGTGGAGGGAGCACACAAAGAAGGGACTCAGATGATGATTGTGGGGTCCGGGTTAGTTCATATGGGGAGAGGTATTCTTTGAGCTGTTGTGATCCTGTGCCATTTAAGGCTTCAAAGGTCAGAACCAGTGCTTTGAATTGGGCCTGGAAACTAACTGAAAGCCAGTGTAGTTGGGTCAGTGTTGGTGTTATATGCTCAAGCAGTCTTGCCCCAGTGAGCCACCTGGCCAGTGAATTTGGCGCCAGCTAAAGTTTCTGAACCATCCTCAGACGCAGCTGCACATATAGCACATTGCAGTAATCTAACCTAGAGGTTACCAGGTCATAGAGAGTCTGCACAAACCGAGTATGTGAAGAATGGGAAATGGGTACAGGGGCAGAATTGAGATCAGATAACGCCTGGGAACTGTGGGTTAAACCACAGAGCCTAGGACTTGCTGATCAGAAGGTTGGCGGTTCGAATCCCCGCCACGGGGTGAGCTCCCGTTGCTCGGTCCCTGCTCCTGCCAACCTAGCAGTTCGAAAGCACGTCAAAGTGCAAGTAGATAAATAGGTACTGCTCCGTCGGGAAGGTAAACGGCATTTCCGTGCGCTGCTCTGGTTCACCAGAAGCAGCTTAGTCATGTTGGCCACATGACCCAGAAGCTGTACGCCAGCTCCCTCGGCCAATAAAGCGAGATGAGCGCTGCAACCCCAGAGTTGGTCACAACTGGACCTAATGGTCAGGGGTCCCTTTACCTTTAACGCCTGGGAACAAGTTTCTGCTTGTCATCTCACGTTAGAGAAAAAAACACACCAGTTGCTGAAATCCTATCTGCTGTCATTTAGCTAATCTGCTGCTTTGAATTAATCTAGACCAAACATAAAAGTTGTGAAGCATTTCCATAGAGCGGCTGAAGAGGCAGAGACTAAATGCATCTCTGCTGGAGGTGAATGGAAGAAGAAGGACAACAGAAAAGGAAGAGCAAAGAGCAGGAAGGATCTCTGCAAAGCATGGCCCTCTGATGAGCAGCTGGCTGCCCCTAGAAGGACAGTGAAAATAAGAGAAAGTAGTTTGTCGCCACCCTCTCATATCAAAGATGGATGTGCAGGTACAACAAGTAAAGTAGAGCAGGAGTCCAGTGATGTTGTAAAGTCAGATATATCCAAAATGGAAAACTTGCATTAGGTCTATTTACTCTATATTTACTGTAACTTTGCCTAGTGATTAGGATTCTGTACTTTGATTGTTTCACAGCCCAAGGTTGTTTTTAATCCTTGCTTTCTGTATCACGTTCCTAATCGACATCTTCTCAGTTAGCCTAACAAGAGAGAAAATACAGACACTTGTCCCTGATCTTCCAGCATATTGTAGGAATGATACTTTCTCCAGGGATACAGTGCTTTGGAGTTTGGGTTTTTGCTTTTTTGCCATTCCTTGGCAAATACCCAAGTGACTACTACCTCCCTTGATATGCCATATTGGTCTCCAGGAAAACTGCCGCCATTTTGTTCTGTTGAGCCACATTAAGAACTTCCTCGTTCTCTCTTTAAAAAACAAACCAAAAACATTTTTATTGAAGGTTTTCAACATATTGTGCACAAAAATCCCAACACATTTATAACAAGCTAGTAATTAATAATAATAATAATAATAATAATAATAATATTGGTGATGAAAAAGCAAATATAAAATTGAATACTCATTATCCTTAACAAACACAATTGTATAAAAAAGAGAAAGAAGAAAAGAACGGAGAAGAAATAACTGAAAAAAACCATTATCACATTATAGATATAATATGTGATAAAGGTTTTCTCCAGTTATTTCTTCTCCATATGTGTGTGTGTGTGTGTGTGTGTGTGAGAGAGAGAGAGAGAGAGAGAGAGAGAAGAGAAGAGAAGAGACTAAAAAGAGAAACTTCTGCCTCGCTGACAATTGTGCATTCCAGAATTGCTTTTACCCCTTTGCAGGATGCAGCTTTACCCAGATTTCCCTCCCAAGCCCAACCTTTAACTTTTAGTCACCCAGACAGTGCAATATGACCCTTCAAATGTCTTTCTAGTAATCCAAATTAATATTTCTCCAGTTTCTATGTAAAATTTCTTATAAAGTCATTTTAACCTGTTCTAGCAATTTGTTGTTCTCAATGAATTGCTTTTCATACTTTTTCTTTTTCTTTTTTACTCAGTAAAAAGCAATAGTAATGTTGCACAACTCCCCTAGTTTGGGAAGATTCCTGCCTCAGAAGACAGGCATTTGTATCCCACCTCCTTTGTGCTTTTATTATGTTGCTGTAATGTGGTGTTACTATAGACTTACCCGCCTATGTCTGATTCATACATGCACATTAATGGCACAGTGGGTTGCATCTAGTGCTACTGCTTATCAGAGGAGACCCATTCACATTGATAGACACAACTAACTTAAGTCCACTAATTTCAGTGGGTCTACTCTTGAGTAGAATTTCATGGGATGCAACCCAGTGTCCCACTGTGCAGCTTGCAACTGAGCATGGGAACAAGCCCAATCAATTATCTGATGTTTGAAAAATCTGAAGCAATGATGTGATGAAGAATGAGAGTTTTGTCAGATGTTTGATCTTTGTTGGCTCTTTCACACATGCTAGTCATCAAGGGATGAACCTGGAATGTGTATTTCTGTCCCCTTTCTGAGAATGTGCTTCAGATATCAATGTGAATGTACTGACCCATATACAAATTCAGTATATATAATGTATGTTGAATATCTCTTGCAAATCACGGTTTGCGGTCAATATAGTACAATTTAGATATGAAGGCTCCAATCCCACACATGCTTACCTGGGAGTAAGTCACATGAAACTAGTGGGGCTTACTTTTGAGTAGACAGCTGTAAGCTTGCAATGTAAATCCCTTATACGTTGTTTCCCAAACTTGTCTCCAGCGTTTTTGGACTACAATTCCCATCATTCCTGATCCAGCTAGTTAGGGATGATGGGAGTTGTAGCACAAAAAACAGCAAGTTTGGGAAACATTGCCTTATAATAGGTTCTCTGATAATGCGTCCTATGGCAGCAGACACTTTTCAACTCCCTCCATACTTTGGAAACGAAACAAGAAAAAGAAAAGTTAACACATGATGTCTCCTGGTTTTGTTTGATCAATGTGTTAAATAATCTGCATTGCTGGATGACAAAGCGACTATGCCTTCGTATTATCCGAGGCTGATCTCCCACATTCATGCAGTGGCTCAGGTTGCACATAATGCTAAGCCAAACTATGGCTTAGCACAAACATGCAAGATCGCTGTGAGCGAAGTCGTGGTAGCATATCGTCTGAATCCACAGGACAGCAACAGGACTGAATAAGAAGCAAAGTGGCCTCAGCCTCCTCTCTCAGAACCCGCACGCTAAGCCATAATTTGGTTTAGCATTATGTATGACGATCAGCAAATAATTGACAGTGCCTGCACAGTCTTCATTTCTTTAGTGGCAAGCCAGAGTTTCCATGCTGAATGGTGATTGTGCCTTTCTTAAAGATAAGCACTGACTGCTAGTTTTGAATTTTCTGTGAAAGTGTTGAATGAAATAGAATTTTAAATCCTAAGTCCGCAGACCAAGTGGACTCTTATCTAAAGTAGACCTTGATTAAATGTGTGCAGCTTCCATTTATTTGAATAAATACTCATCTCCTGTCTAGAAAATAATGTCTAGCACGGTTATTGTTAGAATTGTCTCCTTATATTGTATTGTCCACCTTGTTTCGGGATAGTTTAGACCTCTTCCATACTTAAATCTTTGTTAACATAAATCACTGTTACCTTCATTAGTGTATGGTGTATGTTGTAAATCTTAAAACGTGACTTTAATAAAACATGGTTTCCTTGTGCATCCATTGGCATGGTTACTTTCTAACAGATTTTATGTGCAGCTGTTTTTATGGATTTGGTTTTTTTCAGATTCCAGATACCTTTGCTTCCCTTTCCTCCAATTTTCCTTTAAAAAGCACACATAGGATCCATTTTTCAAAGTCTGGTTTGCCAAACTCATGTTGCCCTCTGACCACACGGGAAAGATCCTGCCTTCTGCAGAAACATGGTTATTTCCATAAGGTGGTTGCAGAGGAAAATCTCTTGCGATGAAATGAAAATGGTTGAATTAAGGCAGCAAATGTCGTGACCTCCAAATGTTGATCCACTTCAATTCAGAGAAGCTGTATTTTGGGGGAAGCTGGCGGTTTTAAATGCCGCTCACATTTTCTTCACAAGCTTTTCCAACAGAAAAAGGATATTTTGACTAAAATCCAACTTTCCAAATTTATTTTATTAAAATAAACAAGCAAATACATTGGGGGGAAATACGAGAGCAACAGAACTCATCACCAGCAATAAAGCAAAACATGAAAAGTAGCCCCTATTTAAACCAATGGTGTTTACGTGAGTCATTTTAAAAATTCACATTGCAACCATTCACATGACTACAAATGAGAATGAAGCTCCACACATGCATACCTTTGCTTGCGTGATGAAGCTCCGTACTCCATCAGTCTCTTACGGCAGGTCAGGCAGCTTTGCAGCCATTAATGTTGTCTCCTTCCCTCATATCTATTCACTGCTGTACAGTCCAGGTGCCTTTTATGTTTTCCTGTGCAGTTTGTAATGAGTTCTGTTGCTCTTACATCTCCTCTAACAGGCTGGGGGTGGGTGGGAATTGTTTTGTTTAATCTCATCGATCTTCGCCTTTTCTTCCACCCTTTTCCCCCCTGCCAGCACCTACTTATCGTGGCTTACCACGTCCTCATTCTTCACGAGGTAGAAAGCCGTGGCTGCCTTCAAATGCTTCAGAGTTTAGGATAACTAAGGCCCTCCGGAGCTCTGGTTCTCCTTTGCGCCAGCAGAGCACCCCTCAACTTGTTAGGACGGCTGCCACCAGTAGCAGCAGCGAGACCAGCATTTCGAGCATCGAGAAGGTGGAAGAGCTGGCAAGACGGCTTCAGCAGTACCACATCACGCAAAGGAAAAACAGCCTTGCCATTTAGTTGTAAATAAAGACTGCAAGTTGTGAACAAGGGAGCAGGGAGGGGAAGGGTCTAGTTGCCAGTTATGAAACCGTATTATATCAACCCCAAATAAACCATTTAATTTGATATTAAACTTTTTTAATATTAAAATTGTGCAGCATCACAAGATCTTTGCAAGGAGATCTTTGAAAATCTGGCTGTGCTGTTTAAAAAACGATGAGGAGGCAGACGAAAGGAACCACTTTGGCACGTGCCTAAACTTGGTATGGAGAACAGATGCCCTGTTGTCTGCCTGGATAGTGCAGTTGGTTAGAGCGTGTTGCTGATCATCCCAAGGTTGCAGGTTTGATCCCTATTTGGGGCAGCTTTGCAGGGGGTTGGACTAGATGATCCTCAGGGTGCCTTCCAACTCTCTGATTCTATGAATATGATGTGAAGTTGTAGATAGGATGCACTTTATGGGTGATTCCAGGTGTATGTCAGTGTCATGTCAGAGCCTGGATTCTGATGAACCGTCCCATGGTGGTGTTTGTCTTGTGTATCCTCCTTCCCTGAAGGAATCTGAAGTCAGGGTGGTGGTGCAGAGAGAATGCATGAACAAAGGAATAAGGAAGGATCAAAATCGCTTTTTCAGTGCTCTATTTGTGCAGTTATGCAGATGACTTCTGCTTGAGGTGGCCTCTGCTAAAAGGGACCGGCATCAGGCTAGCACAGGTAGACATCCTTTAGGTTTCTAGATGTATGATGGAAGAGTTGTGGTTGTTGTAAAGGACAGGTTCTTAATCTTAGAATAATGGAGTATTAGTATTTTTCCCCAGTCTCTTCAGAATTATGAATCTGCTAGTTGTCCCAGTCTTCTTAAAGGACTGGGAAGATATTGGAAGATAGGTCATTACATCCTCTAAGAATGTGACTCTTCCTCTGTTGCTTAAGTTTGAAACACCTGTTGTTTATACTGACATTTATATTCCCCTTTTCCTCCAAGGACCTTAAGGTGGTGTACACAGTTCTTCACCCCTCTCATTTTTATTTAACAACTCTGTGAGGAAGGTTAGTTTGAGAGACTGTGACTGACTCCAGGTCACCCAGTGAGATTTATGGCTGAGTGGGAATTTGATCCCTGGTCTCCCAGTTACCTACTCTTAACACTCTAACCACCACACTGGTTCTGTTGCATATCTTGTCCATTCAGAATTGCATTCAGCAATTACTTTGAAGTGAGAATCTGCCCCATGTGCCCCTTGTGGGTGATATTGATCTCCAGTCAGCACAAGCTAACTACAGCAGGAGCATGTGTATTTCCTAAAACACCAACATGCCAGTTATATCAGTGCAGGATTGGGGAGAGTCCCAATGATATTTTCATAGATCATCTGGGGTAGGTAAAGGTAAAGGACCCCGGAAGGTTAAGTCCAGTCAAAGGCGACTATGGGGTTGCGCCGGTCATCTTGCTTTCAGGCCGAAGGAGCCGGCATTTGTCCACAGACAGCTTTCCGAGTCATGTGATCAGCATGTCTAAACCACTTCTGGTGCAAAGGGACACTGTGACGGAAACCAGAGTGCACAGAAACGCTGTTTACCTTCCCGTCCCAGCAGTACCTATTTATCTACTTGCATTGGCATGCTTTTGAACTGCTAGGTTGGTAGGAGCTGGGAGAGAGCAACAGGAGCTCACCCCATTGTGGGTACTGAACCACAAACCTTCTGATCGGCACGCCCAAGAGGCTCAGCAGTTTAGACCACAGCGCCACCCGCGTCCCTGTCATCTGGGGTACCAGAATCTATTGATGAAATTAATAAATGGCAGCATTTAGATAATATTTGGGATATGATGGGGAAATACAAATGGCAGAACTGTGCCAGAGAAGAAATTCCTACGTTAGCATATGCAAACCAGCCTGCCTGGGCTAGCCTGAGTGCAGAGCTGTTGAGAAATAATGAGGAACCATTGGCAATACAAAATGAAGGTCATTGGCAATACAAAAAAGCTATCCTTCCTCCCCACCCCCTCCAAGGAATGGACAAAGAAAAGAGATTTGGAAAGTTGCCAAGGCAATTGAGGGGGACGTGGTGTCACAGGAAAATGTGTCCCTTTTGAAAGGTTAAAGGTGTTCTGGGAACAAGAAGGAGGAAGTAGGCAGAACCATCTTGACTCTAACTGGAGGAGGCGGCAGCAAGAGAGTGAGAGCCATGACTGCAGCTTTGAACCTGAGCTTGCTAAAGCTCTGCCAGGGATGATGAGAGACACCGTTAGGGTATAATGTTCTGCACCGTCTCCATTGTAGACTTTAGGTGTAAAGTAAAACCTATTTCTTAACGACACTAGCCTTGACTGCTCCTTGATTTTCCTGACGGAAACACAACCCTGGGTGAGTGCCTGGAACCCCCAGGAATCATGCTACTTCTCAGCAGAGATTGGGGGTGGCATGCAACCTCCGAAAAAATATTATGCCCTTGACACAAAGTTATGTATTGTCATATGTCAGGGGAAGAACACAACACAGGGTTTTTGGTGACAGCCACTCCCTGAGTAACACTGTGCTCCACTCTGGGAAAACTGAACCAGATCCTGAGCAGCTTTGACCAGTTTGAAATGGAAAATTGTTAAGTACCTGAGACCTAACAAACTTCATGTTTGTGTCCGTCATGAACTCAAGAGTGTTGTCCAAACCAGGCATGGACAACTCAGTTTCATCATAATGTACAGGTAAGTACTAACTTTAATCTCAAAATGTTTTAGTGATGCTGCTGGTCTCCTTTCTGTGTGCCGTGAAGAAATACAGTAGGGATTAACTGATCTCCATGAGACAATCTGGGTCAAGTTTTGTGCTCTGATTTCCCTCTTCTCAATATCGCAGCTACTGCTTCCAAGCTTCGCTATGCAGGTTTCAGATTTTTTGACTGTCAAAAGGCCTGTTTCCCATAGATGGTAATGGTCTGTGTAAAATACAGACAGCGCTAGAGGCTGTGAAGTCTCTCTCTGTCTTTAGTGGAAGCTGTACTGCCACCTCTCATTTGACATTCCAAAAAGCATCAGACAGATTAATGGCAATCTCATGGCAGGCTGCTAATCTTAAAACAGGAGAGGGAGGGAGGTAGGGAGAGGCTTAAGCAGAGCATGCACTGCCTGAATAAAAGTGAGGAAAACAGGGATAAAATTGACGCCCAAAGTTGGAAGAGACAAAGGAAGTCTCCAAACTGCCATTGCATTGTCTAAAATGTGGCAGTGCTAAAGAGAAACACTGGACTTTGAATCTGTGCAGGTTTGGCCCAGCTAATTGGGTTGGCCTATTGGCTTCAATGGGGCTCCTCAGCTGTATTGCTATGTAGCATATATATAATGGGGTGGCCCTCTCTATATTTTTGGACTCCAACTCCCATCATCCCTGATCATTGACCATGCTGACTAGGGCTGATGGGAGTTGTAGTCCAACAGCATCTGGAGGACCATAGATTCCCCACCTCTGACCTCAGTGGTGGTGCAACCCATCCTAAAAGATTAGGACTGGGTTGCCACATCTGTTAGATCTTCTATAATTTTATTATTGACTGGGTTGTCAAAATTGGTTAGAATTTTGGAGAGATTCAGTTTAAAATGAAGAAAAGTCCTCCTGTATTAGACAAATGGCCTGCCTAGTTAAATTTCACAGGATGGCTGTGCTTGCATTCATGTAAGGTTCCAAAATCAATGTGTGATTTTGGTAGGTTTGCCTTTAAATACAAACTGAATTTAATCCCCTCACTCTGCTCTACTCTGCCCTTAGTTTCTGGCCCCTTTGAGGTGGGTTCTACAACACCCCTTATCAGAAGTCTACAAATTCGCATGGTTTACCATTTTTATAATCTGAAAATAAGTTCTCTTGTTCATTCGCACACCTTGATTGAATAATGTCTGGTTACATTTTGCCTGGCACAGTGCAGGCAAAAAAATAAAATAAAAAAAAATTGGCTGAAATGTCAGATGCTGTTCTGCATGAGAGGCATATTGACTCTCCACTGCATCCTTAAGTGAACTACTCAAAGACACAGGTGAGAGGCTAATCCACATGCCATCACTCTGAAGCAAGTCCCATGGAGTTCACAGGGAGGAAGGGATGAGCCATTGAGATATTTCTCTCATTGTTGAAATGAATGGGAGAGTTGTGTTATTGTGCAACTGCTGCTATTCATGTCAATAGGCTTAATTTCTGGAGGACTGTGAATAGTTTTTTCTGTGTTATGACATTTCCAAAGAAATGATTCATTTAATTAGGAGTCATTTCTCTTTCTGTCCACACAAACCATGTTTGCTATTACATTTTGTTTTAATCTTTTCATGATACTTTCTGTTTGTCCCAGCCGGTCTTATTTGGAAGCCACCTGATGCCTAATTCTATAGTCCTTCACAAAGGGCTTGAGGAGTTCAGCAATTATAGCATTTCATTTCTTCCCAGAGCGAGAACTAAGTGCAAAGTGTGCCTCTCAATTAACTTTCCTTAATGTCATGCAGAGCTCCTCATGGTGTGCTCCTTCCGTGGCAAATTGCAGTTCTTTGTCCTGCATGTTACTGCTGTGGCAAATGTCTTTGAGGAAGTAATTGCATGCACTTGGGCAAAGCAATCCTAAACACCGGCTATGCCAAAGGGAAGACAGTTTGCTGAGTTATAAGAATAAATGTCACTCACTTGGTCAAGGGGGAGGGTAAAAGTTATGAACTCCTCATGCCCCTGAGGCTCTCCTACTTTTCCCACTATATGTGCCTTTACCTTGTTGTTGTTGTTTAGTCGTTTAGTTGTGTCTGACTCTTCGTGACCCCATGGACCAGAGCACACCAGGCACTCCTGTCTTCCACTGCCTCCCGCAGTTTGGTCAGACTCATGTTGGTAGCTTCAAGAACACTGTCCAACCATCTCGTCCTCTGTCGTCCCCTTCTCCTTGTGCCCTCCATCTTTCCCAGCATCAGGGTCTTTTCCAGGAGTCTTCTCTCTCATGAGGTGGCCAAAGTATTGGAGCCTCAGCTTCAGGATCTGTCCTTCCAGTGAGCACTCAGGGCTGATTTCCTTCAGAATGGATAGGTTTGATCTTCTTGCAGTCCATGGGACTCTCAAGAGTCTCCTCCAGCACCATAATTCAAAAGCATCAATTCTTCAGTGATCAGCCTTGTTTATGGTCCAGCTCTCACTTCCATACATCCCTACTGGGAAAACCAGTAGCCTTTACCTTATGATTATACATAAATGAGTTCTGTATATCTACGTATGTATCCCTAATAAATATATGATCTACGCCTCTCATAAAATGCATGTAAAATGTATCTTTCTGTATCTCTATGTCCTCAATGTTTCCTTAAGTCATGTATTTTTAAAGCAAGTTTGGCTATATGTT